GCGGCTTTAATTTTTTTTTGTTACTGCATATTTTTATTAGGTTGTTGCACCACATTTTGCTTCCTTGTGAGGCGATGCACTGCTGCCTGATTGCTCCCTCTGGCACAATAATCTTAACAGATTTAGATGATTAGATAAATAATAGATTAGATGTGCGATGCGCCGTTAATTTTCCAATGCGGTTATATGTGCATGTCCGAGATTAAAGAGAAGAATATCTGTGAAGGTTTTCCTTACATCTGTGATGCAGCCTCATTCTGAAATCAGCTTTAAAACTCCTGTTATCTGAACCTGCTTCAGGATGCTGTAGCTACCGTTAAGCATCAATACAGTGATGCTGCAGCAGCTGCCCTCAGCTTGGGTATTTGCTAGTGCTTTTCTTTTTGTAAAGCTAGTTCTACTCTATTAATTGCTCTACTGATGTTAGCAGCTCACAGCTAATGAAAAACAATTAATTTTTACTCTTCTAGTTATTGTAAATGATCAAATGCATAGTGGTAAAGAGAAAATGGCTTTTAATTAATTAGGGGTTGAAATACAAATATAAAGCTTTTATACTGCTTTAAACACTCAACTATAATATTTAATGTGCTATTTGATGTATTTCTTCTTACATTCTTAATTGTCTCGTAACATTTTACTGTTTTTTTTTGTCAGTTTCGCAGCTCCTTATCTGTCTTCTGTGACATTGAGGGTGTTTGGGGACTTTGCGCCGTACTTTGGAAAAGGTAAGGAGGCCCAAACATGATTAGGTACAACTTTGAAAATGTTTACACAGCAGGTAACTGTATTTATGGCTTTTGAAGTAGTAAACGAAGAGAGGACATTTCTCTCTTGTGTGGCTGCAGGTTGGTTCCTCTGATGAAGGGCTTTAGGTAAAAGCGAAAGATACACCACTGGGAGTAGCTGGAGTCTCTCGGCTGCTGCAAAGCAAACACTTCAGTCTGAAATTAAGGGGACATCAAGTACGCTTACAAAGCCAGACTTTCGGCTGCATGTGGATTTATTCACAGTGCATATGCTTCCTTCACATTTTGATAAAAAATAGACCTATTTGTGCTTGTTTCTTTTTTTTTTTACAAATATATACTGCATTAAACAAAACAGAGGAAAATTGGCCAATACATTAGAAGACAAAAACAACACATTTGTCACATTTTCATGATGAAAACAACAGTGTTAGTAAAAACAAAACTGCATATTGCTTAAAAGGCACCATTTTTCTGTGGAGTATACTATATAATTTTAGCACAAACATATTGACATTAAAAAAAAAAGAGTATGGATAAACAATATTTAAAACAGATGCTGCAGAATGTTGGAAGAACAGCAAGAAATGTAACAGTCAGACTATGTTGTTTAAAGCTTTGTAACTGCAGTAAATACATTCAATTCAGGTGCTTATAAATAACATTTAAAACACTTTGCAGTCGATCCTCCTTTACAGTGTGCAGCTACTCTTTTAAAGCTGGCTGTGAAATCTCAAGTCGTAGCCTCCTGCTCTCGAGCACCTTGAGTGACTGCCTGGTAGAGGTAGTCGAGGAGGATTAGTGTTGAGAGCAAGGCCTCTTTCTACAGTCAAGTTTGTTCTGGATGAGCACCAGGCAGGTAGAGTCGAGATACAGATAAAGAGTTTTCTTTAGGTTGAGCTAATCTGCGAGAGGTCTGGCCTTGTTGCCTTCGGAATCCTCCAAGTCCGAGCTGGTCAGCCGTTTGCGAGGTGCTGCGGAAGAAGAAAAAGAACAAAGTGAGCGAACGGGGCTTTGCTTCCTATCATTAGACGACTCATTCCTCTTAACAAGGCGTACTAAGTACGATTCGCTCTACCTGTTACTGCCAAAGTAGTCATGAATACGTGCGATAATTGCATTGTATAGTAACACTAGTGTTAAACAGCCATAGACGTGTTTTGGCCAGCATAAATCTCCGAGGTAAAACGGACACAAAACCACGGAAAGTACGCTCCTCTCACGCTGTGCCAAATATTTGTAAGCAGCTTAGGAAAGTGCTACAAGTGATTTTGGCTGTGAGCCACTGGCAGTGATACAGACTCATTTCCAGAGCACTGATGGAAAGTTTCAGCTCTGCGTGCCATATTTAAATACTGAGTGGAAAAGTGACAGTGCTCTGAAAGTCACATTATGAAATTCATAAGTTATTATCGCCACTTAATAAAGATCTACTCATATTTATGGAATTCCGAAACGCTGAGCACAGCGAGTTGGACGAAAATGAGTAAAAATAAACAGGTGATGGAAGATGTGGACTGAAAATGTTATTTAAAATAAAAACAAGTCGAGTGTTTGGCAAAAGGTTTGTGAAGAGATTTCAGAAGATGGGACAGTGATGGCTGCTATTCACTGGGAAGGAAAACTGGTTTTGCAGCAGCGTGCCGACTGAAAAGTTTTTAGCGTTACATCCCTAAAGTCTTTGTTTTCTCCTGGAAAACAGTCACGTGATAAGAATCAGGGGATGATATGTAGTGACAGAATAATGTGAACATGGGTATCAGACTACAATAAACCTCCGAATTTATACTAATTAAAACTACAAAAGTCTCCATTTTGGGAGCTGCTACACAGGAGTGACGCTTGGTGTAAAGCTGGATTTATACATCTGTGTTGGATGACTATTGCACTTCTCCACAAATGCAACGACATGCTCAGACAAACACTGCAACTGTGATTGTCCTGCTTCATAGCAACATGTTGTGTTTACCCAGCATTTGAATTTGTGCAAAGAAAATGCCTCGTTGAAACAGATTGTAATCGTATCTTGCTTACTCATAATTTGAAAGCGAGAGCTGGTATTCTGGCTGCGGAGCCATATGCTTTATTGCTCTGCCAATCCCCGTTAGACTCAAACATCTTCTGTCTTTTGTGCATGGCAGTAATTCTGGTAAAAGCAACTGCTCAACATTTATTAGCTCCAACATGTTCCACTGTCAGTTACAATTGTTTAAAATGCACAAAGAAACGACGCAGAGTGGCACAAAAACCACGAGGTTGACAAGTGGTTTTGGCGGTGTCAATGGAGAGCAACAGACACCAGAGCACAAGGACAAAAACCTACAACGGTTTGTAGATTCAAACAGGAGCGTAAGTCAAGCTTAAACGTGGAAGATTTTCCCTTAAAATGAGTTTAGATTAACTCAAATCAAGTTAATTGTCATTTTGCTGTACATACAAAGTAGTACAGGCAAGTTGAGAGAGCGTTTCTTCAGGATCCAATAACTTAAAGCAATTTAAATAAACAAGTGTTTGCACATCTGGATCAGCAGTTCAGCATTCTGACAGCTTGTGGAATGAAGCTGCTGATCATTCTGGAGGTTCTTCCTTTAATGCACTGGAAATGTTTGCCTGATGGTAACAGTTTATGGAGAGGCTGTGAGGAGTCCCTGACAATGTTCAGGCTCCTGCAGCGGTTCTGGAAAAGTTCTTGGACAGAGGTGAGGGAAACCTTGATGACCTTCTCAGCTCCTCTAACTATCCTCTGCAGGGCTTTTCTGTCTGACGTACTGCAGCTGGAGGACCATGTTGAGATGCAGAATGTCAGAACGCTCTCACCACACCTCTGTGAAAAGTCCTGAGGATGCTGGCAGGGAGAGAGGCTTGTTTAGGCTTCCTCAGGAAATGCAGTCTCTGCTGGGACCATTTGATGATCGCTGCGGTGTTCTTACTCCAGCTCAGGTCCAGCGAGATCTGCACTCCGAGGAACTTGATGTTCTCCACTCCCTCCACTGTGCAGCCGCTGATGCTGAGGGGAGCATGCTCAGGACGTGACCTTCGAATGCCGACGATCATCTCCTTCGTTTTGTCCACGTTGAGCAGCAGGTTGTTCTTGCTGCCCTCTAGGTGCTTCACTTCATCTCTGTGCATTGATTCTTTGTTTTCGCGAACAAGTCCCACTACTGTGGTATCATCAGCAAACTTGATGATCTGGATCCCCTCATGTGTGGCTGCACAGTCATGTGTTAGCAATGTGAACAACAGTGGACTGAGTACACAGCCTTGAGGAGATCCAGTGCTCAGCGTGATGGAGTTGGAGATGTTCTTTCCAACTCGGACAGACTGGGATCTTTTGGTTAGAAAGTCCAGGACCCAGAGACATGTGGCGGTATCCAGGCCGAGTAGGAGGAGTAGTTTAGATGCAGCCTTAAAAAAATATCCCACTACATTCCAGGGAAATGGTGAGAAAGTTTGTACAAATGTAGGACAGATTTAAACCTATCGGTCCAGTTGCAAAACTACAGATTCAAAAGAGGCTGGCTGAAACAAACCACTCTGTATCTTAGTGTGTGAATGCACTGTTAAGAGCACACCACATAATCGACTTTTGTTGCAGGTTCTCTCTCTGTCCTTGTTCGTTATCCATCTCTATTGACTGACAAAAACAGCCAAATCCTAACAAAAAATAAAAAGTGAATTTCAAAAACACGACTGCTTCGTGCCGTATTTCAGCCATCACTGTGCAGAGTTGCGATGTTGCGGTACAACACGTTTAAAAAAGACGAGAGTACATTTTGAGATGATTTAGCCGCGCAGATGCAGGAAACACGACGACCATGAAGCCATCCAGCAGACTGGCTGTCAGAGCGGCTACGTACTCACATAGTGTGTCAGATCTCAGCGAGCTGCTTAGGAATGTGTTGGAGCCTTTGATGGAGGAAGAAAGAGCAGCCAGTCTCAGGCTCCTGGAAGTGGCGTCCAACTTCTCATCCTGGAAGACAGGAGGACACAGTCACTGGAATGCAGTTTGCATACCAGAAAGACAACTGAATGTGTGGCAAAGAGAAATAAAATGGAATTGTTCTGAGATTTTTTTTTTTAGCAGCAAAGAGGGACTGCAGTGACTCAAGACACAAGTACATACAATCTGGTGAAACAATGCAGTCTAAAGCAACTGGGCTGCAATAAATCCTTGTTCCTAATGAAGGTTATCATGTTCAGATAAAACTGAAACTGTTTGATCTTGATAAATCTGAAGGCTTCAGGTAGAATTTTGCTTCCATATTTTTAAGATTTGATAAACCGAACAAAAAGAAATCATAATGTGGCCGATCTATGTGCAGAAATGTAACATCAGTAGTTGGTGAGATTTTCTACTTGTTGATCTAATGACAAAAGCCAGTTCTCTGACATTGCTCAATTAAAATTCTGCAGCGCATCCCCAAGTCTAAAAAGTTAAGTGTAAAACATGTAGAATAATCTATTTGTGTGTGTGTGTGTTATGTAAAGACTTCAAGTCAAATTTAGTGCACCTCAAAAGAGAGACTTGTGGGCCAAACTTTGCCTTCCCCACAATGCTTGTTTGGAAGTGCCAGAAGTTCTACAGAATGATAAATTATTGTGTTTGGGAAGTGACTGATTGGAGGTCCTCTGTGAATCAACAGTACGTACCCGTGTTTGATAAAAGCTGCTTTTACTTGCCTCTAAACATACAGGACAAACTGTCCCAGCTCGAACAAATATCGAAGTATTTTGTGATTCTGTTGCGAGGCCCGCCGAGTTACTGCTGTTTCTTGAAGTGTGACACAGATTACACATTTTCTTTCATCCTGCGGTTATAGATTATTAACATTACAGATGTCTCACCATGACAGTCCAAAGAAAAAGTCCTGTTCCAATGAGGCTTTAGAAACTGCTCTTTCAGGCAGAGTACCACTGCTGCTGTTTGTTGTTGCTAGCATGGCTGATCAAGATGGAAGTCTTGTAAAGACAACACATCCATCCTTTTTCCTTAAACAAACCCCGAGTGGGCAGCAGCTATTACACTAATGCAATCGCCACTTATCACACAACACGGGAGTCATTTGGCAAACCAACGGGGTAATCTGGCAGATTACAACCATTTAAAAAGTGACTGTATGGCTGTTTAGGGGAAGGTTGCAGACTGCTGATGGCAATCAGCTGTCAACAGTGATGTCTTGATGGCTCCCTGGACTGCTTTATAGCAGAGACGATGACGGCAGCAATTAACGGCGACGGGTTTCGTTTGAGTGTACATTTGTGCCTTTGCTCAAGTTGGTCCCTCTCTGTCCATCTATGATACATTACTGGCGTGTGAAATTATTCATTTATTCATACAAGTTACAAATTAGGCGCGGTGCACACATTGGCATCCGTGTGGGTGAGCTAGACTCATAAATGGCTCTCAAAGTCAGGCTATCCTTATCCAAACAGCTGCTATTTGAACAAAGCGACACAATTAGTGACTGAAATAGAAAAAGTGTGGGCTGTTGTTTGGAACAGCGAGCTCTTGTAAGGCATTATAAAGCTCATTTTTCTAGTGCACAGAGCTATAACTGTGTGTGTGCATCTATCATACTCTATAGTCTTGGATTTTGCGTTTGGACTCGTCCAGCTGGTGCTGCAGGTCCCAGACGATCTCTTTGTATTTAGTGTAGCGCTGCTCTACCATCTCCCTCTGCTGCTGCGACTCCTGAAAGCACAAAATGGAGGCTGTGTGTTCATCGCCAAGCACAGATCAGATTACACCCATCTTTGAATAAATGAAAAGGATAAAAGCCTGAACAGTTCTAAACATGGCATACAGTAGAAGAGCACAGAAATGAATGCACAGCGTAGATTAATTGGATCGATATGATAATTAATGGCTGTAATGCTTTGGTTACATTGACTAAGGGATGCAAAAAAATGGTGAAAATGTTTCTTAGCATGAATGAGTGTTTCCCAAATCCCAAGATGATGTTCGTAAATGTCCTGTTTTTTGCACAACTCAAGGATGTTCTGCTTCGTCTTACAGAGGACTAAAGAAACTAGAAAATATTCTTATTTAAGGGTTTAGAATCTGAGATTTTTCTCTTTTTTTCTTTCTTTAAACATGACTAAAACAACTTAATCATTATCAAAATAGTCGACGATTAAGAGTTGACAACAAACCAGTGAATCATCGTAGCTCTACACTGGACATGTAATGTGTTTGGTCCATTCGTGGAGTAAATCTGCAGCAGGATTCATCTGTTTACTGGCTACACCTGCAGTGCACATACACAGTAGTTTGTGGCAAAACACGATGATGAGCTTTCAGTCTCTGGAACGCTGTGACACGTCAAGCTCTTCACTGACTTTGTGCATTATGGGTAAATCAACATCGGACCGCAGTGGACTCGATAAGCCATTAAGTTACTAAGCAACAGTCAGCTTGTACCGGCAAAATTAACAAGCAAGGCACCAAAGTGAAAGCCGTGTTTATATGTTATGTCACATGTTAAGTGTTCAATAAAGCCACAGGGGACCGGTACAGGGCCATTACTCTGCGGTTTGTAGTGTTTTTATGCTTTACGGCTTCCACGGCCTGTAATTTGAAGCAAAGGTAATCAGATTGATCTGACAATATCTCAGCCCCTACTGACGGATCATCTGCCTGCCCGATTACTGGATGCAATATTCAGCATTTTTCAGTTTTGTTTTTAAAAACTGATTCCAGTTAAAATAAATTTATTCAAAAGTGTGATACTTTGGCTCTGATGCAGCTGCCTCTCTCTGTCTGTAGTCACTCTGTGTTCTTGAGCAACATCCCACCTCCATGACTAGCTGACTGGTTACACATAACAGCTAACAGCCGATCAACACTAAAGGATAACGCCTAAAAAGCTCAGTTTTAACAAACCATATGTAAAACATAAATAGACAAAGGCATGTCAACTAAGTTTCGTGTTTGTGTTATTCTAAGTTTTGAGGCCAAGATTTCTTATTTTAAACTAATATTGGCTCGAAATTGGTCTCTTTCACTGCTAAAAATCTGTATCCACCCTAAAAAAAAAAATAAAACAATGTGCGTCAACCCTTTGCCTCTATATATTAGCAAAAAAACAAAACAATCAAGACTTTTGTGTAAACTCACCTCCAGGTCTTTGAAGTTCTCCAACAGACATTGTTTCTCTGGAATTGACTCCAAGTGGTCCAAGGCTACTCTTGTGTTCTGGAAACGACACACACACACACACACACACACACAGTCAGTTTAAAGGGATTTAAAGGGAAGTGCATTGCATTTACAAAAGAAGAAACTTAATTATGGCTTAGATGTGGATCTCGTAATTACAAGATAATACAATAGACTAATGTGGCAGGAATTGGAACGACTCAGAAGTTGTCTGAATACAAGATTATACTGTATAAGTTATGCGAGTAATTCCACAGCAGTTGCCAGTATGCCCAGTGGTACACAGCAAAAAGTTACTCCCAAAACCATTAATTTCCACGTTAGGGACAAGCTGAGGACACTACAATTAATCATGAGCAAATATTGGGGCTATATCCCAATTCCATTAATTGTCTCCCCCCTCCCTCTCCCCTCACACGGCTTTTCCTCGTTCATCAGCGCTTCTCGCTGCAACCAGGAAAAAAAGATCAAAGAAAGAGAAGTGAGGACGGAATAATCAATGAAACAACAGTGAAATGAGACGTCGTTCACAGTCAAGGTTCATCTGAAACGATGATTCCTGATGAAGGCTGCACAGCTGGAGCAGACGTCCGTGGGCTTTACCGACGCCTTTGTATTTGCACAGTTAATGGGATGTACTGCCCAAACAACAAGGGCCCATGGCTGATACTGTTAGCTGCACTGTTATGTATTATTTATGTCCTCCCACATGACAAAGCACAACGTGAAGTATTAGTCTCTGCATATTAAACATGTTACGTCCCTTCACATTAACGGAATGGTAAGTATTCGCACATAAACCCGTATTTAGTCATTGCACACATCGCTCTGTATGTATGGTGTATCTGGCCATTTTCAGCACATGTCCCAGCTGCTGGTTTCATGTGAATCATTGCATGTCATGCTGTCGCCTCCTCGTAGCGCTAAAGCTTCACCAGAAGAAGCGTATTTAATAGTTTATTGTCAAGGTGCAAAACTGATTAGAATATACTGAGGGCGTGGATTAAAGGCTGCAAGGTGTTGGAGTCATTCTGAACAATTTTTAGGCCCTGAGGTTGCAAAATAAGGGGAAAAAAAATACAATTTTAGGTATGGTGTAACAGAAACATTGGTTCAGATGAACCCAGCGGCTTCACACCGATGTGATATAGCCATTAGCAAACAGGTAACGATGACCAAACTAGCTCTGCAATGCTGTCATAGCAGTGTTTGCAGATGTGCAATAATACTGGCAGCAAGAGAGCAGTGTCAGATTACTGTGTAAATTGGCAACCCAGCAACACAAAGTTTGCAACAAGCGTTAACCACAAAACTTTGTCCCACCTATGTGGAGCCTCTTGCATTGCCTCAAAGTATTTCCTCTATCTGCAAGTTCTGGCGTCAAGAAAGTGACCTCTCAGTGTGTCAAAGTAAAGCTGGATGCCAAATTCAGCACGTCACTGAAAGTCCATCAGAAGGAGTTGATTTAACTCCTAAAAACTTGTTTATATGCATTAAAGTTAAGTCAAAAATGACTTCAAGTGGCTTAAATGTCACAGAGTGTGACTGTTTACCAGAAATTATAGCATCAATATTTACTTTCTGGTGTGATCAGTCTTATCTTGGAGCTGCAGAGTTCCAACCAAAAACATGTAGAGATATGTATTTTCAAACTATAGTTTCAAATCACATTAACTCGTATGACATCTCTGCCTCTCTCTCAATCCTCTCCTCCCCACTCGCTGTAGCTCGAGCTCACCAGCTCACCTCACATACTGTCAAACAACTCGATGCTACACAACAGCAAGTTGTAACATCGGGGGAAATGTAGCTATACATGTTCAAACTGGAAACTGATTCTGAAGAATAATGATACAGAAAGCTCCACCCTGCATGTTGAAACAGGATTGGTTGCTTAGGTTTGTTATTATGAACATCCAGAAGTCTGAATTTGTGTTTCTGAGAGCATCATTGCAGCTTCACATAAATTTGCACATGTTGACAAGGTACGAAACTTGATTTGTATTATAGATGGTTTTTGTGTAACTCAATGGCTTGACTTCTCTTTTTCCATTATTATGATTTTCCATTATCATTTTTGCTCACTTCATTTCACAATAAATACACAAAATCTGATGGTAAAAGAATTTAAAACATTTTGTTCTTTTATGCCAATAAACAGAAGCGGTGCGACCTAATCCTGCATTGCTGCTACCATCTGATAAAACAGCGACCCTTGTGTGAAGCTTTTGTGTGCCGTTAGTCTGGGTCGGTCAGTACTCTGAGGACAGATTTGTTTTGTTTTGAGAGGTTTTCACACAGTTTTGTCTTTATTGGATGGAGACAGACAGCGAGCATTAAGGAGCAGAGGGAAAGGTGTGACAGATGAGGCAAATTAACAGAGGAATCAAAATGAGAACACTGTACGCTATTGGTCTTCAACTCTAAGCTTGTAGGATTTTTTAGGAGTTTCCTTTCAGATCCACTCCCCCAAAAACCTCTCTGTGCAATGTCGGTACCTCTTCTCAGCCTGCCCTCTCAAAATGGCATTATTGGGAATCTCGTCTCTACAGCCTACTCAAAAACTTCCGTGGATTTTGTTGTATGTACAAAAGACGTGTTTGCACAAGCAGACACAGAAACAGACATGATGCCACACTGCCTGGTCAATTCAAAGGCTAATGTTGGACTTGTGTTACGACACATTCAGCACAAGCCTTAATTAAGTAAACCACTCTAGCTGCACTCAATTCTATTCATTCCTCCACTGTATGTATCAATAGCCTTCCTGCTCCCATTCAGCTGAAGCGTTTAGGCATCAAAGGAACTGGCTGTTACAAGGCACCACTGATTGCTACGCTGAATGGCACACTGACATGCAAGTAAGATTCACTGGATGATCTCCATCAGCCATTCTGAGTGAAAGACGGGTCGATGTGTCCCGCCGCTGCGTGGCTGCAGTAAGCAGAAATTATGGGAGTTGATAGTGATCAAAGGTATTTCCTCTTCTTTCTTGCAGCAGCTAATTGAAGGTAGACAAGCATGCTGCATAATTGTGATGGATGGACAGCTCGCCTCAGACAGCTTCATTTAGTTATTCTTTTTTTTTCTGAGAGGGTAAAAAGCGCTCGGGCCAATATAACCGTTCAGCGCCGCTAACTAATTTCTGGCTGACATCTAATAGCTGATTAAGGATGTTAGCGGTAGACGTTCGGACGGTGAGGTCAATACCAAATTGTCAGTACGGCTCGCTTCTTAACCCCATCAGCAAGACTTATGATGATTAACAGAGCTCTGAGCCTTGAGTAAAGCAATCATTTCTAACCCTGTGTTAACCTCTATGGGCTGCTAAACAAACACAGCCTTAGGTGAACCTGCCTACCCGGCTAAATCAAATCACGTTGAAAGTCAACATGACTTCTAATTTAACAACTCCAGGCGACTTGGGATCTCTTAAGTTTTATAAACCTAAATATCTGTGAAAAATGTCCTTAAATAGATCAAACCTTACCATCTCTAGATCCAACACACGATCCTGGAAAGACACACAAACACTGTGATGTTACTTTACATGCATATGAAAACATGAAATGAACAACCACCAAAGTAAGCTTGAGCCTGAAGAGCTCAGGGCTATTTTCATGGTAATTTACTTTACCTTTTAAGCTATTATGTTATTATGAAGGCTAGCCATAAATGCTGTATGCTGGGTTTTTTTTTCAGAACAGTCCAGACTGTCCAGACGTTCCATTATTTATTATGATAATACTTTTTTTTACAGTAATCTTTATACTAGCATTTGTACTTTTACATGCATCTCACCATAACATTCAGAATTGTTTTAGGGTAGATTGTCTGGAATCTTGCAATATCAGAAGCATGATGATGGGATACTGCATGACTTAGAAACTGGGAAAAATGTAATCAGTGTGTAATGTAAATAAATGTCATTATTTTATTCATATAAATGTTCATATGCAGTCGTGTACAGGCAGAGGTGGCAAATATTGCACCAAATCCCTACTTTTCCTCCAAACAACAGGCCACCAGCTGCATCAGGGACACTGACCTATTCTGCCAAGAAGCAGGAGTGTGTAAATGGGTGAAGAAATGAGCAAAGATAAGATGAATCTGTCTTTATAATATTTGAGTTATGTTTGAGTAATTGAAACAAAAGCAGTGTGAGATGGACACAGAGCTGTGTGCAGGTTGAAGCTATGATTAAAGCTGATGGAAATTTCTCCTCCTCTGTTCGCTGGCATTGTTAGAAAAGTGAAGTTACGTCGCAAGTCGGGACAATTTGGGTGAAATATCTAATTGCGATTTTTGTTGTTGTCAGATATTGCAATTTGTTTGCAGTATTATTATTTTTTTATAGTCAAGCATGAGTTCAAAATTCACTGTGTAATAGATTTAAAACATGACGAAGTATTACTACCAAAGATACCATCAGAAATGTGCCTGTTACATAAGCAAGATGGCGCTAATTTTTAAAACCATATATTGCTACGTATAAGGTGTGGCTATTAAATAACAAGACTGAGCTCGTGCCGGTCAAACTACAGCGTGCATGCATGAACCACATAATGTGCTCTGATCAGTGGGTATAAACACCTCCTGAAGGTCTCAATCTGCTCAAATTAAATAAAACTGAATTACAGCATTAGCCTCTTTATTTATTAGCCAGACCTCGTGAATCCTAAATTGCAGCCTTGCGATTTGCTAATTGCAGCGTTTCAAACCGAGCTCCATTTGAAGTCGATTAATTGCTCAGCCTTATTGTGAGGATGTGATGTACGTTTCACCCCTCTGCATTATATACTTTTAAGAGCAATTCAGCGGAGAAAAATAGAAGTGAATCTGGATGCAAAGTGCATCTGTTGGGCTAAACTAATATGCGAGATAGAAAATAATTTAGTTTGTATGAGACAGTGACTACGTTCCAAATCGCATATGTTCTCTTTTTACATTAAGTAAACACTTTGTGGTCCAGAATGGCTAGAAAAGCATCCTGCCTGCACACTGCAAAATCCGATTTTTGGCATACTACATTTGACAAAGTATCTACTGGGAAACTAAAGCGTCTTCTGGCGTACTATATAGTCAGGAAGTACAGGTTTTGGAATGCACCCAGTGTGTCCAGGTAACTTCTCAAAATGGTGGATGAGCAGACAGAAACTCCAGCATATTCATGTGAGGGAGGAGAAAAAAAAAGAAAAAAACTGACGGAGGAAAAGAATAGAGCGTTCCAACAAATGGGTAACAAGGGAAGGAAAAACACGGGCGAGGGAGAGTCTGTAGCACACAACAGACTTCTTATCACGCACGCTGACACACTCACACAAAGACAAACCGCTCTCGCCGCTCATCCAGCTCCTGACTGATGTTCCCTCTCTAACGATGCATAAGTGATGCTATGCCTCTTATCTGCCACTCAAACGCACACCTGCTCTTCCCTCCAACCGGCTGCCTCTCCCTCCTCTGCCTGTAATGTGTTGATGATTTCTAACAAGGATACTTTTATTTAATTTTTTTTTTACCCCCCTCCTCCCTCAGCCTGCCCCTAACTTTTTTCTTTTTTTCTTTTTTTTAAACTCATCCATGTCCTTCACTGTATCTGTCTTTCTTCTCCTCATCCTTCATAATTAAAAGCTCGGCTGCGTCTGAGAGGGCACACGAGCTCTGGCAGGTGCCATTATGCAACCACAGATGGGACCCCGGTATCCGACACACACACATGCACACGTTCAGAGGCACAGACAGGAGCTCTGCAAGAACGGCGTCTTTGCAAATACTTTTAATTTGGGTGTGTGTGTGTGTGCGCACAGCCGCTTGTGTTTTGCTGTTTAGCGGGGAATAAAAAGCCAGCGAGGCGCTGGACTAGGTGAGCTGGTGGCCTGCCAAGTGTCGCTGCTGCAGCACTGAAAGACAGAGACAAGGCCTCTAGTGGCTTTTAAACTCCTAGACTCCGTGTCTGCAGTAATTAGCTACTTGTCCAAGCAAGGCTACAAGGAGTGTGTCAGGCCCACAGCTGTGCAGCGATGTTTGTAACACAGCAACACAGAGCTCGCGAAGCCCAGCAGTTACTCTAACACAGCCCAACTGATTTGAAGGCAATGGGATGTTTGTACTGCACTCTAGCAGCTCTCTATTCTTGTGTACATACGGTTGAAATCAGGTCAGCTGGATATTAAAAATCCACTATTTAGAGTGCGGCAAAGCAGATGGAAATAAACAGATACGGATTAATACAGATACATGCTGCTGACCTGAAGGCTTCTCATTTCTTCCTCCTTCCTCCGACTCCTCTCCAGCAGCTCTGAAATGAATAAGAGAAGATGCTGATGAACTCCGTTGTCAGATCTCAAAGTAATAATATCTGTGCTCTATGCTGGCTGCATCCTCAGAAGACACAACATTTTCTGTGTTCATTTCTTTGACATGTGCTCCATCTGTGGAAGGTGTCATGTATGGCATTAATATCTGTAGCGGAAATAGAACTGAGACATCTAATCTGCTAAGATTTTGCAAGTAAAATGCAAAACACATTCTTGTTCCAGCTTGTCAGATGTGAAGATTTGCTATAGTTTATATATTTGAGGTCAGACAAAACGAGTCAATTCAGGCTTCAAGAAACAACAGGAGGATTTCTTACTATTTTCTGATCCTTTATAGACTGATTATTAAAAAAGAATCTGCAGCTTAACCAATAATAAAGATTCCTTTTGTTTTTATACCACATTAATCTGTCCTGTTGTTAAAATTCTTTTCTTTTTTCCTGTCAAAATCTGAAAACCCTAACTCTGACATAGTACAGACACACAACTCCATCAAGCATCAATTTAAATTTAATAGAAATGGAGATGTGGGACTGAGACATTTAACCTCTAAGGACATGAAAAAAAGCTTATTTATTACTAATTCACTGTATTTCGGTCATGTGATAAATGTATTTGACTGCCTCAAACACAGTTGGTGCTGGTGGATGATTTTTTATCCAGACAGGTATATGAAAGACAAACTCTGCTTGTGTTTGTTGATGACTGCAGCACCAAACTGTTTTTAATTACAATCGCTGGCTGCTTAATGAGATGTTGATTGAGAGGAATAACAGTGAATTTACTGAGCAATTTTGTTTTATTAAGCAAATGCCACAATGCTTCATTCTGCTTGGCATTGTGCCGTGTAGAATGAGCTTTTTGCAAATAGTTGAAATAAAATGTTTACGTTACAGAAATAGTAAATAGAAAGAAAATGTTCATCAACATTTTAATAAATCTTTATGAAACAAAATCATAAAGTGTTCTTATTCCAATGACTGAACTTAACAGTAATAACTTATTGTGCCAACTTGGCTGTTGATTTTAAACTAGTCTATTGTTTAAGTACGCTGGTGCACTACTGATGGCAGATTAAAACACGGCGATGAGAACTGAGCATTAGAGTCTTGGTTAATGCAGACTTTGAACACGGACAGCATTTGTGCATGCAGTTCTATTTATACTATAACACACAAAACATAGTGAACACAGCAGTGTCACAGTACTCCTCGTATCAAACATAGAAAAACACACAGGACCCCCCGAGTGTTTCCAAAAGGCTGCGAGTTTGCACTTTTTACAGCATGTAGCAGCTGGTAACAGATCGTGCCACACCTAGCTGCAACTGTGACTGTGTTGATCTAAACATTCCTGAGATGTGCTGAGCACGGTGGGCAAACATTGCACAGAATTCACAACTTTCCGATGTGTTTGTGCACCATCTACAGGAAGCATGTACAAATCAAAGCACCTCCAAAGTCCTGCAGTGACAAAAGGTGGCATTTGTTTTACTGGCACATGTGCAGTCAGTGTGCTTGGGCATTCCACTGATTATAGATTTTGGACTCGATGCAGACCCTCACAGACTCACCTCTCTGTTAAAAACCAAGGTTTCTTCACTTATTGTCACGTCTATATGATATTTTGTCAATGCTTGAAGACACATCCTGAGTCAACACCATGTCTGAGTATTTCTGCCTTCAAACTGCAGCTCCACAGTTTTCCATGTAACAAACCTAAAGAACCAATCCTGTCAACTTGCAGGGCTTTCTGTACCATTATTCTTTGTCAGAATCGGTTCAAACATGTATGGCTGAACTACTACAATATTACAACTCTAACTGTGAAGTGTAGAGTAGTTTTACGGTGTTTGAGTAGGCGAGCTGGTGGTCTCGAGCTGCAGCGAGTGGGGAGGTGTGGGTGGAAAGATGAAAGCAGGCAGCGGTGTAGAGTGACATCTAAGCCCTTTTATTGCAGGAGGGGACTATTTTCAAGGAAACTTATGTAACTTTGATGCACTGAGTTGAGTTTTTCAAGCTTTAACCAACAACCAAAGACTTTAACAGACTTGCATCGCTTCTCTGAAAGAACACAGCATTAACCGGCTACAACAGCCTGTGCAGACATATTAGTAGGATTACTCTTGTGGTTGTCACACCATCTACCTCATGGCATGTCCCCAAATTCAATATCCAATGTCTTGTCGATGACTGAATCTCCACCTCCTCAAATAAATGGGCATAAACATTTATCTGACTACACACTGACAAACACACTTGACAGAAATACTGGAAAATGCCAAACAAGATTTTTTCCTAAAGAGCAAACTTCCACAGTCTAGAACCTCCTAGTCAGTTAAAATCTACTTGGAAACCAGCAGAGGAAAGATAGCGCTGGTAGTCCACCGCCACGGTTATCTTTGCTGACTCACACTCAGCCCCTTCTCACCTAAAAACTGTGGGATGTTCTGTATTAGCAGGCCAGCTGTTATCTACACATGCAGTGCAGACTTGTTTTTAAGAAAAAAAAAGGCCAATAGGGAGCATTGCACGAGTGATGAAAGGTCTCGAGGAAAATACGGAGCAGCCGCGGTCTGACACAAATAAATTCACTGACACAAACACTGTGTATCACACAATAGCCCTGCAGAGTGCTGGCAATATTGGCTAATCTACTGAGATAAAACAAGCAGATATAAGATCTCATAAGAAGGCAGTTTCCAGAGCGATAATATACCGTAATTAGTATTTACAACACTGCACGGTTGAGTATATTGCTGCAAATGCATCATGTCACTACTGCATGGTGGGAAATTTGTAAGTCTTGTCTTGCTCTAACACAATATAAGAATTGCAGTTAAAATGCATTACTAAGAAGACATGTGTAAAGCAGAGCTGATAAAAATCCTCCCCTTCAATTCCAATAGCCAGATGTTGTTGTGACACACAGATTACTCTGAGGTCTAATCACTAAAGAGACCCTGCTTTAGCAATGCCTGCAGTGACGACTGACAAGGCTACTTCTGTCAAATGGCTGATTAGACCCGATGACAAAGTGAACTGATTCCAAAGGGGGTTTGGGGATGAGCGTGGGTCATCAGATTGCTTATCTGAATTGTGCAACGCTACCATCATAGCCAAAAAAACATACAGTGATAGAGCACAGATAGCTGGCTGTCTCTCTCTAAAGGTTTTCCATCTCCTTTACCTTGTCCAACTATCCTTCTGTCAGCGGTCTGACTGCGTCTTTCAACTCTCTTTCTCTGTGTTAATGGAACACAAATTAGGTCCATTTCCCCTGTATTGTTCAAATGAGGCACTAAAAACAAGTCGTTCTTCCTTTGCTAGTTACAGCTCATTAGGAGAAATTCAGTCAAAAATGTAGGCTCGGGACGGGGGGAAAAAAAAACAAGTCCATTTTCCATACAAGACTCAAAGTTCACAGCCATTAAGATGCTTTCTCAAACATTTGTAATCGTAAACAGACAGACCCGTGTGCACAGTCTAAAAAAAATACAATGCATCGGAGAGAGACGCCAGCACAGACAGCCATTTTCGCAAACATCCATTATAACACAGCACACAAAAACCACTCTGTAACAAAAACACTTCAGTAATACACCTGCATTGAATTAGTTATTGCTCTTAATGACGGTGTGATTACATGTAAATGAGAGAGGAACAAAACAGCGGATCAGACTGTGAATAGGGTGTATCAGTCAAAAGGAACTGCTCAGGAGTCCAGGTACTTTCTTAGGAGTTGTCTATGGTAAATATTCACATCTTGTCTCCACCGTTAGTGAACAACCAAACAGTTCTTGTCCAACGCTCTTTTTTTTTTTTTCACAGATATTCCTGTGGTGTGTTATGACAAGTTTGATATATAGCATGGGTATATGGGTCAGTAGGATCATAAGGTAAGTGGAATCAATGCAAAGGCATTTTCTTAATTAAATACCACCTTTCTTTTCAGTGCTGAACGAGTGCAGCAGCTTCTCCTGTTGGTCGAGGCGCTGCAGGAGAGACGCCTGCTCCGAGTCCCGGCTCTGCCTGAGGGCCTTCAACTGATCCCTGGTCTGTTGATGCTGCCTCCTCAGGCGCTGGTCTCTTGTGTCGCGTTCCCGCACCTCCTCGCACAGCCAACGCAGCTTCGTCTGGTTTGGTTTAATAAATACACACATGTATTAGATAAGGGCGGATGTAAAGGTGCGTGTGAATACTTGGGGAATCGGTGCATTAGGGAGGCAAAGTCATCGGTAGACCTCAGTTCCCACCTTGACATAATTCAAACACATGCTGATAATAAAAATTATTTTCCTGATGTAACCACACATGTTCTGCTCCCACTGGGTTTTCTGATAGAAAAATCGCACCGCACTCCAGTCAATGCAAAGGACATCACATAGGAACTTAATTAAGACCCTAAGACTGTCTGATAGCGGAGTATCTCCAGAGAATCCTAATTTTCCCTTTAAAGCAAAATCCTCTGGTAAAAATTCAACACTAATTCTTCTGTTTAATAAGGTTTCTGTTTCATCCCCGTCCAAGCTGCAAGTTTACAGCTCACTTGAAATCTCGGCTTAAATTTGAACACGATTCCACTTTGACATTTTGTCTTTTAGCTGAGATGGAGGTATTAAATTCACCTCAGCCAGAAGACGGACTAAATGAGTCCGAAAACAGTTGGGAGAAAACACGCCAGCAGTGCCAGAGCAACAGAAAGATATTTACAGTGTTTCCCACAACAGGTTGTCACAGCCACGGAAAATGACTGGCTAAATGGGTCTTCCAACTGTGCACTGTAAGACTGTAAATCATACCTACATTTTACAAACAAAGAAACTCTTAACAAGGATGCTAATTATCTCTCTTGTTCTCAGGTTTTATCTCCGTGTTTTATTCCTGTAAATGCACAGCACTCTGGGAGCACTTGTGACAGCAGATATACATTATGGTGATAAACACTATGAATTGTGCAAACACATTTTAACACCCTATCATGCATCACCGCCGCAGCCATAATTACATGTTTTTTTTTTTGTTTTTTTGCGAGTTTGTGATATTAAACGAGAGCCGCTTTTGTTTTGGAAAGATGCCATGTGAAAACTTTTACTGTATAGGAGAGGAGGAGGAGGATGGTGGCAAGAGAGCAACACTTTAAATTACAACTTTTGTAAATTATTACAAATGCATCCGATAACTACTTCGACTTAAAGAGCCTTACGAAAACAGAGCATCGTGTTAAACGTGATATTGCCAGAGAGGAAAAAAAACCTGTAAAAATAATGTAGTACCGCTGAATTTAGGGTTGTTTAACTTAAAATTGTTGTTGCCTCTTCAATTATTATGGAAACTCTCTGTTTCAACATCCTGAACATAAATCCAAAGGCAGTTATTTTGGGCTAACAAGACGGGATCTTTATCTAAACGAATGTGGACAGAGCTTTAACTGTACTTTAAATGATACATGAGACATAAAAATTCTGATAAAGGAAAAAAATCAGCTAGTTTGGTGACTTTCTCCCAAAATAAGGTTAAAGAAGCAGTTTTCAAAGCTGGTTATAGTTTTCCTTCACATCCCCACAGTCTCATGACACTATGCTTCTGTCAGTTCACGAACACTATTTCCCAGTTTGTCATTGTGAAGCAGCAATTAGCTTTCTGAAGGGATGTGACATGTGTCACACAACTGCCATCTCTGGCATTATGTAATTCTGCTATGGATTTCTATTCAGGACGCTTTAAACCTTGAGTCTCTCCCGTATAACATCCCTGACGTCAGTGCTCTGCTGCAGAAAGAGGTTATACCACAGTGAATGTCTGTTGTAAATAAGTTAAAATATAACAATGTAAGTCACTGACTACATGCGCTGATTAGCCACAACATTAAAAGCACTGACAGGTGAAGAATGTAACATTGATCATTTTGGTCTGCTCAGAAACCAAATATACCCAACTAAGCAGATGACAATGACGTTTCTCTGCTGGTATCTCTGGCTCCAGATCAGCACGTTTCTGATCTGTGGTTACTTGCCTCACAAACCTTCCCAGTGCTGACTGTTCTCTCATTTGTTGCTTGTCTGTTGCGCCTATCCCTCTCTTTCTCCCCTTTACAATTTACAATTTCACTTAGCAGACGCTTTTTTCCTAAACGATGTACATCTTATACCCTCACCTCAACCAGTTAAGGCAGATGCCTGCCTTCCCTGAGCCTGGTTCTGCCCAACCAGGCTCAGGTCCAGGCTTTTGTTCTTCCCATTGTTACCAAAGAACTCCTTAAAGGGAAGCATTTGGAATTGTTTAGTTTCTCTCTAGAATATGCGCTAATATTGTAAACGTCTTCACCTGAGTATGTGAAGTGCCCTGAGATGATTTTATCTGTGTTTATATAGCACCAATTCACAACATAATTGTATTGAACTGAGGCTCCCTGACAGCAGTGGCCACAATGCATCCTCCTACACCGTGAAAACTGCTCAGAAATGCCTTGTGGAAGATGACAAAGGCCAGACTCTTGAGATTCCTATCTGATTAAGTATCCACAAGATGCGGCAGGATGCTTATTACTGTTATTGTTACACCACATTTAGAAAAGAATAGATCTTTATTGTCATTGTTAAAGAACAACAAAAGGCAGTTTAGCAGCTCCTGAATAGTAACATTAATATTTTTTATTGTGCCAGAACCATCTGTTTGTTTTGCACCTTAACTTGGTTCTTTCATCACCATTTTTTGCAACTTATTTTTCTTGCATGTAATGTGTGTGAGCGACTGGATTCCTTGAATTTCCCCAAAGAGAGTAGTAACATATCTGTCTGCCTGTCTTCCTGGTACCAGACACCACAGGACACCCCCAGAGGTCCAGTGTCCATGTCTCGACCGGTCAGAGCTGCTTTAGCGGTACAAGGGGGACCTAGAGAATACTAGGCAGGTGGTTTTAATGTTGTGGCTCGTTTTCTTGGGAATAAGCATGATCCTCATTGTAATAGCACATCCTCTGTTTTGCTCTCTCCATTATATAATTGATTCTGATTGATAATTATTCAGAAGAAATCCTTCAAAAAGAAGGGAGCTATAAATTAAAAATACCTTGGTCTCAGCTAGCCAGCGGTGGGGGTCTTTGACTAAGCCAGGTCTCTGGGAGATCGCCTGTTAGAAGAGAACAGAGATAAATGCAAATGTGAGCTCTTCTGCCGGTGTTAGCATGCATTACAAAAAGTCTACGATGCAACAGAGTGCAAATTTAACACGTTTCGTACATTGTCTGTATGGAAAAAAAAACTGCACGAGTTACAGAATGTAAAGAGGAAAAAAAAACGTGAATGTGGACGGACAAACACCAGGATAGAAATCAGAAGAAAGAGCCTCCTGTCAAAACCCTTAACTTTTGAGAAGAGCGGCTTCTGCCAACTTAAATTGGCGTGCATGTGTTAAACAGCCTATGACACTACACACAGTGGTGCACGCACGCACACCTACACACAGGGGTTGTGTGTGTGTGTGTCATAAAAAATGAGCTCAGGGAGTATGTTCCATCCTTTCCAGACAAGCTTGTCAGCATCAGCAACACAAACTGACTGTCTGCCAACTCCTAATGACTGCTGACACACACATACACACACACAAAACCACACTCTTAAGACAAAAAGACAAGATACACAGATAAACACAGTCACATAACTAGATGGCACTCGGTTGAGAGCACCCCTCCGCCGGTGCTGCGCGGCTGCCGAGACGCGCCAACTACATGTGGAATTTTCCGCAAAAGGTGAATAATCCCCTCCTAAGCTTCATTACCTGTTTGTCTCCCATGAGGTGATGAATACGTGTTTTCTTGCCAACACCGGAAATGGAACACCAGATATGGCAGTTCTAATTCTAGCCTCTTTATTTCGGTTGGTTATTGCATCTCGGTGCAGAGAATCAGGTCTTTATCTGTTCAGTGACCATTAGAGCTGCACTTTAACCACTGTGCAACTTTTGAAATAAATGGAGCTGCAGGTTATCTTTTTTTTGCTTTTTTTTCCAGCTGCTGATAGTGCTATGGTAACATGGAGAAAGACAGGATATGACTTGTAGCAAAAGATCTTGAGGTTTTATGTTAGGTTTTTTAACCAACAGGCCTCCAAGGTCATTTCAAGCAACAGTTTTATGCCAAATATAACAAAGCTGTCGTTGGGCTTTCTTTCATTTGACCGTTAGGGGTTTATTCCTTATGTCTGCTGATGATTTTAACAATCCTAGAAGTCTGCAGTCATGCTACCGGCTGCGTGTGGCTGTACTCAGGCACAGCAGTGCTTTGAACTGTAACGCTGTATACTAATGTCCATCTATTATCTATACACTGCTTAATCCTCACGAGGGTCGCGGGGGGGGCTGGAGCCTATCCCAGCCGACTTAGGGCGAAGGCAGGGCACTATATGCTAACATGCTCATGAGAAACACAGGTTTATAATTTTGGCAATCTTTGGCCAACAGCACTAAACACAAAATAAAACTGAGGCTTATGTAGTGTTGCAGGTTTTTGGTCATAAATATATAAACTAAAGATGCAAATTTTAAACTATTTCCTTCACTGATAATCAGTCATATTAACAATAAATGGCTGAAAAGTATGAAATACAGCTGAATGTTTGCAGCAAAATCTGCTTCTTACACCAGGAATTAGTAGAACTTGAGGTGTAGATTAATTAGCAGATAATACCTGCTTTAGTTGAAATTGCTATTTACCAACAAAATCCCAAACACTAAACATAACAAAGGAGCTGCAGTCTTAGACGGTAAATTACCTTTAACATCATTAATCTCTTCTATTCTTTTCTGATATCAAAATAATCCTCACACCTGATCTACATAATAGTCACTTCTTCGCTGTAGTTACTGTTAGTCCAGCTGCTGAAAACAGCTGCATAGCTGAAACAGATGTCCACAAATACAGTCCCAGCAATTTTATCAGACTAGAAAATCTGTCAGTATTTACTGCACCTCTACAGTGTGTTTATACTCAGAGCATCACAGACACACTTCATCACTTCAGCTTGAATATCGTTGGAAGCATGTAACCCAAGTGCTGCTGCTTCTGAGCGTTAGCGCCGTTCCTCCTGACAGACACGATGCTCGCAGCCTGTGATAGCGTTTGAAAACCGTAGTTTAACATTAGCATGAAGTGGACAGCTACGAGACACCTGTGTACAACTTGATGATGCAAAGTTCATTAGCACAGCTACCACAGTGAGAAGTCAGGGAGGTGCGCTTGTTTTGTGGTACCCTTAAAGGAGGTCAGCACACACACCTGCAACTCCATCTCATTAAATAATAAGAGGCTCCAAGTGGTGGGCAACCAGGTACCACACAAAATCAACAATACGTTTACTGACATGCATGTCCTGCATTTTGAGCCTCATCGGTTAATCTATTGTTCATCTGTTCAATTAGCAACAATTACTGAGCGATGAACAATCAATCATTAACATCTCTAGTATACAGTTCAGAAAAGTTAACTTAAAAAGATGTTTGTTTGTTTGTTTCCCCAATACTGGCATTAGGGAATTACAATTTGTTGTAACAGACACATAAATGCACATTCATGCCAATTCAGGCAATACTGGTCGACAAATGTAGCAACATGGAAAAATAACAACACCCACTTTAATATTAACATATAGTGTTAAATAACATCTATTTTAAAATCATTTCAAATCAACACATTTAGAGAGTGACAGGTGGTGTCAATAAAGGGGTACTTGTGCTCATCTGACAGGGCAGTGGGCACAAGTACCCACTCATGTAAAACAGGACCAGCTGTTTTAGATGACTATCACAAGCTCGTGCAGCCTATCACATCTCTATCTGCTCTGCCGATGGCCATTACGGCTGCATTCAGCCACAGTACCAAGTTTTGGAAAAACTGGAGGGCCACTTTTACCCCAAAACAGATAAGCTCTCCTGTCCCCTTCTGTTATTTGCTTTGCTAAATAATGGTTGGTCTTCCAGCTTCTGATGGCACCAAAAAAAAAAAAAAAACCCTATTAGAGAAAGATCACACACTCTGATGAAATGTAAAAAAGTACAAGAATCGTTTTTACGCCATGACCAACCTTTTAAAAGGTTTTTGTATGTGTCCAGCCACCCTGCCTACAGAGCAGAAACACAACTCCCCTTCTGCTACGGTAAGGAAGAAAAAAAGCTGGATCACATGTGCGAAAACACACAGCCACGAACAAAGTCGACAAAAAAGTACAACTGCTTTTTCAAGTGCATCCTTGTGGCAAGGTGTTTACGCATGATCAACAGTCAGGGAAAACACACAGCGGGGTTTTTTTTTTGGACCCTTTCTGTCCTGTGCCTTCGCAAACAACATCGTCACCGCACAGGTGCCAGGCGACTTTTTCAAGACGTCACTCAAAACCAGATCCAAGCAAAAAGAATCTCCCAAGTCGTTGCCACGGCAGCTCAAAGTACGGCAATGGAGTGCTGCTGTGCAGAGGTCCCCGTCTCAGGGAGTGTACAACCGTATGGCGGAGCATGTGACTGTGTAGGAGGATAAAACATGCCTTTATGCTTCTCGCTCACGCTCTCTTTACTCTTTCTCGAACCATCAAAGGCCGCTCGGCGCAGTGGCAGACAAAAAGGAGGTGAAACTGTTGAAAAACCGAACAAGTAGGCTGGGAGTTGAAAGTGCTGTCTGTGAGGTGGAAGTGAAAGAAATGCCACTATTTTCTCAGCAGCATTGGCGTGGAATCCAAGCGTCTGCCACAGCTAATTTAAATGTGTGACTGCATGGTTTATGTCTCTTTCAGAATGTGAGTAAGTCTGTGACTGTGTGTCTTTGGTTACAGTGTGTTTGTTTCACCTCCCGCTGAGAAAATGGAAAAGATGGTAAAATTTAAAGACAAGCAGACGGCAGAGATGTGAAGACTAACAGCAAGTGGAAAGGACACAGAAAAGATGTTTTCATAGAGATTACCACTGTGGCATGTCTCTTCATTAAACAGTCTAGGAAAAAAAAAAGATGAGGAAGATCGAGAAGGAACAACGACAAAAAAAAAAAAGACAAATGTCCCAGCCTGGATTCAGACACAAAATCTGTAGTTACTGTATAGGATGTGCACACACCAAAACCGACGGAGCCAAAAAAACGAGAAAATCAGAGGCACGAAAAAAGTCACAAATGAGAGACAAGAAAAGAACCTGCACTTTATAACGTTGATCTGACGACATTCAAGCATGTCGGCTTCATGTCTGAATGAGCGCCACGTTTACTTTTCCGTAAAAGTCGCACCAGCAATCTCACAAGATTGGATCAAGTAACATTTCTGTATCGCTTGAAACATGACACACAAACTACATGTAGACACATTAACAGACAAGCATGCACAAGCAGCACACTTCGGGATATGTAAAGCGATTTGGGAAAGACTTCTCCACATTTCAACACTAACATTTGTACTAAAACATTACAGAGAGCACAGAAAAAAACATTGCATGCAAAAATCATCTTTCTCATGCACTTCTGCTTTACAATTTAACATAACAAATGTTGAAGTGTAAAAGCAGCCATTAAAATACAACTTTTTTCAGACAGTTTGGTTCGATTAATGAGACTTACCAGAAACAATCCAGGTTTTAATAAAACTTTAACAGAAGCTGAAGTTCAGTTTGTTGATTCCAGCTGTTTGTACGCGTCTTTCCTCTGAGTTTAACAAAAACCTGAAGCATCAAACAGCAGCAGGATCTATAGGAGCGTCTTCAAAGCAAGAGTTGTGTGCATTGTGGAAGAACAGCAGCACAACATATAATTATAAATGATCCCCAACATGTAGACAGGATTGATCAGGATTTAACACCAAGCCAAACTGTGAACTTTTCCTCACCTCAGATAGGTGAGCTGTCATACAGAGTCACAGTTTATCAACTGCAGTTAAATCATTTATTACACAGCAGCTGTCCTCAGATTGAATCCTGAGCTCCACCACAGCTGTCAGGACATTGTTATTATTTTACTGCTGTGGAGGTACTAGTGAGATTAGCATCCCATGGCTAGAACTTTCATTGTTTGGGAAACCATAACTAAAACGGGCTCTTGTTTGGGCGATTTCATAAGCTTGTAATTATTTTAGATTTGCTATTTTTGTTTATTGGTGCAGTATTGTATATTATGTGTCACTTACTGTACTATCCAATCTCTGATGTATGACAAATAATGTGCGTGTGCTGCTCTCTCCATCACTGTCTTGGGTATGTCTGAATGAAGCTGTGAAAGTGACCTATGTCTGAATGACAGAGTGCCATCACTTCAACTGATTGATGAAGCAGCAATGTTACGTCCCCCCATGTCTGAAAAGGGCTGGAGAGACAGGGAATTAACATAAGAGGAGGTGTTTTACAAGGTTTAGCATTAAAGGCAGGAAAACAACTGTCAAATCAGTTTTAAAACTGAACGCTAGCCTTATATACAGTAAGAAAGCAGTGTCACTGGTTAAAAATCTCCCTTGACAACTGATTTATCAAACTGCAAAAACACAGTCAATATCTCATACGACAGCACATTTGTCCCACGAACTTCTTCTTAACTTTCAATGTCTTTACACTGTCTTACAACTTCTTGCATTACTGCCTCTATCGAGAGGGAAGGAAGGACAGTGTCGAGAGGCAGCCGAAACCTAATACGGCCTTTAACTGTTAATGATTCCCCTCATTAGGCCAATCACTGGCAAGTTTGACTTCTTTTCAACATGACGGATTACAGAAGAGGAAAGGTGTTGGCTCGCATGTCCGACTGCAGCACTGCTGGACCAGACGGAGAAATCTATAAGAGCAGATAAGAGCAGACTGGGTTCATTAGCCTGGAGCAGCGGAGGAAAACTAGCTTCAAGTGTGTGGAGGGGAGTGAGTGTATGTGTGCAGCATGTATTTAATACTGTATGAGCGTGTAGATACAGTTGAAAGGCAGTATGAGTAAAACATTGGTGTTTGTCAGTAGGCACTGTAGATGCAGCTGTACTGGGTGTGTAGATTTCGTTTTGTATGGTTATATATTGTGTATGTAATATTCCTTTTTGTGTAAATGTGCTACAGATGTAAATGATAATCATGAATTGATTAACTGCTGTTTATATTTTGACTGATTAATGAAGGCAGAAGATGAAGGACTTGCATGCCAAAAAATGCATTGTACATTAACTGTAGTACCTGGTTGCACCACCAGGGGGAGCCTCTTACTGTTTAATAAGAAGGAAGACTGCAGCTTGTTTGCTGTGTTTAATGCTGCAGCAGGCCAAAGAGCCAGTCACTCAGGATACAGATAGTTCCATGTTGGCAAGCAGAAGCATTATAGAGGTTTAGCTATCAATGAGCACCATGACAAAGACTTCTGTAGCAGTTAAGGGCTTCTGACTAGAGCTCATGTATTATAAAATCAGAATCAGAAATACTTTATTGATTCCCAAGGGGAAGTAGCTTGTGTTACAGTTCCCCCCTTGGGGATCAATAAAGTATTTATGATTCTGTGTGCAGAAAAGACTTTTACCAGAACAGCAAGGTGGCTAATGAAACAGAGCTGTTTTTGCGGTGACTGTTAAGTGATTAGAATAACTGTATCACTATATGGAAAACACCCTTTTTACTTCACTTATTAAAGCAATTTTCCAGGTTTCTTTGTAGACTTTTACACTATATTTAACCATCTGAGTATAAAAAACACAAATCCTCAATGTCTCAATGTAACAACAAATGAATAAATATTAGTATTTCTTCAACAAATCAACAAATGTAGTTCCTTTTGTACACAACAACCAAAAATGAACTGAAAAAAACCTAAATAATTAATTTCCACTGTGTCTGTGCAGTCTTCTTGTTGTATTCACTCTCCATGGAGACAACAATAAAACACAACAATAAAGTGGTTTTCTTGCACAGAAAAGACTGCATTTACTACTTCTGATTACTACATCACACAAAACTCCTAAATGTTGAACAAAGCTAATATTTGGCTATTTGTCATGGTATTTGATTATACTGCAACATTTTCTATCAAATCAATTTGGTAGCAGATGTCCAGATCTGGTGCATCAGTAAGTCACTTGAGCAAAGCTGTTTTGCAGGCTATGATGTACAGTTATAAAGGCAGCTCTGCATCAAAGTGTGCGTTTATTTGCATGCCTTTTTTTTTTTTTTGACAACATCAAGCTTGCTTTAGTCCACAATCTCTCACAAAGCTGTAAAAATATTCACTACGCTGGCTGCCTGCTTCAAACGCCATTAAAATCACTTTGCTTGTATGGTCAATTTATTTTTAGAGACTCTTAATTTTATGTTTAGGAAACAGAAACAGGGCAACATTCTGGAAACACAAATATTTCCGCATACTCCACTATACTATCCAGGCTTTGAAATCATTAAAATCGCACCTCAAGAAGTATTGCAACGAAATAAAACAATATTTTTTTTTACCATTGGGACGCCACTAGACAGAAGGGGTAGAAGCAAAGGCACACTCAGATATTTTCATTGGCCTTTTCGTCTCATGTAGCACATTTATCCCACACCTGACCAAGCAGCATTCATCATGAGAGAGCACAGTTATCTCAAATTATGTGGAAAGTGATTATAAAGCAAAATGTACTGTAAACTACACCTGTGTGTAAAAAGATGAGTTCACAAAGTTCAAAAAAAAGGTTGCAATTCTGGCCATTCGCTCAACACATTCATACATAAACAAAGACCCTGCAGACCCTCACAGGAGTTTGTGGATTGTTGGAGCTAAATGGTTATCGCCTCTGACAAAAACTGCTAAATGCAACTTCAATAAACCAAATAACAAACAAAATGTAATGAAAGCAAATACCTGTAGTTTGTCTTCGCCGTTCCTTGCCAGACTGCGACAGGCTGCGTCCAGTTCGTCGCCCATAGAGGTTAAAACGGTCTCCTGCTCGGCTTCCATTTGCAGCAGCTTCTGCTCCAGCTTAACAAGTTCTGACTCTGAGGCACGTCTCCGTTCACCTGACCTGACCTGTGGAGGACAGCAGACAGCCGAGTGGAGGAGAGTAATTAGTTGCAAATTAGCTATCACTTTCTGGTGTTTTTAGCCGTGCAACTGGAATCTTACAAGGCATTGATTACAACAGATTTTTTTTGTTGTTGCAGATGACTAAAATAAGCAACTATTTTCTTGCCGATTACAAGATCAGTTTCAATCCAGGGCACCAGAGAGGGACCATTTCAATCACATATGCAACTAAAAATCTTTCAAGTGTAACTCAACATTTCATTTGACATTTAGCAGGTCTGTCTGTGTTTGTCTGTGGGAGGTTGGCCCTGGTCGATAAAATTACTTGGTTTCATCGCGGGTACATCAACATTATTCTAGTCTTTTTTTGACTCATTTCTGGCCACACTCCTGTCTAAGCTGCTGCAGTAACTGAGTGGAAACTAGGAGCATTTGTGTGCCAAGCTGCCTTGTTAACGTCCACCGATGCATGTGAGGCTTTTACGGAACGCTGGTAAATTGTAGCGTCTACCGTTGCGTGTGAGTGCATGCATTTTGGGGACATCTGTAAATTGCAGCCTCAGAAAACAACCTGAGTTACACTCTGGCACTCTAAACTGCCGGAGTCTCTACATGCACACCAGTCACGCCGCGCCACCCGCCACCACAAGAACATTCTCAACCTGTAGGAAACACTGAGAAATGATTAAATTGCCAACATTATGCATCGCATTTAAGGCAAAGAGTGTACCCAAAGCATGGCGGGGAACAGCCCATTTATTGTCGCAGCATCACCACTCCAAAGGGTTATTCCATCTCCTATCAACAGGGGCCTTCTGCTCTACCATCTCGGAACTACTTGAAACTTTTTATCATAAATTATGGACATGCAAAATGGTATTTGTGAAAAATTTGCTCGATATAACAGGTGCTTTCAGAGACCTTTTTTTATTGCCTGTCAACCCAATTTCAGCACGCTTTTCTACACATTGAAATTTGAGGCTGTATACCTCAAGAACTATGATTATATTTTCTGAACCATATGTAGCTGCGTGTCACAATATTGCAAAACAAAACATAGAGAATACTTTTTAAAATGAAATACTTGATCACAAAAATGGAAGGAAACTTATTTTTGTTGAGCTTTTATAACATCATAGGACTAAGTTTATTCCCAAACAATACAAAAAACAAAACAAGAATCTATTTTCATTAAATCAAACAGTTTGAACAATGAACATGATCGTAATTTTACTTTTAATTTGAAATGCCTGGTCACTAATTGAAAATAAAGTTATTTTTTGTTTAACTCAAACCATCAAAGATGACTTGCGATGGAATGACCACAAATTGAGGAAATAAAAAAAGCAAAATAACATAAACCCTTCCTGTGCTGAGTCATAAATGATGATAAAATATACAACACTTATAATACAGTCAAGTAAGAGCTACCTTTGACTAACTTTAGGTCCCAAGTCATTCTTACGAGTCCAGGTAGTGTTAAATGCACAAGACATTTATCTGCACCTTTATTCCAGTTTGTCATTGTTAAGAAATTATCAGTGTGGAAACTGGAAAAGAAGAAGCTTAAAATGTATTCTTTAGCACCAAACGCACATTTTTTATTGTTCCTAATGTGCTGATACAACTAAATGAAAAAGTAAGGAACACCAGTGCAACTAATGCAAAAAATGTAGAAACCTTGGTTGTTAAGATTTTCCTCAACACTGAACACTAACCCCAACACTTGTAACGGTGAACTTTGCTCACTGTGGGATCAATAAAGTTTATCTTTACAGAAAGACAACTTTTGGCATCAGAGTGTTATTCAGTTTCCTCTCAAACAAACAGATTTAGTTTTTTTTCCTTTTCTGAACTGTTCTGTCAACAGTTTCAGGGTCTTTACCAGAATACAGTCGATCGATGTGTTCGAGGACACGAACCAAGTGATCAGCGCTGCCCAGAGACCATGGATCATTATCCTGTCCCTGGGTTAATAAACCGCCCGTGTTACATTAATAAGAGCCCCTTTTTCTGCATTCAGCCGATTTCAGATCAATACGCAGCTCCCGTGAAAAAGCCCCACGCAAATGATCAGGGGCCTGTCAGAGGGGTGAATTAAGGTTCAATACTTCATCAGCTGTTGTAAAACACCTGAGGACATATTGACAGACCCTTTAAGAATAGTGCTGATTTGGCACCACTTTACCTTTCAGACCACTTTTAGGGTTGCATGATCACATGATCCTACCAGATACCCACATTTTAAGGCCAGGAAGGCAGGAAGGAAAACAATGACTTTATAGGTTGTGTATGTTAGCTTGCTTCTTTGGCAAAGATGACTGATCTAGCAAAAATACTGAGAGAGCAGCCAGAGCAGAGCCAGACATATGAGGGCTGATTGGCAGCATTAATTTCTCTTTATCTGCTAGATACAGAAAAAAATGCAGTTAAAATGTGAAATCTGCAGTTGATGCTGCTGTTTTAAGTGGAACTACTATGTCTGCTGATGACACAATCATACCTGTGAAGTCAGTCTCACCTTTTCAAATAATGTTCTTGAACTATCGCTGTCACAATTAATGACAATCAGCACAAACGTTGTAAAACCTGAAGTGTTTTGTCACTTAATATTAGTCAGTGCGTTTTAAAAAAAAAAAAAAAAAAAAGTGTCAAAAGAGGCCCGACTTACTTTGTCTTCAAGTTCCTGTTTAAGTAGCTGGTATTTTCTGTGAAGAAGTGCATGTTCCTCATCTTTTGTGCTCAGCTGTGCTGCCAGCTTATCACACTCATCCTTCATCCTGTCCAACTTGATGTGCAGCGCCCCACACAGCTCCTTGTCTGATGCTGCATCTGCCTAGTAGAGAGTAGACGCGCTTCAGGCAATGATACACAGGTAATAATTTGAGATCATAAAGACTGGTGGCTTATCTTCAACTTGAAACACGTTTAACTTTTCAATTTCTGTGATTATCAAACCTTAAAATATGCTGAGGATGCGAGTAATTAGTACAGATACGTTTTCAGTTTCCACTTTAATGTCATAAATGCAGCTCTGCAGATCATATCATATCAGAGTCTGCTAAACACACCAGTGGACCCTAATAATTTGATCTTAAGTCACATGTAGCAGGTACAGGTTGAATTCTGACATGACATTTTGTCTAGCACAAACAGAGCATTCTATAACGGGTCAAGAGAATGAGTAAATACCATTTCCAATACTCTGAAACCACGTTCTCATTTCTTAATGCCTGCCCTTAATGTCTGAGTCCAGATCAAGCTTTCAAAGGGGAGCCTCAGACATAAGGTTTCTGTCTACAATAATAACATTATCACACACAGCTCAAGATACAGTAATGTGGAAAGAACAACAATGACTGAGGACTGGAAGTGACAGCACTGACACAAATAAAGAAAAAATGGAAAAACAGAAGTGCTGGAAGTGAAAATGCAAAATTAGAACTGGAGGGAGGCAGAAAAAGAGGGATTAAGACAGAGAGAGACGGCAAGAGGGAAGATAGAGTGGAGGAGAAATCAAGGGAGAGAGGACAAGGACAAGGAAATGAGGATATTTTAAAGCTTTTTTCTGACATGTGACTGTATCACAATTGCAATATAGGCTTCCGGCTATGCTCTGTGAATATTGGGTGGGCTTCTCAGGGACATCTGCAGCACCCGTAGGCTAGTATTTAAAAACATTCCAGCAAACGCCCTTGTCCTCACCGCACTTGGAAATGACACCATTACAATGAGCTATGTCAGATATTAATGCCATTCAGCGCAGCTAATGGGCTAAACTCAACCATATCAGGGAGGTCCATGCCCCTTAAGAAACAATGTACCCAGAAGGGCTCATCATTGGAGATATTGAAGGTAGGGAAGGGGGGGGTGTTGGGTGCCGAGGGAGTAAGTCAAGTGGAGTCCCGTATCTCCAGCACTGCCTTGATGAGACTTTTGAGGTCTGATATCTGGGTTTTTAAATATTCACGCTTAGAGCTGTGGAATGTCCGTGAAGATCCACGGGGCACCACACACCATTAAGGGCTCAGCTATCCTCGGCTCACCCGCACTCAGAGGACAGAGCCCCGGCCAATGAAGAAAATTACTCTAAATGAGAATTTCGTCTGTGTCTCGCTGGGTCGGAAATATGCCAGATGTTTAGTGGCTGTGGCATGTTACCCGGCGCCGAGTTTGAAGTGTGTGCCAATGATATTCTAAATGTCAATTAGAGTGTGGCACTCTGTGATCCATGGATAGGTGTGAGGGAAAATAAAATTTCTATGGCTGGCTTATCACCTTGAACATCTGAAAACATTTGACAAATTAAGAGTGTGTGTGACATCTGATATATTCCCCAGAGACCAGCAGCACTTTTGGTACAGGCCTTTAAGCACATTTAAAGGATATTTAAAACATTCTTTTAAAACATACTTGTTTATTTTTTTGCCAAGTGTTAGATGAAAGAACTGATACTATTCTTGTGTTTGTTCACTAAATATGTAGCTGCAGCCAGCATACAATTAGCTTAGCTTAGCATAAAGACTAAAATCGGGCATGCCTCTGTTCAAAGGCAGTAATACCCACCAAACAGCATCTCTAAAGCTCACAAATTAACAAATTATATCTCGTTTAATCCACACCAAAAGCTAAGTGATTGCGTGCCAGACTATTTCTTGGCTGGAAAAAGCTGCCACACAACTGGTGGAGACTTGAATTTTATGTGCAACTTTTCAACAGAGCTGGTTTAGCTTAAGCTCTATTTACACATTCTCTGACATTTATAAAAAGGACCTACCTTGACCTCCCTCAGGTGCGCCTGTATTTCATCTCGCTCCTGGCGGCAGAGCTTCAGCATGTCCTGCACCTCCCGATCCTTCTTTATCCTGCTGTCCCCCACTGTGGCCTTCGTGTTGTCGAGTTCCTTCTGATGCACCTCTCTCTCGAGCTGCAGCTGCTTGCTCAGGGCGTCCCGCTCCTCCTGCAGTGCTGTCAGCTTGGCCTGAAGTGCTGAGGTGCCCTTCTGGAGCTCCTTCCTGGATCTCTCCTCTTCAGCCGACCGCTGCGCTAGCTGAGCATGGGCTGTGGTCACCTGCTTCAGGGCTGCCTGGAGCTCAGCCTGTGCATCCTGGTCCCTCTGACAGCGACGGGCTTGAGTGTCAGCTCGTTCTTCCAGCCTCTGGTTCTCTTCTCTCAATCTTGCTTGGATGGCGGCCTGACGCTGAGCCTCCTCCTCCAGGGCAGCTGAGGCCTCCCTGACCTATGGTTAGGAGGACTGTTAAAAGCTTATCAAAGCTCTTTAACCCTATGAACCCCAAAACCTGCCAGCAGGGTTGAAAGTTATGTTACCTTTAATAAAAAAATGGCCAAAATTGCCTAATTTATCATAGCTATGGCTCTGATCTATGACATAACGATCCGTTGAAGGTGACCAAATGTAAGCTTAAAATTGTGATATTTCATTAAATTCTACGTGTTTCATCAAAAAAAATGAAACCACTTGCAATAATCAGATTCAGCAAAAAAAAAACAAAAAAAACAAAGCAATTCTGTTTCAGCACAACCATGAAGCCATTAGTTATTGAGCTGTGACAAAAATTATAGGACTATTCAGCTGAACAGCAGGCTATGAGAAGTATAAAAGCAGAGTTAAAAATAGCAAAATACCTATAATATGTCATTTCCGCTATTGTTAACACCTGTGGGCAACTTTTATCCATTTTTGTAAAATAAATAATCAAAGATATTCATTCATTCTTCATTTTTCTTTTTTTTTTTTATTCATGGCATTATACCTGTGTTTCACTGCATAAAATACATTGTTGAGTTTTCTGTATTTCTAGCCGTGGTTGTGCCGTTTCCATAGAGGCACTTGACTTCATATTGCAGTAGACATGAGCCCGCGGTGAGCTAAAAAGTGAGAGGAGCGAGAAAATGCCAAGAAACTGCACAAGGTTCAGAGGGCTGACGACTCTCAGGTGTTTTGTTAATTAATTTTTCACTTTAAAAAGAAAAAAGATCTGCCAAGAGTGCTAAATCGAAATCGTAGCCATGTCTACAGTTAGACTGTGCTGTACGTAGGAGTCTGTAACCACTAAACATGCAGCTCTGTTAAAAAGAGGTTGATAACTGCCTCGATACAACCTTAAAAGGGCAACTTCAGTGCTTACTGACTCTTTAAAAAAGATGGCATAATTAAATTACACTCAATTAGCATACTTCAAGGTGATAGTGCATACTGTTTTTGATTCAGCCTCAGTGCTGATTGGTATGATTCCTTAAAAAGTCAGTTTAATTGGTCAGTCAAATTAAAATCGCACATATCAACGTGTTAAAATTTAAGAAAACGTAAAGATTACTAGAAGCACATGACCTCATGAAAACCTGAGCCACAGTCATCTACGGTGCTATGAGCTATTTTAAAATCTTTGTTTTGCGTCTCAAGTGATTCAAAAAGGAAATTCTATTTCTGGATGTCCAACCTCCCGGATTTCCTGCTGCAGTGACAACTGGCGCTGCTGAGTCTCCGACAGCTCCACGTCCTTGCGGTGGAGCTCTTCCTCGCGCTGGGCCAAACGTCCTAGGATTTCAGCGAGCTCCCTGCGGGCCGCCTCAGTCTGCTGGCTCAGCGCCTTCAGCTGGGCCTGAGAGCTTTCCTTTTCCCTGGCTGCCTGGAGGGAGAAAGAGAGAGGGAGAAGGGGGGAGAGGGAGTTAGAGAGGAAAAGGGGAAATGAAGAATGACAAATGAAGAGAAGGAGGAAGATGGTGTACAAAGAGTACAATAATGATGAGAGCCAGAGAAAGAGTGACAGAGAGACGGAGGGAGAGAAACATATGCAGTACCAGCTCTTGCACTGATAGGAAAATGCTAGCACTCAGGTTCCTGATAAGGGACAATGGTCAGGTCTGTTCAAGGCAGATTGCTTCTAATACTCTGGCTTTGACTGGAATTTGCAAAGACTTTGCTGCAGCTCAGAACCTAATCATTTAATTGAGCACTTGATTCTCTTCCCTAATTCATTAAGAGGGCAGAAATGATTTTGTAATTAATTCACGTCACATCGAGTATGCCAGGTGGGAGTCTGTCTGTGAGGCGCAACGGTGCTGACTGTGAGTTTGGAAGTGACTCCCTCAGTTCAAATGGGATGTAAATCACTGGGAGGTGACTTTTAAGGTAATAACAACAGTCAGCAATTAATTATTCTACTAAACACAACCACTGTAACATACAAAGCGACGGTACTTTATTTTTGGTCATGTCATTAAGTTAATAGAAAATGCATTAATTAGGCGTTTAATTGTGACTTTGACAGAAAGTCTTCTGTGCCATAAAGGCAAAACAAAGGAAGAAACATGAAGAGAAAAAGGCACGTATAAGTATTCAAGCATTTTGCTCTGTTTGGGCATTGATAAAGAGCCACACAACATTTCTCACTGTGTTCCCTGTTTTAATAGGTATTCAGTGCATCTAAATAGCACAGTCCTTGCATCCTTTCCTTTAAAGCTGAGACCAGTTAGCATGTGACATATAATATGCACAGCACTGGATATGTATGTATTTCTCCCCTTTTCAATAATTACTCTTAAAGGGTACATAAAATGCTGCTTTTGCTGATTTTGCAGGCCATTTTTACTATAAACTGCCATGTGGGAACTGGACCAGAAAAACTATTAGAAATGGGATTATATGGATATTATAAATATTTAAGCTTATGCATTTCCCTAGTGATGAGAGAGTGTTGATTATTTTATCTGAAACGCTGAAGTCTAAACTTGAGAGCCCTTCATACCATGAGGTACGTGTGTGTGTGTGTGTGTGTGTGTGTGTGTGTGAGAGAGAGAGCGCAATCTTTTGGGGTAGAGTCCCAAACCGCCTCAGAGACACAACGCTCCCCACAGATTTAGCTAAACTCACGTCATGGCCTGTATAGCTGTGCATGTGGCTGCCTGGCTCGCTGCTATTTTGATGCTTGTTGAGTTTCCCCCCTGCAAGACTAGCTGGGTGATCAGTATCAAGCGCTGCAGTTTTCCTATCAGAGAGCAAAGAGCAAAGTCACCAAATGATGTCAAGCTTCTTTCTTCGAGAGATGCAGGACATTAATGTGATTCCAGACAGCAGTGCTAAAATAGGAGTTATACAAAATAGCCTCAGATCCATTCATCTGTCTCTCCGATCACATATAATATGATATTAATCAAAAATGCAAGTAGCCTATGTTTTCAGTCCTCTATGTATGTATGTCCAGATGTTGGTCTACTCATCTCTCCGTTCAGAGGTCTGTGCTACAAAGCAGGATTTGAGGTTCGTGAGGTAACTTCAGGGTAAATTCTGGGTTTTCAGGACAAGACAGTGATTCACTTCTTACACACCTAACCCGCTCCAGAGCAACAATTTCAAAGCCATTTAATTGTTCTGCATGCCTTTGTGTAGTAAAATAATCATAAAGCAAAAACTGCTTAAAACCCTAAAGCCTACTTGTTTGTTGACTTTATAAAATTTGTAGTGCATCTACTTATCGGTTTGAATTATGTTTTCGTATTTATTCTGTACACACCCCTAAAAGTATTTAACCAAGGTTGCATCTAAAAGAAAGAGGCTAAGCATGTTTTAAAGCCATTAGAATGAGACTGAACGGGAGATTTCTAAATTCATCCTCCACTTCATAGTGAAAATAACGTTATTTTTATTACCCGATTCTTTTTTCTTTAAACAATTTGTCTGTTTTGTGAGTAGCACAAAGGGACAACATGTGCACTATCATTATACAATTTTGTGATGATAAATAATGAATAGAAAAAGTACATCTAAGCAAGTTATACACAAGGGCACAGTGATAGTGATAACCTTATTTAACATTCACACAATTTGCAGTTTTTCGCAGCTTTCCTTCCTGACTTTGCTGCAGCAGCTGTGTTGCTTTTGGCATGTATTGTATTCTAAAACTCCTCACATTGGCTTCAGACTATGGCTTCGCGCAACTGCTTAGCATGACTGTGGTTGTTAGGTTTAGTGAGATAATGAGAAGATACCCTAGGTTTGTTGACCTTATATCTTAGTAGAGGCCTCAGAGACTTATGTGGCCTTTGTAACTGATGTTGCACAGCTAACATGCTCTAGAGGAAGTTCTGTTTAGGGTTTGGAATTTAAACTGGCTGTAAGAAGTGTCCCCTCTTCACCAATTCTTTTCCTGCCAACTATGTACAAATTCAAAAATTTTTAGGATTACTTTATATCTGCAAATATCTTGGGTTGTAATGCCGCTGAACTAAGCTGTACAGTTACAGAAACTGTCTCATTGCCACGGGAACCGACATGCATTCAGTTGGTATTGCAGAAAATGCAAAAACTCTTCTATGCTTTGTCCTGATTTTACACTGTTGGTATTGCATCTGTTAAGAGCACAGCTTAGAAACTTGATTGCTCTATTGGTATCGATCACAGACTATATTCAGTCAGTAAGATTCATTTAATTCGATTGTCAGACGTAAATGCATTTGTTCAGTGCCGTGCGCTCTAAATATTAAGGGAGATGTATCAACTCACCTACGCACATAACAACAATCCAATAGCACAACTTAAAAAAGATTTAAGACTGCCCTTATTTGGTCAGCAACATCCAGCTCCGCAAAGGCTCATATTATACTCAGAGGAGAAAGTAAAAATAAAGCAAAGGCTACAGCTTAGCAACACAGAGCTGCTAAAAAAAACATCTGAAATACGATATGTGTGAAACTGAACAGACGGTTTTGTGGTGTGATGAGTCTATAACGACCACATCACTTGCCAGCATTCTTTGTATCACTGCAGCTAGTTGTAGTAACCCAGTTTCTTTCCACCAATGTATTCTGATCTACAGACAGTTTGGCTGAGATAACATTTGTTTTCTCTTTGCCGCGCTTGGTGTCGCGACTGAAGTTGAGAGATGTAATTCGGTACAGACATTAATGATAACTTTAGAACGCACTGTCAAAGTCATAGGAGTTCTGCATGTGCCAGAGTCTACTGCTAAGACAATGCAACAAAGAAAGTCAGAGGCTCAATTGTACTAATAGTGCTGCCAGCTGGCTGACTGTTAACACAGCCTCTAGCAGTAGCAGCAGAAGAAGAAGCTGTAACATTTTAGACAGAGCTGCCTGGAGCCAGCTGCTAGAGTTGACTGGTATTTGTGCTGCAGTTGTCCACCAGAGCCAACTGCTACCTAGTCAATAAACTGCAGTGAGATTTACCCAAGTCCGGCAAACCTTTTTGTGGATTGTTTGCAACTGAGAACTATCGCTGTGTTCCATTATGAGCTAAAAGAACAACCAGAGCAAACAGAAAACGGGAGGCAGCTGACTTGTTGACTGGTATTTTGCTACAGACAGTGCGTGCACAATAATAATCGCAGTTTTTCCTGCATAAATTTATAGTGTAATGTTATTTTATGTACACTGCATACAGTAAACATTAATGCAAGATGCTCAGGGGCTTCATCATTGTGCAGCTCGTACACAATGCATAATGACACTTGTGACACAGGGGGAGAAATCTCAAAGAAGAAAATGCAGCTTCTTTGTCAACAATAAAGGCACTCAAGTGGTTTTACTTGTAATAGACTTCACCTAGCATTAACGCAGCCTGGACATCTACATAATTAGAAAATGTTGCTTTACAGCTGCAATCAAATGGCCAGCTCCTTTGTAATAGCTTGTTAATTTTATATTTTTTCGAATTATGTCCCTATATCTTTGCAGTATCTCCCTTCGCTGCTGTAACTTTGCAAATTTCCAGGCAGTGGGAATAACGAAGGCTTATCTTAATAGCTGAGTTTGACTATCTGGAATTAAAATTACAGATATCCACAGTGTCATTTCTACAACACTGTGACTCGTCAGAACTTTTATTCCAGGTATATAAAACCACAGAGGTATATGTAATTCAATTTTGACAAAACAAAATAACCGTCGCACATATCTCAAATGTCATTATGACTAATCTAAATGGTTGTGCACGACGCTGCTAATGCAAGGCTTCCAAGTGGATAATGATCCAGCAAAGCGTTTGAACACTGTTTGCAGAAGAAACGACGGCTGCCGTGGTGAATTCGATCATTAGAAAATGCTGTGAAATGGGAAGAGCTTACCAGCAAGGAGTTTGTGGAGAACAAGGGCTTTATTCATCACAAACTTTTGATCAAAATTTGCTACAACTTTGGCTTCAGGCTGCTTTGACGTGACGGTAAACAGCAAGGTATATGTGGTTATGATCGCAGTGTCTTAGTATGTTTGAAAAGCAAGTCGCCTTCGCCTTCACTGATGTAACTACAGAAGTCTGCAACATCATTTTGCTAAGTCAAAACTTTGATGCAGGATATCTGTATTTATATTTTGACTACTTACGTGTATCTACGTCATTGTGAGTAGTTCAAACTTAGGATATTTAAGACATTTATAAAGGACACTGTAGATTTCTTGAACTATGGGGAATTAAAGATATCTAGAACTGAAACTGGTTCACATTGTGAACAGCTGCAGCTCAACTGTAGATATTTGTAATGAGAAATCTCATAAATATGAATGCTAAAAGTGACGTCATTTGTCCTCGAAGCATGACAATGTGGGTATCTGAAATGTTATTTTTGACAAGGAAGAATTTAATTATCTGCAACGCATATCCAGTCCAGGTATTAAATGTTAAAACTGCTTCAAGTGACAATGTAGTGACTTAGCACTGCAGAGTTACAAAGTTATGCGACTCACAGGGGGATGGATTAAAAAAGAGCAGTCAAGATAAAAGCAGCAGAGGCTTAGATATTTTGATTTTTGCTCCCTAATATGTGTCAAGTTCGCAAAACAGCGGAGTCTACATTTCCCATAATGTCACTCATTAGCATCTTTCATTACACCCCATGCCTCCAGAACGAGGGCTGTGTAGTACTCCTTCAGATAAGTAAACCAATCTTCACTTATAAAATCAGTAGAGTGCCAATTTATAAGTGTGATAACTTTGCTCTTTTCCAATGCAGTTTTACTATTCCACTCCTCCCACTAGCAACATCTCGAAATAAGGCAGGAGAGGGCAAATAAGTCCACTTGAATCAATGACTTGTTAAAATTGATTTTTTTTTTTTTTTCCCCCTCAAATGTTGGAAGTCAGCATTATAAGGATCAGCAGTTACTTAGCCGCAGCTGCGATGTCAAAAGTTGTGTAGGGAATGCATCAGCTTCAACCGACCTGCGAGGCCTTGTCGGTGTGAAATTGAGCCTGAGCCCTCGCCTCCTCCAGCTCCTTCTGCAGTCTCCTGCACTTTGCCCTCCACTGGCGAACAGCCTCTTGGGCCCTGGTCTTCAATTCATCTCTGCTCCTTGTGCTCTCCTGCAGTAATGCCTCCATCTCCCTCCTCTCTGTCGGTCCGCGGCTCTAAAAGGATGATTGAATTTATGAATAAAGTGTATATTCATTCTTTATAATATGAAACCGTGTTTTTTTTGTTATTTTTATCCATGGGGTGTGTCATAGAATGAACAGAATGTTTCATAAGTCTTGCTCTGAGGTATTCTATTACTACAGCACTAGGTTTTCCACATCTTAACATTATAATTTTATAAAGTTGTGCCCTGAACGAGGCACTAAACACTGTATGTTTCTAGTTTAAACTGCCGCTATAAAAAGCACCCCTTGATTAGAGTCCTTCATTTAAATTACCTGTATGTCCCTCAGCTGTTCCAGCATTCGTAGCTGCTGTTGCTCCCGTGCCGCCAGGTCTGACGATAATTCCTTGTATATGAAGAAAAGAAAGGTCAAGGTGTGTGTTTGAGGGAGCACTGCTGCTAGTGGGAGACATAAAAAAGACAGAAAAGGAGAGAGAAGTGTGGAATAATGGGTTTAGGGTGACTTGGAAAAAGAAAAAGTACTAGAGAAGCAAAGAAAAAAAAAAAAAAAGGTATGGTAGATTTTCAGAAGAGATAAAGAGTAAAAGGCAGGTACAGCGAACAAAGAGGGGGACAAAAGGCGAGAACACAGAGGTCGAAGAAGGTTGAGGCTGTTTACACGCTGCCTCGATTGGATTATTTACAATGCTGGTCCGAAAACTAGTCTGAAAGGGGAGTTGCTGTAGGATTAACGTTGTATCCACAAGAAAATCACAATCACTTCGAAGTTTCAAGTTCGATTTAAGTCTGAAGTGGGGGGCAAATAAGGCTACCCTCCTGCCGCTTAGGTATTTGCGCTGAATGAGACTGTCAGTTAGGAGTAATTAGTCATACACTGATTAGTCATAGACCTATTAGACAGTATATAAACTCAGCCACTGAAAAATTGAATCTTTCACCCTATTCTCATCATTATACTTCATCTTTGCTCATTTACCGCTAAAATGAAACATTTCCAACGTCTATTTTGATCTAGGTGTAAAAACCATAAGAGACGCCCCAGGTGATATATGCAAACACCCACCTCATCTCTTAACACCTACTCTGCAATAGGGGAAGTGTGGGTGTTTAAACACATTTCCAGTGAAAGGAACATCAGAGATTAGAAGAATGTGCCAATGCTTAAAGTGCAGCTATTTCTACTAACATTTTATTGATACCAGCCACAGCCTTGAATACCCCTGCTTAGGAAGGGATCACATTTTTTTTTTTTTTTGCTAGATTTTTTTTTTTTTATGTCTTGTTACAGTGATGGAAGTGACACATCGCACCAGTTTGAGCAGGATAAATGACTGCTGGTTGACTTCTGATCTCCTATTCCAACTGTCACTTCATCTGACGATTTTAAGAGGATCAAGTGGCATGTAGCTGGCGGAGGATACCACCATGGATGAGAAGCACCCGGCAAACTGAAATAACCCTGTTCAGGGTGAGGAGGCCGGCACGGGCAGAGTCAAAAGCATGCTTGTGTTCATTTGAACCCCAGCTGAGAGACCATCAGGGTTTCCAATTTATGTGTTTAGCGAATAACATTGATCTCGAGCTGCTGGAAAACTCTGACACAGACCACACAAATAAACAACTCTGCAGACCAAGCACCCAGACATGCAGTGCCTTCTCCCAATCACTGCTGTTATAAGCTCCCACTGTTTGATATAAATACCCATTTTCGCACAATTTCTCCAGGACATACCTTCACCTGTAAGCTGAGTTCGACATTCTCCTTCTCTTTCCGGTTCAGAGCCCTCTTCAGCTCTTCGACCTCACCCAGGACAGAGGCTTTGCACAGCTGAACTCGCAGCTCTGCCACTTCTTTTTCCAAGTCCGAACGATCTAATCACACCCACAGACACATATCCAACTGTTGGTAAAATTCATTAAGGAAGCAGCACACTTAATTATGAGAAACGAGAGAAGACTTGGCAATATTTTCTGAGTGAGAAAAATATTTAAGCACATTTAAATTTTAGACTATTTTCTAACCTTACTCTGCAAAAAGAAATTTACTTTTTACTCAGTATTTTGGAGGCTTGTACGTATGATTCACTGTCAATCACTTCTCTTCGTCACATGGGACAGGCCAAGAGTTAAAAGATGTGAATAGAATATAAATATAGTGATAAACGATCCAAATGATGCAGGATTCTCCGTGTGTGTTAATAAGCAAGGACGCAGATGTGCAAGTAAACTTTGTTGATTAAATCATGTCAAGTGAAGTAATCAACCACCTGTTATCTAATCTGTGCAAAATTCAGATTTAAATAACCTAAACCAGCACAAAATCACTCCTATGTATTGAACTCAAACTTGAGACACTCTGTCGTTTTCAGGCTTTTACTGCTTTTAAGGCACTTCGATGTCCTAAAATCAATACGATTACAAAAAAACAGTGAGACACAGAAAGGTCAGATTTTCAATATTCTCTAATATACACTCAATTTTCTTTCCTTTTATGGTCATATGTTTGGCTTTTTTTTCCCTCTCTCTTCTCTTTTTGTGCTGTGGTTCAAATCGATTCCCTGTCCTCTAACCAACACTCGAGATGTCCTTTCACAATTTTTACTCTTGCTGGCCCTGCATCAAGGATCTCCTTTTACATTGCTCTGCATTCAGCCATTCAAGAAGGAATTAATACACGAAAGTAACAAGACAAAGCACCATCTATTTCTGTGGTCACAAAATTGACATTGCAATCTTTAAACCTGCATCCACATCTACTCTCCTTTCTCCCTCTAACAATTCAGTACCTTGCAATCCACCTCGTCCCCCCTCCCTGTCAGTGTTGTTGCCATGTGGCTGAGCACTGGGCTGAGAAGTCTCCAGCCGTGCCCTCTGAAGCCCCGTGTTCTCCTTCTTTGTCCTCAGCAGCTCACAGCGCATGTCCTCCACCTGGGGATCATCAGCGGTGCGAGCAGACACAGAAAAAGACATCTGACTGTCTGACAGCGGGCAGAACAACACTCAAGTCTCCTTAAAAGTCTCTTCACAGCTTGCTCACGTCTCATGAGGTTTACTGTAAATCTGCATACACAATCAGGTAGAGAACACGTAAACAAACCTCTTGTACGAGGGACTCCCTGCTATCCTCTGACTGTTCTAGTAATCTTCTGGCTCTGTCTAGCTCCTGCTCCATCTGAAGGAGAGCATAACAATAACAATGTCAGGACAGTGCATAATGATCAGGTGTTTTGGAATTTGATGTGGAAGCAGTAGGAGTCTGGTGCAATGCTGATGACTAATCTGTGTTTGAGAGTTCAGAATTAGCATCTCTTGCAGTATACTATAGGTATGCAGCACACAAGTTAAAAGAAATGGATTTTTTAAATGTATATAATTTATGCTGCAGCAAACTTATGAAAAGCTAAGAAAAGGGATTTGTTCAATTTTCAGCTACAAACTTCTGATTTAAATTTATACTAAACTGATGTGAGGGAAAAAACGAAGCAGGAACTTTAAAACGGCGAACATTTAGACAGATTAGTTCCTTAAAAACACCAAAGACGTATGCTTTTTCACTATAATAGCATCCCTTCAAGACTTAATTCATTCACCTTGGATTTCTCCCTCTCTGCTTTGAGAAGCCTGGCTGTCACGGCCTCGTCTCTCTCATGGGATTGAACTTGGCGTCTCCCTAAAGTCTGGAAAACAAAAATCCCATACAGGTCGCAGCATGCATTAATATAAGAGTACTGTGAGAATGCAACATGAGAGGTGCTATTGCATCATTGCATCCCCCACCCCATCTCGTTTTCTTGGAACAAGATGTTGGCATCATGGTGGATTTGTACAAGAGCTTAGATCCCACTCAATCCCACTCCTTCTGAGCAGGCTGTGGTGATGAATTACCGGCTGCTAGCAATAACATCTACCCAAGTGACTCATCATCTATTTGATTCACATCACAGCGGGCCCATCGGTGGGGAATAAATGTGCCCTCTGCTCTCCCTCCTCCCCTGCTCTTTAGTAGTAAAAGAGATTATTTTCCTCTTCATTTCCTCATGCTTGTTTATTTACCCTTAATTTTTGGACAAATGCATTATTTCCCATCGCCCCGGGCCCTGCTGGTGTCCCATTAGGGCACTATGGAGGAGAGGGATGCAAATGAATCGGTAGCTACTATCATTACACAGCGTGATGAAAAGTCTTGCACATGAAGGTTATCAGTCTGGATACAGCTACACAGTGCCCCTCTGTGGTTTACAAGTAAAATGCAGCCGGGATGACATTAAAACAGACTTATGCCAAGACACAAATTAACCAAGAAATAAATGGTTCAGTTATTTATAACACTAACCGGTATTATGCTGATGATGTATAATATGGAAGATTTAAGAGGTTAAATTGAAGGTTGCAATATAAGAGAGCAATAACACAAGATAACATGCATATAGCTATGAGTCTACATCACTTAGGAGCTCCTCATGACACAGCTCTCTCAGTTAATAATGCTTTTAGACAAACCATGAACATAAAAAAAGACACATGATTGGCATGAAATATAGAAATGTAACAATTGCTTGCTTAGCAACCATTTGTGCTATATCACAGTAATTGCCTAGGTGTGCTTTATAGTCTCATAAAGCAGAGAAAGAGGGCTCAGTGAAAGAGTGGGAACACTGCTTTAGCAAACAAGAAAGGACAGCAGTGCCTCCGAGATAAAAAAGTTATTTAAGACACGGTGATCCAGCAAGTCAGGAGAAACGTGGATTTTTTTCCTCCATGTTCTAGGATTGTAATCGCAAGTGTTTCATGGACAACACTTCTAATTGTGTAGAACATTACTAATCACACCATTTATAGTTACTGCTTTTGCTTAGCACCTTTTCTGACTTCTTTTTCATAAAGATGAAGGTGACCTTGTCCATCCACTGTCCTTTCATTTTAATATTTCTGTACCAGAGATGGCTGCCAAAATGGCTTGTGATTTTTTTGGAAAATAAATGGAAGAGAAATAATAAATTGTGAAGATGCGACTAGTCTGTTATGCGACACAAGACTGGCAGACCTGCATTTTGCAATGCTGCAAGTCCTACATTATGAAGAATAAAGTGCTGCTACCATGCTTTTATCAGCACAATTTCTCCCTACATGGAAAAGAATCCACTAGAGCTGTCAATGCAGTAAAGGTGACTGCATCGTACCTGAGAGTTTTCTTTCCAAGAATCACAGTGCTGGAACTTGTAACTTCCAACTGATTTGAGAGACTTAGCAACCTGAGGCTGTGCTCACACTACAGGAGCTCTAAAGTCATCACAGATTTTGAAACTCCACAGAAATTCTTCTTTCTAATCTCAGACATGCACACAGTGCAAGATTGGAACATAATGGCATATCACACACTACAGGATATTATTAAAATAATTGTGCCAGAGGTAGTGATTCTGAGAGCAGGGCCCCACCTCACGTGATCTGAGAGGGAAGCAGATGTAAACTAAATGTGGAAACTGTGAAGCAGCAACGCTATTAATACTTTAGAGTGAGAAAAAAACAAAACAAAAGCAGAATGCTAAATAAGTCTGGATGAGAAAATAGTTGGGGGCGATGCGGTCGACCATGGGTTATCTATTTTTCACTGAGAACTGGTGGGGAGATTTTACCTATCATTCTAGTATCTGCAGCTAACGTAAGCCTTAAGGGTTAGAATATTTAGGACTGTTTGCCAACATCGTCCGCTACTCTGAGCGCTAGCGTAATCATCCTGACTATCCTGATTTCAACTTGCAAATATCAAACATATTTGATATAAATCGAGGTGGCCCTGATGAGTCTGTGAGCAGTTTGGAAGGTTTAAGGCTGGATCTGTAAACCTCTCATACTGCCAAATAATCTGAGCCAAACACTGAGATCCCAGATCAGAGTTCTCCTCCAATTGTTGAGAGGTAAAATGAGGATAAATCTGCCTGCAACTCCTGTTGTGTGAGCCTGGCCTAAGGCACTTTTGCTTGAAAGCTTATTTGGATAAAAAACACTGGCAACATGTTTGATATATTTTTATCCTGTCAATCAGCATGTTTGTAGTGCATTTAAAATCTGTGTGTTGTATGTGGCGTCTGATGTCGGTTGCCTTGTTTGTGTGTGTGAGCATGCATTGCTTGCCTTCAATACTTCACTACATCTGACTACCACATGTGCTTGACTGTATATTTGCGGTCATTGATTAGTTGTGCCAAGTTAAGTTTAGTCATGCTCCATCTTTGCCTTGCCTCCCGATTGAATTTGTGTGCCAAATTATGTTGCTTCTAATTCCTTTTTAGAAGTTGAATGTACGACAATATGAGTGTAAACAGGGAGGTGTGAGACGAAAGGATCACAGCAGACGAGCGGCGGGGAGGAGTGTTACCTCCTGCAGCTCATCAGACATGGCAACCCGCTGCTCCGGCCTTCTATCCCTCTCCACGCTCCTCTGTTCGTTGTGGATCTCTCTCTCCAGCTCCTGCAGCCGCCGCTCCACACGAGACGAAACCTGCAGACAGTAAGAATGAGGACGCCTCAGGTCAGGCAAACAACGCCAGCGCGGGAATGGCGTCAGGATGTGATAAATGAGACAACAGGAAATTAAAAGTGTGGGCGACAAAAAAAACATCTTTGATAACTGACTGGAAGTATTACATTCACCATGCAACAGCTCCCTGCCTAATCAGGAAGCTTCACATTCACCTGTAAAAGACAGTTAATACCTTTATCTTGTCACGTCCGCAGATATGATTAGATAAAAAAATATTAAACATGTTGGCTGTCATTTGGAGCAGCGTATTTGTCACAGTGCTGATGGCGCAGCGAGGAGCCATGTGTCTGGAAATTATAGTGAGATATTCGCTGAAGTTAGAGTCCTATAAAGCTCAGTTTCAAAAAAAAAAAAAAGAAACCATTTGTCTGTAGCTGTTTTCTATTCAGAAAGCTTAAATATATTTGCATATTCTGTGCTTTATACAGCCGCTTTCATCCATCAATATTTGTGATGTGATGTGATGTCCTTAAATTCAAGATGCCTCCACTTTTCTTCCCACATTCACAGAGCTAGAAAGCACACTTGAAATATTGGCAATGAAATACACAGCTACAACTCACTGAGTCCTGTCTCTGGGAGGCTGTCATGTGCTCTGTGAGGCTCTCCATCGCCCGCCTGGTGTCAATATTAGACCTGCAAAAAAAAAAATACAAACAAAAAAAAACCAGACAAATCCAGCAGACTGAAAATATTTACGCACCAGAGTTCTCATCGTTTTTGAAAAATCCTATTCCAGGACATCATTGATCAAAATCGGAATGCATAATTTGACACCACTAAAAATAATAATGCAGCTTCAGATGTTGAAATATGGCGGTGGATCAATTTGTGGTGGTCAGCAGCACTGGGGAGGAGAGATTTTTTAATAACTTCAAAATGTCAAGTTCTAATCCGCGTTGAGAGAAATATCTGGCGTCTTTTGACTTTGCAGTGCCATCTCTCTGAGTTTCCTGTGACACTTCTATCACGTTTTCATCAAGGAGATTTCAAAGACGTGGAAAACGTGCATTTATTTGCATATCTCAAGCAAAAAAAAAAAAATGTTTTATGTACAGTGGCTGTGAAAAGTAAAAGATCAATATTCCACACTGGTCTGCACAGAGCCCACACCTCAGTTAGTAAAAGCTTTGAGCAGGCTTAAAGAAGAGATCGTATAAGAGTCCTTTTTGCACTTGGTGTAGATTACTAAACCTCTGTGTAAAGCGGTCACTCAGCACTGTATGTTAATAAGCAGTAAGAGATGTGCCTCTTAGAGCTTCAAATGTTAATTAATCTCATTATTATGCAAAATTAGTTCGTAACAGGTTCCTTTTAATAAGGAGTGTTCATTTCATACTTCAAGATAACCAAAATATATGTGAGAGGAAACGTTTTTACTGTGCATACCCATCTGTCACAATTTCAGTGATTAAGTTAATTAATTCATTAAGATTTCAGAAGCTTTTCAAATCTGTCAATGAAAAACTAGCAATAATTCTGGTAGAACTGTGCTTTGGCTAGTGGCTAAATTATTAGAGGTTGACCGATTGTCAGCCTGGCCAATTATCACATCTGATACTGAACAGCTTTACTATTACCAGTCTAATAATTTCTTTTTAAACCAATTTCTGATAAAAAATTCATTTATTAAAAAATGTGTGACTTTGGCTCGGATGTAGACTCCGCTCCGTAGTCTTGAGCAACGTCCTGCCCACAGTGCTATCTGATTGGTTATTCATCACCAATAATAGCCTGTCAACAGTGAAAGACGAAAACTTGACAAGTTTCATTAAATTAAACATGTGCAAAGTAAAACAAATAAATCAAAGTTTTGTGTTAGGATTTGAATATTCTAAATTTTGAGACCATGTAAATCGGCTTGGTATCAGCTACAAAAAAAACAAAAAAAAAAACACAACAATTGACCCCTTTAACTCATGGGGTCAGTAAAAAAAAAAAAATTGAGATTCTTTTTGGTTATTAAATTACTTTCCTGGTAACATAAAGACAATAAGATGGAAATTCAACAGTGAAGAAGCCACTGTGTTGTGTGAAGTACTCAAGTTTACTGTTTTCTTTTTGTTCAGACTTTGCTTCTCCCAGCAGATACCTATTTCTCCTGAGGATTTCTCTATCCAGGTCATCAGACAGTCTCTGTTGGCCACAGCGCAGATCCCGCAGGGATTGGTGCAAAGTGTGAATCTGTGTGACACAAATCCATTCATTGGAATACAGAACAGACACAAGCAAAGCAGAGCAGTGCAGAGCTCGTCATCGTTTCAATTAGAGATGCACGTTTACTGTAACCATTATGGAAAGCATATTATAGGCATCCATAAGGGGAAAATTGAAGCAAACAATATCTAATTTGAAAGAAATCTTATCAAGCCCATCTTCATCAAACAGCATTAGCATATCGCATAATGTTGCTGGCTTAATGTGCCCCCTTTTGGCAACTGTCTGAAACTACATAGAGTAACACATGACACTGATTGGTAGTTAGCAGGCATTGCTTACATCTTCTCCTGCCAGGCTGCTTTCCTTGAAGCGAACACTAGCAGACTGAGATCTCCTCCTCCTTCCTGGAGTGCTTGTATAGTCCTTCAGCGGAGAAGTAGGGTAGAAGCGCTGGCCTTCTGAAATGCACAATTTTTAGAAGCAATATGGGAGATTTTGAAGGCTGGTTATTCAGAAAAATATCTGACAAAGGAGACTCTGGTTTGAGGAGAATGTATTTGTCACATGTAAAGAGTAAAGAGGTGGTGAAACTAAAGTGCAGTGTACATTGTGCAAGAGTTGGAGTCCTGCATGTGTTTGTTATGCATGAGTGTGGATGGGTGTGTGTGCATATATCTACATAATACATACATATTTATGTTGTGCCAGTGTGCTGTTGCTGCTTCAGATGACAAAACAAAATTCACTGAAGACGCACAACATTTCACTGCTTTCTTCCAGTGTTTGCTGTCATTTTCGTGCCTCTTCTATTTATTATTGTTCTATACCTGATTCCGAGCAGGCGTCCAGATCACTGGTGTGCAGAGGAGAGGCCGAGGCAGAAGCACTCCGAGTCCCATTGGCTCTGCTCAGCCTCTGAGTCTGCAGTTGACTGATGGACTCCTCTAGATTCTCTCTAAGCTGGTGCAGAAAAAAAAAACACAGTACGAGATTGACAAATGGAGGAAAAGAAAAAAAACAAACTGGTAAAGAATAAGGAGAACAGATTATGTAAATAAAATCCTATTGAGCAGGAGAAGGTGAAACTGTGCTAAGAAACTAAAAAATGAAAGAAAATGAGTGATGAGGACTGAATGAACAATGAGGTAAGTGACTAATATAACTTAAATGCTATTACTAGGAACTCAAATCGAAATGCTGTGATTGTGAGCTGACAAATTTCCAACACATCTCATCTATGCCGTCTCCAACGTTGCCGCCCCAGTGTTCCCATAATTGCTGGAGAAAATGTTAAATATTATCAGATGTTGTATTAAACTCAGCCAATAAGTATGAATAAATGTTTTAAGCTACAACAACCAGCACTCAAAACAAATCTGACATTAAAACACAGCCATATATTGAATGCAAAGGCCAGCTGCGTCTTTAATAGAGGGATTAATCAATGAACCAATTCGTTGTCAACTATTACAGCAACTTCAAATTTGATTCACTGGTCTGTTTACATTTTTAAGAAAACAAAAAGTCTAAATTCTCCGACTCCAGCTTCTTAAATGTGAATATTTTCTGCTTTGTTTACTCCTCTGTGACAGAAAACTGAATATCTTTGGGTTGTGGACAAAACAAGATGTTTGAAGAGGTCATCTGGGGCTTTGAGAAACACTGATTTGACATTTTTCACCATTTTATTGGATACCAAACAACAAATCTATTGATTGATAAAATAACTGACAAATTAATCTACAATGTAAATAATTTTTAGCTGCAGATCTGATCTTTGAAGTTAGGAAAATATTAACAATAAATCACAATGAACAGAACAGGTGTCTCACCAGTGCCATGGCTTCAGCCTGATCATCTGTATGCTCCCTGTACTGACCCAGCATTCTGTCCACTTTGGTCAAGTTCCTACTGGTGTCCTGCCGAGAGAGACTTTTAGTTAACAAGTCTTGAAATCTACAGTACAGTGCGAAAGTCTTAGGCCATCGTTAGGTTTGTTGTTTTTATTGATATTATAGTAACCATACACAAGCATTTCTCAGTTTCTTTATCAAAAGTCAAACAAAATATTCATGGGATGTGTACACATTTTGAAAAAGGCAAAACGTTCACATAAAACACACTCTGTATGCAAAATATTTAGTATGACCTTTCTGCACTTTTATGTGGTGAAGAGACAAGATGGATTTGAAACTTTGCAACAGTAAATTCACTCTCAAAGGCAAATCAGCAAACAAACTGGATACTTAAGATTTGGTTCCAATCTGCAATAAAGAAATGTGAAAAGTCTGGAGAGGTTCAAGACAAGAAAAGGACCAAGAAAACTCTCAGTGTCTGATGAGATGTTTCTTAAAGTTTGTTCTGTGAGAGACTTGATGAAGTCTAGCAGAGGACTTGGTCTTTGCATCGAGCAGCTTCATCTGCATCTTCATCCAACAGTTAGAAAAAGTTTGATCAGAAAAGGCTACTGTGGAAGAGCTGCAGCCAAGAAGTCACTTTTCTATGAAAGCAAACAAGGCTATAAGGCTGAAATGTGCAAAGGTTCACAGAGATTGGAGTGAAGAGCAACAGAAAAGAGTACTGTGGAGTGATAAATCAAAGTTGGAAATGTCTGGGTTCAGTCGTCAAAGATAAGTACAAGAAAGGGGGCTTGCAGCCTTCAGTGAAACATGGTGAAGGGTCTGTCATGGTTTGAGGCTGCATTTCTGCCAGTGGTGTTGGGGATACTGTCCGAATTGATGGACTCATAAATGCTGAAAAGTACCATTTTTGATTCATCGTTCTGGGAAAGCGTCTGATTGGAAAGAAGTTTATTTTTCAGCATGACAATGACCCCAAGCGCACTGTTCATGCAGGGAAATCATATTTGGAGAATATCTGCTGACAGTGATGGACTGGCCTCCACAGAGTCCAGACCTGAATACGACTGAAGCTGTACAGGATCATCTGGACAGGGCAAAAACAAAGCCTAAAGAAGAACTCTGGGAAGTGGTGAAGGTAGTTTGGGATAATACACCACAAAGTTTTTTCAAAAAACTTCAAGACAGTCCAACACGTGCTAAGTGCCAAGAGAAGTCAAATGATGTACCAAAGCTTTGGCCTGTAAAAGCCATTTTGTTCTGATTGTTTTTGTGTTTTTAATCCTGTGCACACACTGATAATATATATAAACACAGCATGCATATGGTCGTCTTTTCTGACTTAGAGAAAAAACTGTTTTTAAGATGCTCAACTGATGACAAACTCTCAAACACCAAGTTAATTTGCGTCCGAGTCAGGTGTGGCTTTAAAGGACAGTGATCAGATAGTGTGATTAGCACACAGATATTCCTATAAACAGTAACTGTAAAGGGAGACTTTATCTAACATGGTACGGTGCCACAAATGATCAGAGAAAGAGACATGACAGGCTGCGAGCATGTGGGATGGTGTCAAGTCACTTAGGGCTGGAGCCAAGGGCTTGAATGTCCCCAAGTCCACCACTTGTTGACTAAGAAAGCATTTGAGACAGCTATGGATGTCCGACAATGTGATCCTATCCTCCGACTTCAACAAATTCTTCAGGAGGATAGAATTTGACAAGCAGCATCGACAACCTCATTAACTCTTTCTGTTGCAGATGTGTGGTCGTTGCGATGCGATTGATGGTGATATGTCACTCAGAGCTGAACCAGATACTTAAATGTCCACAATTTCCCCAATTATTGACTAAGAAAGGAAGTATTCCAGACAGCCCCCAGTGTTGAGCAACATCATGCTGTCCTACAAAATGTCTTCCAACGTTACTGAGCCTCACAGAGAGAGAAGAGGAAGGAAGAGTGGGAAAACAACTGATAAGAAACATCACCATTAACTATAGTTTTGTGACTAACTTGTGATTTGTGGTCTGTAAACCCACTCTTTATCTGCTCGCTGTCATTTCCAATACACATGCAGTGTATTTGGTTATGTCATCATGTCTAGTCTGTTGTAGAGATGTCATTTGTTGCAACAATAAATATTTATTACTCTAAGTTATGCTGTGTTCATATGTTGCTGTATTTTCTTGTATCTTAATTAAGAAAGAGAAATAAACATACTCACTGAAACCTTGCCTAAGTAAAACACCTAATGGAGGCCGAAGAGCTTTGCACAGTACTGCATTAATGAAACAAAGCATGCAATATATAAACATGTAAACCCAAAGTAAGCAGGGAAGTTAATGTACTGCTACTCTATGTTATAAATTATGTATTAGGGGTGTTGCAGAGCTACACAACACAGATTCCTGCAGGGTATTTGCAGGTGCATGAAATCTGTGCAGATGTGCCTCTCCAGAGAAAGAGTACCTGTAAGGTGTTTGCCAGGGTGCTGATTTTGTCGGAGATGTCTGCGGGTGGCCCATCGCCTCCACTCCCACTGGCTCTGGCTCTGTCCCGGCCAGACCTGCGGTGGGCTTCCCGTCCCCGAGGCCGATGTCCCCTGTACGTCCTGTCGTATGAATCCGACCCGCTGGATGTGTCCATAGTTTGAACCAAACAAAAAAACAAAAACAAAACCGGCTGACCACGCAAATATGGCGATTAGTGACCAGCACTAGTTTCGCCGGCGGAAGACGCTAACTGTCAACTGTAATCTGATTAACGAACAAAGTGGGATTGTTGTGAAGTTTTGTTGCACTGGATAGTTTTGTCATCGCAAACAGACACGGGAACTTTGACATAGTTGCTTAGATAGACATAAATCTACCTGAACAGCAACTCACGACAACTCAAACTGTCCCTTTCTCAAACGACCGTTCAGGGCATTGTTGTGGGTGATGCTCCTCCTGGCTAGCAACAAGTGGGCACTATTCTGAACGTTAGCTAGCTAGCTAACCAAACGTTAGCCAACTAATTTCACCCGGTGACAATACTGTAAAAACTACAAAACACAAACGGAGGAAATACACACCGTCGTTAGGGATACGTTAAACGGGAGACGGTACTTTTTCGCCCTGCGAGTGATAACAAACAGAAGAACAACCCTCAGCTTCACCGTGCTATGACAACTTGAACTAGCCGCGTCTGAGCAGGAAAACAACACGGCGGAGAGCAGCAGCCCCGAGGGACGACGGGAAATGGAGGCCGTCCGCCGTGGAGCAGTGTGGGAATGTAATATTTGTGAACTACATTGTCCGAAGGTATGCGTTTGCGCCAGTGCTGCCGCTCATCAGTTAGAAAAGAAAAAAGAAAAGAAATGAAATGAAAAGAAGGGTGTCTAAATGCATGTTCAAATTAAAAATAATAATTTAAAAAGAAACTGACAAGAGAAGTTAGAGAGATTTTCAAGACAGGATGGGTACAGCCTATTTTACAGTACAATGCTCTGTTAAAAAATGAATAAAATATTGCGCACATAATACACCTAATCATAATAATAATAATAATAATAATAATAATAATAATAATAATAACAATAATAATAATAATAGGGATTGAACCTCTCTCTACCTGTTAGATGTCCTGTAGTCTCATCAATTCAAAACAATATATAATCTATACTTTATTGATCCCCCACTGGGGAAATGTACATATTACAGCAGCTGGATACAAATGAGGCATGGAAGAAGCAAGACAAGAGCTAAAAGAGTACAATAAAGCTAAAAATCTAAATATAATAAAGACTATGTAGACTTTTCACATGCAGAGGCGTGGCATAATAAATACCTATATGGGTGTGTACAGAAGTATAACCTAAAATAATAAGAATATAATAGAAAAGACTAGAACAATCCTGGTCCTCGAGAGCCCCTATCCAGCATGTTTTAGATGTTTCCGTCTTCCAACACACCTGATTCAAATGATCAGCTCATCATCAAGCTCTGCAGAAGCCTGATAACGATCCTGACCATTTGAATCAGGTGTGTTGGAAGAGGGAAACATCTAAAACATGCTGGATAGGGGCTCTCGAGGACCAGGACTGGGCACCCCTGGACTAGTATATAATAGAAAAAACAAACATTTCTACATGTGTTATGCAACATTCATGCTGCAGTGAAAGACTTGAAAGAGCGACATCAAAAACTGAATATAAATTTACTCTTGTGCATCAGCACCAGGTTTGTATTGATAAAAAAAAAAAAAACCTTATGAGGTAAGATTTCCCTTGGTTGTGGAGGAGAGGCCCTTTTTAAAGGTTTTACAATTAGTGTCATCAAAACAAAGCTGTGGTGTGGTTTGATTTAATTACTGAAGTGCATCTCTTGTACTCATATTGATGCTCAAATACACACACACATATATTTTATTATATATACAATAACTTATTTAACTTTTTTTTTTAAAATAGAAAATAAATATTGTTCCTACAGAGGAAGCATGTTACTTGGGGTTACTCTAACTAAGCAAACTACAGTTATAACAATAACTCTAAACACACTGCTCAAGAGGGGCGACAAAGAGAAAAAAAGAAAGAAAAAAACTATTCTGCAGCCTAACACAAGAGTGCCTCAGAAGTCCACCCTCCCCTCTAGTTTGGAGACCACCTCCAAACCCACCACGGAGCCGCAGCTGTCCGTCCTCCTGCACCTTCACAGCCTCTCTCACACTGCTGGGGCCCTGCGAACTGCTAAAGCGAGCGCACGGCACCGAACCGCAGTGCAGCTCCACAGTCTCCACCTGAGGACACCAAAAACAAACCTCACAGCCTATATTAAACTCACAGGGGCATTTGGTTGCTGCTGTGGACATCGGGAGGACTAAGACCAAAAAACAAAAGACAAAAAAAAAAAAACTACACTTCCAGCATGCAGGTGATAACATGCGCGCTGTTTACGCTCGTCAGCCTCCCCATCAGCAGCAGCAGCAGCAGCAGCAGCGCGTCGGAGGCTGCTGACTCCTGCCCCGCCGTCTGCGAGTGCTCCGAGTGGAGGACTCACACCATCTCCTGCTTTGACATTGATATTCTCCCCAGGTTTCCAGCAAGCACCGAGACACTGTAAGTAGGCGTACAAAACGCATCTGCAAAAGTGATTCTGTTTTTTTTTTTTTCCTTTCATGCATCTTGAATGTAAAGTGCTCTTAACCCCGAGGAGGAATCATTATAATAACATGAATATTCCTTCAAAGTGCTCCCACAGAGGGGTTTTCTCGGCTGTCTGTGTTGTTAAGTAGCTGTTCCATTTTGAGATATCGTTTTTTTTCTTTTCTTTTTGGTCTATTATAGTATTACTAACAAGCTGTGCTCCAAAGTGTGACTTGTATCCTTGATTTGCTGTGAAATGTAGTCAATCTTTAAATGTCTTAAAAGTTATTACTGTTTCTTTTCTTTCTTTTTTTTTTTTTTGCACTGAGATTAATTTAGAAGTTTAATGCTGGAATAATATGAGTCCAGTGGCTGCGATAAAACATTAATTCTGGCATGTTTTATTAAAAAAGATTAACTGAACCATTAACCCACCTTTACAACCTGAAATCATGGGCTATAGCCTGCAGTAAAGTACTAATGTAACAGAGCGACTGGAAAATATGTCAATTTTCTTGACTTTACAGTTGATTTTCTGTTCTTTTTAAACACTATTTAATATTTGTTGTTAACGCTGCGCTTTAAAATGACCACGGTTGTAATTGAATCATTGGTAAATTACCTTTAATTTGCATTTAGACTATAAATTTATTATCTAAGTCAGTTTGCTGCATGAGTTCACTGGAGAAAGATGGAGTTAAACAAAGAAATCAGGTGTTCAGGACGGTGAGTTTGGGCTGCAGGCTAATGAAACATTTCAGGCTCCTGTGTGCAAAATACTACAGAAGAAATGTGGTTCTCTTCAGTGCAATGTTTTCACCGCACTTTACTTTTCCTGCATTTAGTGGAAAAAAATACAGAAAAACTTTTTACCTAAACTAATTAATACTTCGACCTTATACAGTCGTACCATAATGTTTCTCTGTTTGTGTGCCAGTGAATTGACAGCCAAACTCCTATTGACGCTAGATATCAGAGGACTGTGAGAAATCACAGTCCACCCACTTCTCTTCCAAAAACAGTATTTCCAGTAACAGCAAAGTACAGTATAACACGAATACTGCCAGCCAGGGTTGCAAATTATCATTATTTTCATTATCATTTCTCTGAAGACTACGTTTTCAAATCCTTGTCTGGTCATGGACAGTGCGATATGTCCACAGAGGACACGGTGTCATCTTCAAATTGCTTCCAATTTCAACTTATTCAATTTTAAGCAATAAATAAAGGAACTAAAAGTGGAAAAGCAAATTCATGCCCAAAGGTGTAGAGTTTCTTTCACTCATGTACTGATTAACTACGCTAGGAAGGAAAGGAATCAAAGCTTGGTCGATCCCATTCAAGCGAAGCAATCGAAACAACACAGTTGAATAAAATTAACCCAACCAACAGGTGTGTTTGCTCCGCAGTCTTGTTATCTGAGACCCCAAAGAATCTGTCAAAAAATTTTTTGGTGGAGTCGACATGATGTAATCTGTCAGGATCATCTCTGAAAAATGTAGCGGGGCTTTTTACACACCCCAAATTGCTTAAGTACAGGGTGAAAATGATGCAACAGAGAGCGGCCGGTTTGCTACGGCCTTGAGTGATGGAAACACATGCCCTTCAGATGGACTCCACTGCAGATGTGCAAACAAAGAACTAGAAGTGTTAGAAAGGTTATTTCCATTTAAATCAGCACTTGTGAAAGATAACACAAGTCAGTGCTGGTATGTTGTGCAGAAGGAAGATTTTGGTGGTGCTGCCATGGAAATAAGTTGATAGATTTCTTAAAACTATACTATAAACTACACTACACTGGAGCACATTGTCCTGCTGGGGGCGACCACTGCTGTTGGTAAACTGTCTGCACTTTTAACCTGAAGCTAGATTCTACAAATCTTTACAATATCAAAGCTGCCATGCAAGGCGCTAACCTGCAATCAGGAGCAACTTGGGGTTCAGTGTTTTGCCCAAAGACACTTTAGCATGTGGAGGGATTCATGGACAACCTGCACCACGACTGCCCTTTGGTCTCAGTTCCTTGGCCTAAAACGATGTTGTAGATGTGTTATTCTTCTCAAAGTAGCATCTACATGAACCCAAGGATGATCAGTGTTACAGACTTTATCCATCAGCGGTTTTAATGTTGTGGCTAATCAGTGTATTCTCTTGTGTGCCTCAGAAAACACATAATATTAGCCAAAATAATTAAGGTTTCACATTTTATTTGTTCCAGAGTTGCTATCATGTAAGCTACGGGGTTAATTTTTGACCCTACTAAGATGAAGTCAGTTATCTATCCATCTAATTTTAGCAAGTTCCTTGTCTTGGTCTTAATAAAATGTAGTTATCTATTGATCCAATTCGTGGGACTCTGTAATGAGGGTTTCAAAAGACAAACAAACAGACAAACCAACAGGCTAAAACAACTTTGGCTGAAGAAAGAGGCCTCGAGACAAAAGGCCAATAGTTCAAATGAACTCACAGCTGGCTGGAATCAGTAGGACTGGACCCCATTGGTCTAACCAGGGCAGCAGGGTCATTCATTCCTCGATGTGTGTACAACAAAATCAAACTTAATAACGCCTCATCTGCTAGAACATCCCGCTCAATACACTGTCTATTTCGGGCTTATTTGGCAGATATTTTTATCAGCAGGGTTGATGGTGCTATAGGTGGCATGCTTTCATGTCTTTTTATCCTCCTAGAGGGGTTCTGGGTAAACTCTGGGCAGGAATGTGAGGAAATCGTAGGGGACATAGGGCCACGTGGACATGTGAATTGAAGCAGTGATCAGGAGATAATTTTATGTGATGGGTGCTGCTGGAAGAGACACAAAGTGTGGTTTGGGATTCAACGATGGAGGGAGGAATGAGGGTTATGACAACACAGCGCAGAACCTTCTCCTTAGCTTGAGTTGTCATTGGTGAGCCCTGCATCGGAGAATTTTTGTGGAAGAGCAACAAGTTAAAATGTCAAATCATTATTCATGTGATAATTTGAGAATGTCACCTGCATGCTTGCATTGTAGGGTATTAGAAATCTAGAAGTCTGTCTGTCATGACAACAAGACTAATAGTCCACACCCAGGCATATGCTAAAGTACTGATACATAGCAGGGTGATGCACACCATAGTATACCATCTTAGCTTAGCATGTTGGGTTGTAGCATTTACTAAAGCCCTTTCAGACATGCACTCTTTTTCCTTAAAGTACAAGTCTGAATAGCATGCTGTCATATTAACTGACAGTCGAGTTGTGTGAAACAATTTGAGGAGGCCGTTTTTCACATTTCATCACTAATATTGGTACAAAAATATTACAGAGAGCCAAAGACGCAGTTTGCATGTTGAAATTGTACAGTACAGTGTGCACCAGAAACTGCTCAGGAACAGCTCGAGGAACATAACAAAGAGCCCAAAGTGTTGATGCAACCTGCAAACTCCCCAGATCCCAATCCAACCAAAAATCTGTGGGATGCAGAACAAGCTCAATCTATGGAGGCCCCACCCTGCAAGCAACAGAACACAAAAGATCCATTGCCAGGACACAACCATAGGTTCTATGTCCATGGTGTGATGGATCAGAGCTGTTTTAGGGGCACAAGGTGGTCTTAAACATTATAAGGCAGATGATTTTTTTTACTTGTTTGGTGCATGAAGATACAGCTAGCAGCCAGTTAGCTTAGCATAAACAATACATCCAGTAGGGCAACATCCAGCATGTGACTTTATACATTTCAGTTTGTGGCATGTGTTAAACAAACATAAAGTTGTCATTTATGAGATTTAGATGTGCTGGTTGGAAGAATTCATCAGCATTGGACGGAGCCAGCTGTTCCTTCTGTTTGCAGTCTTTGTGCGATGATAAGCTTAATGTAGCATTAACTATAAGCCTATTTAACATGCAGACACTGCATGACTTATCTAGCTCTCTGCCAGAAAGCAAATAACCATATTACTCAAAACTATTACTTCTAAAGCTTCCTTTTTAAACATTAGTGGAGATATTAGCCATCACAGTGCCTGCAATCATGTTGAAAATGACCCATTATGGGCATAACCATCGAAACTTTCTGCACTAATTCGGCTATTAACATAAGAGTTTTGTTAGAAATTATTTTTCTGCCGGACAGTGTGTAAAAGTTCTTCCCACAAAACAAAATGTGAATGCAAAGCAGACGCTGGTGCGTGTCTCAGTGTGCATATGTGGATACTTAGAGTTTGAAGTCCTTTGTGTGTGTGTGTGTGGAGGTTAGTCCATGTGTCACTGGGAGTCTGAGAGGTGGGAAGGAAAGCGCAGACACGCTAAAAAGGCTGCGTAGCGTGACACCCGCCTGCGTCTGGACGATGCATTCAAATACAATATTTACCTTTTGCAGCACATTTCTCAAACACCCAGAGAGTTCCATTTGAGAATAATTAAGAGGAAAAAAAGACTTCAAGGGGAAAGGAGGGAAAAACACAGCAGTTCCAGTCCCTCGAAAACCTCAGAATTTTTGGATTGGAGTTTAAACATGTGATAACTCGTGATATTCTTTGTCCCTCCGACCTCTAATGAAACAGACACAGGAGTGAAATCCTAATACTGTCTCCTGAATGGTAACAGATGAGCGCCGGGATTAAAGTTTAAAAAATGGGACGTTGAACATGATGAGCTGTAGCTGAGAATAATGGAAATACTGACAATTTTCCAGCCATTAATTTGTACCAATGGATCGTGTAATGGAACTTGTTGCTATGACATTCGGCACTAATTTCTTCACGTGTTTGTGAGAAAACAAATAGGAACAACCTTTTTTTATACAACCGCTCTCTCACGTCTCATCGTGATCAAACAGAAAAATGAAGTCAAAAAGTAACTCTGCAGTGCACCATTTTCATAGAAACGGTTTCTACATCAAAGGCGTTTACAATGAATCTCTTTAGAGAAAGTGCAGGTTGAAATCGAGCAGAATATGTAAGTGACCCTCTCTACCAGTCACCACAGACCATTACACATCAAAATGAGACGCAGTAAACACAGCTATGTTGTCAATCCAGTGCTGACACTACTGTGAATTATGTGGCCTCTCCCCACTTCAAACTCAATTCCCAACCTGTTTGTTTTCTAGGGTTTCTATCCAAAAAGGACAAATTGAGGCAGTAATTTTCTCCTTAAGCCTCATGAGATGGGCTCATTGGTGCACTCCAGAGGGAAAATGCATGCTGGTTATTTGGGTTTGAGCGTGGCGGGCGAAACGGTTCGGTTCTGATGGTGGTGTTTGGTGTCGGCGTCTGCTCTGTGTCCCTGTGTTTGTTTGAGTTTGTCAAAGCGTGCCGTGCTCCCGGGTCGGCTGAAACATTAACCCCCCACGTTAGCGGTTCAGACTCCAGATCTCAGCCTCTGAATTTGCCTATTGTTCCCCTGAAGAACCAAAGGTGCCTGAAGATTTGGCTTTTTTCTTTATATACCTGTTTCCAAATGGACACTGTTGCTGGTTGGGACAGGATGCGGTGGAACAAACTGTGACTGCAGTGGGGGCCTAGATTACCACATGACATTCCCACATGTGGATACCATCTTAATCCCTTTTCTCTATTAATATGTTGTGATTCCAAAGTCCACCGCAATAACATCTCCAGCAAGATCACAGGAAAGAAATAACACATTTTCAGTAGTGAGGTAAAGGTAAAAGCGCCCACGGTGACATTTCAGGAGATACGCTTATTAGCTTTTCTTGCAAAAAATTAAAGATGAATGTAACTCTCATGTCTACATGCTCTTATATGAAGCAGGCAGTCAACTTAATTCAACCCTGCCGCCCAAAAGTCATGTGTCTGCACAGCTAAACTACTTTCTCCTTCACATTTTGAAAGAAACTCATATTCTCCCCAAAAGTTAAGACTGTGACAAAGGTTTCCAGTCCGACTAGGGTTTGTGGGATCATTATTCTCAGTCTTGAGTTTCATTTTCACTTGTTTACTTTCGATTTGCACTTGCGGTTTGATTAGATTTAGGAAAATAGTGCATTTCGGTCAATTCTTTCAACTACCTGTTAAAAGCCTGCTTACTTTCATGGTTTGGGTTAAAACACAACCTTTTTTTTTAATGTTTCTCCACCATTTTGTGGGTTATGAGGGTAAAGAACCCTACACCATCTGACATTTGATTGATTGGCTGGAAAAAGGAGCACCTGTGATAAATAGCAAAAATCTACTGATTTGAATAAGATAAGAGGACTTTATTAATCCCACAGTGGGGGGAATTTACAGTGTTACAGCAGCAAAGAGGTCAGTGGCAAAATATATGTGTGATACATCACTAACAAATGTAATCTGGCACAAAATGTGTTTAATTTTAGTTGTGTAGAAACGTAATTTTTGGGAGCCAAAGATGCCCAATTAGCTCAAATACTGCAGCAAGACGTAACAAATTCCACCTATCAGCAGTGTAAAAACAGCAATGTGTGACAACCATGTCTTTGCCTTTAGAAACAGCCAGGCGAGCTGTTTTGCTAGACTAGCCACCCACCTCCTATCTACAGGTTCAAATGTACTTTTCAGATATGAGTGACTCCTCAACTAACTCGAGAAAGCAACAAAGAATATTTCGCAACTACTTTCTCAAGGATTTTTTAAACAGTTCTTCGATTTTTTTCAATTTCTCTTCTACTTTTCAATTTGGAGCAAGATAAGACTTGTGGTTATAAAATGCATTTGCACTTTTTCTCATAAAGTACACCTTGGTTTCACAGCTCCACTGAAATGTTAGGTACTTATTTACCAATGCAGAGGTGTATTTTTCTGTGTGAATTGCACTCTGAACCAGCTTTCCCTGCCTCTCTGTGAATGAGCCTCAGATTAGAGGATGACGTTAAGGCCTGCTACACCTCGGGCTTGTTACCTCAGCACTGTCCGCCTGTTTTCTCCTTCCTCACCTAACCTCAGCTACTAACCCATTGATCTCCTGGATCCTAAAAGTCTTACGCACTACACTTCTTTCCTGAAACACGGTCGTAAACAGACCCAGACATTGTTTGATTTGGTTGCCAGCTCAGATCCAAGTCTTTGTTTTCTCCCTTATTCCTAGAGGCACGGTTTTCTTCAAAGAACCCTTTCATCTTATTGTGAAACTGATTGTTATTAGGCCTTTATCTGTGATTCCCTTCCTCTCCTCTCTTACCTGCACAGTTTGCTTTTCTCCTTGAATGTCTTTAAATGTCTTTTTGTCTAGAAATCTTGGACAAATATACCAATAAAACCTCCCGTCTTATTATGCTCAAGAGTATGTTAAAGAAATAGTTTGACATTTTGGGAAATACTTTCTCGCTGAGAGTTAGATGAGAAGACAGATATGCCTCTCATATCTGATGGTTAGCTTGACGTTAACACAGGAAACAGGAAGGATAAGTTATCTGTCTAAAGATTCAGGTAAATCCATTACAACACCTCTGAATCACTAATGGTGCGTGTCGACATGATTTGTCATTTCCACACTTCCCTTACATTGTCTTTGTAAGCAGCTGTGCAAAGCATCCTAGGAGTGCTGTGTTGCATTTTAGAAGACGAGATGTCATGTTTGCCACTCCTTATTTGCATAAAATTGAAGTCTAGACTACTATATGAAAATCAGGAGCGTCCAGCCCAACTGCAATTTTTAAAGTAGCTGCTGTCAAGCTACAATAAAGACAGATTCGTGCAGCAGCTGCATGGCTAATATCTTGCCTGAAACGGTTTCAGAAACACAAAAAAAACAAGTTAATTATTTTCATGCTACAGGAGAAAGGTATGGTTTGAAAGCCACAACACACAGCCTACGAGGGAAACATTCATCCAATCAGGTTCAGCCAGTGTTTGCACGATTGTATGAGAAAAACATCAGAAAAATCCCCTGTGGACTCATATCATAAATCAGTAATGGTACATGTCTACAGAATCCATAACTTCCACACTTCCCATTCATTTTCCATGTAAGCAGCTGTGTAATCCATTCTGGTAGTGCTACGTTTCACTTCGAGACAAGGCGTCACATTGGCCATTACTCAGTTGCATAGTTGAAGAGATGAAATCTGGAGTGTACAGCGTGACTAACTGCCTCTTAGAACTCCTAAAAAAAGCATCTAAACTGACCATTGTTGACTTAAAGTGGAAACAGATTCAGCAGTTGCATGGCCTCAAATGTTTTCAGACGCACGGTTTTGTGAACTATGTTATAGGAATGTTTCGATCAAGGTTTTTTTGCTTCCAATCTGATCCGAGTTATTTATTTTATGTCGATACCCGACACCATTTTCCTAGATATTATACATTTCAAGTATTGCAGCTCGGCCGTAGTACCTGGTTGTGCCACCAGGTGGAGTTTCTCATTGTTTAATACTGTCGTGACCAGAGGCGGTCCTATTTTGGCAAGCAGAGAGTATTACGGGAGTTAAGCTGATAAAGGGGCACTGTGATAGAGACTTGTATAAGGCTTAATGAACTCAGGCCAGCTAACAAATGTTAAATTAAGCTAGATTCAAGCAGGATATTAATCCTGTGACTCAGTAGAACATTTAATGTCCATGTATGTAGCTGATACAAATCGCTTCAAATTCCTGTGGTCTATCTCGATCCCGGACATCTCTACTATTTCCATTAAACAAGCGAGGCATTCATCCAATCAGCTGCAGCCAGAGTTTGATTGATTTTGTTATTGCAACCCCTCAAGTCCAAAAACGCCCCTGTGGACACATTACTTCAAAAAGTTATATCACATTTGAATGTGAAGCCAACAATTCAACCAGGCTAGTTCTCCCCTCATCTCCAGCCTTTATGCTAAGCTAGGCTAACTATCTGTGTTCTCTGGCTACAAACTAACCTTAAACTTGGCGTCGGCTTTCTCAGTTCTCAACTCTTAGCAAGTAAATGAAAACGAGTTTGTACTAAAATGTCAAACTACTCCTTTAAAAATATCAAAAACGCTTTGCTGAGGACAAAACATCTGGTTAAGTTGAAAGTAAATGGAAGTTTTGTGGCAACTGAAATGTCCGTCTTTCTGTTTTTTAACCAGGTGGCTTTTTGAGACCCGTCTGTCTTCTGTACCAGCTGATGCCTTTGCCAACATGGTCAACATCTCAAGAATGTAAGTGTATTTAATGAAGCTGTTCCATTCAAGGCTTGCACACGGTCTCATTACACAAACTCTTCAAAGTTGTCTTCATTCACCTGCTTTAATTCTTTTGCCTTAAAGCTCCAAACTGTAACCCCTCCACCTTTCCCTTCTGTCTCCCACCCAAGCAGATGATACGCTCTCTGTTTAGTATCACTGCGAGCTCCTAATCACAGCTGGAAGAGCTAATGCGTTCCTTCAATAGGAATGTTGGTCCTTCAACCACAGCAGGGCTTGGACACTGGTTAGGTATTCCAGCAGAGCCCTTTTTGGGTGTGTGGTGATTTTAGACTCCCAGTAGAGGTGGAGTCTCCGTGTCGAGGTAAAATATACACTCGAGCCTTAATCCTCCACTGCTGAGTCCGACATCTGTGTCCAAGTCATGCATAAAAGGGGAGACGGACGTGGATGAGAAGTTTTCTGAAAGCCTCAAACACGTAGCCAGCGCTGACTCTTTGTCTGCCGTCCAGCTGAAACGATTACATGTCAGAAAACCAATCAAATGTAAGATTTTCAAACGCATCGAGGTTGCGCGTAGGTGCTGTGCGTTTCTTTCTAATAAGAATGTCATTTTCGGGATTGATCTGGTGCTGAGTTCATGGTTTATTTTTAAGAGCATACTTGTTACCGAGCAATAACAAATGGGAGCAGAGTGACTGATGACTGGGTAATGTATATGAGAGGTGCATACCCCTGAAATTACCCATGACTTTGGAGGCTTTAAACAAGGCGGGCTGATAAATTTAGGAAAGTTTCGCAAGCTTTAGTATCATTTTTAGAATTGCACGCTTAAACCTAATTTCTGAAAACACGTCTTATTTTTCGCTCCTGCACAGCACCTTGATTCCTTCAAGTCACGTGCACGAGAAAAGTCATTATTTTTACATTACGAGCACGATTTGTTCAGCAGATTCGGTTTAAGCTTTCGTTGTCTCTTTCAGATTTATATCTGTGGATGTGATGCTGCGGCGGCTGGAGAAGCACTCGTTCTACAGCCTGAGGAAAATCACCCACATGTGAGTAACTAAAGGAAAAGGGCACACTCTTATTGATCTCTATTGATTAAGCTGTTCCATTTGCTCTCTGGAGAGAAAAAATGCTTAATTTTGAACCTTGCCGGCAGCAAATTGAAGCAAGGAGGGGAGAGAAAAAAAAAAAAAACACATTTGGAGCTTATTTCTCTCCTTCACACTGCTTACTGCTTCTCATCAGGGTGGTGCAGAAATGTTTTTGCCAATTCATGAGGTTGAAGAAATAATCCTGTTGTGGGATTTCTAAATGCAGATTAGATAAGAAACAATTCAATTAGATGAAATAACTCATTATCTGGATGTATTTGCCGCGTTATTGCCACGTGCAGTCTAATAAGCGTGTTGGAGGCTAAACAGCAGCCCGGTGTTGGGCTTCTCTGCTCCTCTTCTTCATGCTCCAGCTCTTGTTGAAGCAGCTCAGGGGAAAAAAGTCGAGCAAGGTGCACTCTATTCTCAATTATGGGATAGAGATTTATGGCCGAGTCTCCTGGTGGACCACACACTTTCCAGCAGAACACCTCCTAGCACTTCATATATTACTGCAAGACTTCCTGCCTATGTGAATGATTTGTTCCAAGTTACAGCATCCTGTAGCGCAGCAGTTTGTGTGCACGCAATTTGTTTCCACTCCTAAAAACGTGGGCATTTGAGACAGTAACTATGATTAACAACCGCAGAAATTAATCCGACGTGTTCCTGATGTATCATCTGGCTGTCATTTCTATCTTAATTATCGCAGTCTTCCCTTCTTAGCTGCTAAATTCCACATATCAAAATGCAGACAGAAGCAATAATTCAAGCTGCTAGCTGAGGGTTGTATCTGTGTTCTGGGGGTGTATTTTGGATCTCCGGGGCCTATTTGCCACTGATTGGTGTGGTGTAGTGCCATACATCAGATAATGGCATCTCTCTCAGGTTTCCTTCAGGGTCAGACACAAATTAATGCTCTGCTTCCTGCTGGCTGCTTGAGGCCGACAGCAGCTGTGGATCAAGGACTTCAGTTGGAGCTGAGAAATTCAGAGGCGGAGGAGGGAGTTCGAATTGTGCCACCATCAAATGAAACCACCGATTTCAACAATTCTTAGGTTTCTGAGGGAGCAAGAATGCACATGTTTATTTAAATCTGAGTTTTTGGTCCTGTGTTTCACAAATGATACGCTGCGTTAATGCTTCAATTTGTACGTGCACGTTTTATAACAGCTCCTACATTCTCGGCTAATTATAGGAAATATGTGGCGCAAAGGAAAGTGTGTAATTTGTATTTATAGCAGTAACAGCAGCACTTTGTTTGGATCATGTGCAGGAAGTTAAGTAGGTAGTTAAAGCTGCTTAATTGAAAAAAAATGTGTTAAACCTTTGGGTCAAACGATTTTGCGTGATGAAAAGTTGTTGCTCGTAGTGGTGAACCCTCTTAGAAACATTACACAAGTCTAATTCTTCTTTTAGGAGCATCTTTTATCACATTGTTTTGGTTGTTACTGTACTGTTTTGAATCAGTCTTTCCACTCTCATCATCTCATTTTCAGCCAAAAATACTGTTTGTTTTACACGTCTATATTTTTTAAGTACACAAAATATCAATGAATTTACAAATGTATTCCCTGAATTTACATGTCAAATGTAAAAGAACATTAAAACCTGTAGCTGTTTGTTTTTGACATAACAGACATTAAAATGACAAATATATTGTAATTCTTCTGTCTATACATTATCATGGTTATATGTTATATTTGATATAATATGTAACCATATCTTATATATTAAAGTGTTGTTTTAAAAAAATAAAATAAAATAGACATGATCACATGTTTAAATACTGAAAAATGACTGTATTTTTACGAGATGTTTTTTTTTTTACTCCTATTTCTGGTGCCCTGGGTGCCAACTATTGAGGCTTTCTTTTTGTTTTGTTTTGTTGCAGTTTGCTATTTTTACGCTGTACTACAAACAGCTCTTTTAAACATGCATACTGGTTTAGCACCACCAAACAGCAAATAGACAAATTTAGTGACTAACCTGCGAACATAACATCTTGCATTAGCAACTAGATAGCTGGATATTCTTTTTTCCATCAGGAGCTGGTGGAGACCAAACAAGAGCCAAAAGCATTGTATGGCATTGACCCTATCGGTATCTGGTAGCCAGAAACACAAATAAATCTAAATGAGTGCAGATGATGCTCCATCTCTGGTGGATGAAAAAATATACAGTTGTTTGTTAACATAACAAACTGTACACACCCATTGCTTTGTTGATTACCATTTTAAAGATGAGTTTGGAAATTGGCCACCACATTTTTGTTTAAACAAAAATATTCCCTACTTTATTGTCTACATTACCCTTAATGGGACCAGAATTTAGAAAATGAACATCATGCTGCATTGAAGGAGACTTGAAACTAGCGATTGAGACCATGAACTCATTAGAAATATGTTTATTGAGGTAACAAATTGAGGAAAAACTAGATTCATTTTCTTACAGACTTCTATACAGTTTGAAACTAAGGAGTCGCCCCCTGGTGGCTGCAGAATGCAGGTTTAAGGCTCTTCTACATTGGCTTAACCCAAAGATTTCATACTTTATCTACAGTTTATGGCTAAAACATTCACTGTAACAACTTTCTGAAATTATAATACATAAATGTTTCTACACACTTGCTCTGCTGCCCCAAGTGGCTCAAAATACTAAATTCTACTTTAACATGACCACAATTATTATTATTATTATTATTATTTAACATTTTCTTTTGTTTAGCTATTCAAACAGCTTGTTCTACATTTTTATGCATGCAGGACAGGTCCATATTCTCAGTGATGATGGTGCTGTTTATTTTTGTAATGCAAACCTGATTCTACTCTTTAGCAAGGCTGGATTCAAAAGCACAAACCTTTTCGAATTGCTTGGTTAACAGGACCAGCCAAAGTCATCGTGGCTGAACAAAAAAAAAAGAAAAGAGAGAGAGAACCACCCGCAGAAACACAAACTTTCATTACCAAATAATCCAAATAAAAGGAAATCAAATTCCCAGCCGTGCTATTTGGTCGACCTTCTGGAGTTGAAAGATTTGCGATTCAACCTCTCGATTGCGGGAGTTTTCCTCGACTCACTGACCTGCTGCTGCCACTCAGGAGTTTTTGCAGCCAGCTTGACAGATGCAATCATTACATTTGCTGATTTAACTGATATTTCGGTTTAAGACTCAAGTTTTTATACAACAGCGCCGGGAGGGTGAACCTCATCAACTCAGGGACCTTCGCTGAGGTTTGCCAGGTGTGTGAAGAAGGGCCAGGACAGACTCTCCAGAGCTCCACATGGCTTCAGACAGCAGAGAGAAGTGTTCAGTCCAGCCCAGGGCGGACCAGAGTAAACACGCTAATGAAACACTAATTGGACTCTACTTCCGGTCCTGGCTGTCTGCACCAAGTTTCCCTTCTCGTGAACGCTGGCATGCACCTTTCTCTGTTCTCTCAGCCAGTCTGAAGATTGTGCAGTTTCTGAACACTTCATGGTCATGACACACTTGAGTATTTTACTTAAGCTCCGAATCAGTTTAGTTTTAAGGTGAAGTGCATTTTTTTTAGCAGCTGACACCTCTTTGTTCTTTCAGAGAGATTCGGAACGCAAAAAGTCTAACGTACGTAGACCCAGAAGCCTTCAAACACCTTCCAAACCTCAAGTATCTGTAAGTATTTTTCAGAACATGCTCTTTTTTTTCCACATATTGTCAACACAGCAATAACCAGAACAGATGAAGGGTATATGTTCAACATTCCTAAGTCTGGTAATTTTGTCATATTGATCTATTCAAAGCATTGTGTGGCTAAAAAAAAGGAGTCGAGCTTCATTTGAGTTTAATGGAGTGGTACAAGCCAAGCTCAGAAAAGACACTGCACAGTCCATTTTAGTTAACGTCCTGCAACGTGCTATCAACCAAATATAAATTCTTGACGGTTCTGTAGACAGCTATAAGCCGTTTTTCCTTCAAGAAGGCCAAGGTTTAGTAGTTTAGCACGATTTCTCCATCACTTAAGTTCATTTAACGAGGCAGGAATCTGACAGTGATTCTCAAGTTGGTGCTCAAATGAATCGAACTGGTTATTATTTAATGATACAGTCTATCATTGTGGTCTCTTTAAACTGTCCAAGTCTGATGTAATTCGGCGGAACGTGAATAATAAGACAGTACATCTTTAACCCATTTAGAGCTAAGGCGCCCGCTGTGTAATCCTTGTTTCATCACCTGTACATCGGGATTGTTTCCTTCTCTGCGCATTTCAGGGGGATTTTTAACACCGGCCTGACTTTCTTCCCTGACCTGAGCAACATTCACTCCAATGACATGAACTTCATCCTGTAAGTGGCTGTAATTTTACACCTTTAAAACCAATCGCACTGTGGAAGAGGTCATATTTATGCTCGCAAGAACTGCTACTTTGAACCTCAGCGTTAAATCATAACCATCACCATGACTGTATTTGTATGAGTGTGAACGTCGTGGGTGCATGTAGATATCTGTAACTTATATACTCTGCATTTCTATAAATTCTGCTTACATTTTCTTGGTAATTATGAGCATACATTTTAAATTAAGTCAATACTGAGAGACATTACTGTAATACAGCAAACAAATAAGACTGTTAGACTATAATTAGCCATTATCAGCCCTTTCCTACACTATATGTGTTTAAAACAAGGACCATGGATGTATGAATGTCTAATTGTGATTTTTCTGACAGATATTGTGATTTAAGTTGTGGCATCATTTTTTAAAAAGTCCCATTTAGTTCAATATTAACTATATAATCCATTTAAAACATGTGATGGTGCATTAACATGAGATAAAATCAAAAGACTAGTGACTGTCGATCAAGGAAGACGGCACAGATTTGTAAAAACCACTGACACAGCGGTTTTAAATGTTGGGTTAGACGTGCTGCATAACATTTATCGTCAAGTGCAGCCTTTGTAATTTGTTAAATGCATTGTTTCAGATTGCTATTTCAATGTGACATCAATTATTTTCCCCTTGTAGTAGCATGTAAGGATTTTGAAAATAATAACTAGAATTGTTGAAAAGACACTGAAAAAAAACACAATTTACATGTTTATGCTCCTTTTTTTCCACATAAGAAGTTTGGACGCAACCTTTTTGTTTGTAACGTGGCACAAACAGGGATTATGGGAAATGTGGTCTCAATTTAGAGAAATTCCAACAAGACCACCTTTCACGCTATTGATATACAAAATACTCCAAATGCTGTATGTGTGTGCTGGTATGTTGCTCTTGTCTGCGTCTCCACGTCTGTATGAAACAAACTACATCCACAGTCTCTGTGTTGTCGCCGACTCAGTCGCCTCCTTTATTTCCTAAATCTAATTTTCCTACCGAGCCGTAATACTTGAGAATACAATCATCAACACCGCATTTCTCCACATGCCACTTTCCAGCGAAAGGTATTTATTTACGACCTCACTTTATTCCCTTCTCTGTTCTGTGTCTCGCTGTGCAGGGAGATTGTTGATCATCCCTACATTACCGAGATCCCGGCCAACTCGTTCCGTGGCATCACCAGCGATGTGCTGACAGTGTGAGATATATTTGCACCACACGGAGATGCACATATACGCACATTTATGCTGTGCATTTTTTTTTCTTTTGCACATTTATGCTGTGCATAAATGTGCAAAAGAAAAAAAAATCCCGCATGCAATGCAAATACATGGATATTTGTTGTATATGCTTGCAAAGAATATGCATGCTTTAGCTTTAACATTGTTTTTTTATCTTTAAATTCAACCAAATCCTGAAAATAGACACTGGAAGAAACAAGCACGGTCCAAAATGACCTCATTTTAAAAACATATCCTCACCCTGACCTCACTTGAATCACACAAAGATAGAAAAAAAACAAGTACACAGACGCCCGCTCACAACATGTAATCACACGTATGTGTGTGATTAGGTTAGGGAGCGAGGGAAGTGAAGTAAATGTTGGGTTGAAAAACCGCAAAATTACACAAACGGACAAAATCTCACCATAAAATGAGGAATAAGTAGGTCCCACTTGTCTCTGTCACTGCGCATGAGGGATCAACACATGGAAAATATTTTCATTTGGTAGCTTGGTTGTTAAATCTGAAGAGACAGATTGTAATAAATGCCTTTTTTTTCTTTTTTCTGTGTCCTTTTGTTCCAGAATGCTGTACGGAAACGGCTTCAGAGAAATACAACATCACGCCTTTAACGGGACGAAGTTAGATCAAGTGTAGGTATTTCTGTAAACCCAGCCGCCGTGTTTAATTCATTTGAATTCACTTGTTAACATAATGAATACTGAATAGTGTGGCAGTTTGGGAAACGAGCTTCTTCCCTTTCTTGCCGAGAGTGTGCATGATAAATATGAAGCTATAGCCAGCAGCTGATTAGCCAGATTGAAAAGAATGGAAAGTGGGAGAGAGAAAAGAGAAACGACTCGTCTGGCTCAAGGAGCTTTCTCTTTAGAAAGAGCCAGATTTAAATCTAAACTTATTAACAGGTCATATCTCATTTAATCTGTACAGAAACCAAAGTGTAACAATGACGGCTGTTGTTTTACTGGAGGTTGGCTGAGGGAGCGTTTCAGCTGTTTCCTCCTGTTTCCAGCCTTTAAACTGATGTGAAGCTAAGCTAACTGGCTGCACAAGTAGCAGGGACTGTTCCCACAACGCTGGTAAACATTACCTAATGATGTTTTAAAGAAAACGTCCCAGTGTAATGTCCAAAGAACAGTTTAAGAATATTTATAATTTAGAATAACATTTGTAGAAGGTCAAAGTTTTACTGAGAACATTTTAACACAAAGACACTTTGAGGTTCATAAAAGCCACAGATTATGTTAAAAAGTGTGACAATTCGGCAAAAAAACAATTAACATTAAGAAACTGTTGTTAAAGAACATTTAACCAGTGATATGTACCTCACACACAGCATATAGCATCCATCCATTCATTATCTATACACCACTTGATCCTCACTGGGGTCATGGGGGCTGGAGTCTATCCCAGCTGACTCAGGGTGAAGGCAGGGGACACTCTGGACAGGTCACCAGTCTATCACAGGGCTACACTTAAAGACAGACAACCAAGCACACTCACATTCACCTACGGACAATTTAGAATCACCAATTAACCTCAACATGTTTTTGGACTGTGTGGGAGGAAGCCGGAGAACCTACGCTGCAAGAGGAGAACATGCAAACTCCACGCAGAAAGATCCCCGGTGTCCTCACTGGGATACGAACAGGCGACCTTCTTTAAGCGGCAGATGGATGGATTATCTGTTATTCAACAATACTGTGAATATATGTAGAATAACAACAGATTGTTAAAAAAAAATCTGTTTGACTATATATATATAAAAAGGAATAACATTCTCAAACAAATATTGAAAAAAGACTTTATCAAAGAATAAAGGCCAGAATGTTTTGAGTTTTTTTTGTAAGAAAACAATTTGGGAACTAACAAAATTATTTTTTTTTACTGAAAATATTAGTTGTTTGAGAAATTGTATTAGAACAAAGAAATTCTAACTGTCTGCTTCAGCCTCACATTGAAAAACGGCAGCAATGTTCTCATTAAACACTGAGCAAGAAAGCAAATAATTTCCAAAATGTCAGACTTTATTTAGCTCAGCTGCACCACCACACTGAATAATCAGAGCAGTGTAATTGTGTTGTTATTTTATATTCAACAGTAATTGATTATTACCTTGATGAACCTTCAGTTTTAAGAGCTTCTTTTGAGATTCTTGAGGCGGTTTTAGTTTATCTGCATGACTATCTTTCACTGCTACACTGAAACCAGTCAATTTAAATGCCTTCCAATTTCCCATAAATTAGGTTATGCAGCATTTTGCCTGGTTTAAACCATTTCTGACATCTGGGATGTGTATTTCCTTACCCAAAATTGCCCTACAAAAGCAGCAGGATCACAGTCGGGTCTCTATGGGCCTTCTCATATGTGCTCAAAAAGGGCTTAAGCCCAGCTCTTGATTAGCAAGATGGAGTTCTCATGGGAAAATATGTTTCCAAAAGTGGGTATCAGGAAGTCTGCATTAAGAGTTCCCCTCTCCCACACACTCAGTGACACTGGTTCTTCCACTTGCAGAAATCCTACTTTGTAGAATTCATATAAATTTCAAGCCAGTGAGAGGCGGACAGGTAAGCGTTCCTTCTTTTTTCTTTAGGTCACAACATGTTCTCTTATCTTCTTTTCTCCCGCTGGTCCAAAAATCCTGCATAGTCAGGATATGAGGTATTAATGATATTAATTTAAGACCCCTCTCCTCTTTTACAACACCTACACTCAAGCCCAGGTCCTTATAAGAGCCCAATTAAGTAACTAGTAAGTCTTACCGCATGGCTGTTTGTGTTGGCGCCTGATCTGCTCTGAGGGGAGAACTGATCCCAGCACAGCCTGACCAAGACAAACACACCCCTCACAGGTCTATTATCCTTATTAGATTTAAGGGATTCGGGGAGATGTGTAGTGAGGGTGTTTAAGAAATACACCATCATATCTTACACCATCTAATTTGAATCAACAGTATAAGCGAGACCTTATTCTGTCGTGTTTCACCCCCGAAATGAGGGAAAATAAATACAGGAATGCGCAGCGACCAGGCTTGAGAAGATATTATGGCATGGCTCAATTGAAATGTGCAGAATAACTTTTCTCCGTAAAAAAAAAAATAAAAAAATTGTGCTTTCCTGTCCAGCGACCTTCACAGGAATAAGTACTTAACCAAGATGGATGACAGGGCCTTTGCGGGAACCATCAGCGGACCCATGCTCCTGTAAGTACCTGAAGGGTTGATAATTGTAGCCACTCTCATCAACTTTGCGAGCCATCAGTAACATCCATTTATGTCACACTCTCACAGATTTTATCTTTCTGTCATAACCACATATGGATAAAAACTGACCCAAGTTGCCATGTGAACTAAACAAGTTTGATCGATTGGATCTCGGTGGAATCTTTACTGGCAGGGCTTGTCAAGTTTGCATGCTTTAAAGCTACTGTTTAACTTTTAAATGCAGATCCATACCACTGATCAGCCCCCACATCAAAACCAATTGCAGAACATTGTGTAAGCCCCTCTTTGTGCTGCCAAACCAGTTCTGAGTCGTCAGGACGTGGACACATGAACTCTGGAGGGGTCCAGTGGCGCCTGGCACCCGGACGTTGGCACCAGAGCCTTTGGGTCCTGTGGGTTCTGTGGTTGGTCCTCCGTGGATCAGGCTCATCCCAGAGAGGCTCAATTGGATTTAGATTTGGGAATTTTGGAGGTCGGGTCAATGGTTTGGGCTTTTTGTCGTGTTTCTCAAGCTGTTTCCGAGCAGTTTTTTTGCAGCTACTAGGGGGGTGTGCTTGTTCTAGGACAATGTTGAGGTGTCAAAGTATGAATGCCAGGACCCAAGGTTTCCCAGCTGAACATGGCATTGAGATGGATGATCAATGCTCAGTGGGTTTTCTGTTGCCATCTGATCCGCTACTATAAAGCGATAGTGAAGTTCAGGGTGGTGTATGTTCACATGTGGGATCTCTATACCAAATCAAATGGCACCGTCCATTTCTGAGATATTTTATCTTCACTTCTGGTCATTCCATCCTTCTTCAGTCTATAATATTTATGATGTATTTTCCACCTGCAGCTACAGTAGTCTCGTTTTATAATCTACTTTTTAAGCACATCTCATTAGAAAAAGTTCATGGAAACTGCCACATTTAAATAAACTTCCTCTATTTTGCATTTTTTTACACCCCTACTTTTGAAAAGGATTTAATGCGCTTCATGGGAGATGAAAACTCCTTTTCGAATAAGTTCTGACATAGCAGACATTTATTTCACATTACTGATCAGCTGTTGACGCTGACAGTATGAAACACAGCCAATACCAGCTGGTATGAAAGAATAATGAGAATTTTCCCGACACAAAATAATTCCTTAAGGCTTCTCTCCATTGTACTCTCACAGATGGCCAAAGTTTTGTTTCTTCTTCTTCTTCAAGGTTTTTTGGTGGTTGGCAAACAACCGGATTGTTTCCGACTTCTTCCACTCTGTTCATTTCAGCCATCCTTAACAGAACTAGTTCAGTCGTTCCAAAGCAGTTAACTAATTGTCATTGTCGTTTTCTTTTTCTCTTTTCTATTTTTTCAAAAGTTTGTTTCAAATTTGATTGATCACGCAGCTCTTGGCTCCCATTTTGTTACCTCACTTTAAAAGAATAGTTTGGAAAAAATGTGCTCGCTCGTTCCCTTTCTTGCTGAGGGTTGGATAAAAGATTGCTAGTAGCTTTTCAAACGACGAAACAAATGGTGTATAAGGTGTTAATTTGTGAGCCATAGAGGCAATGATAGGAAGATTTAAGTAACTGTGGACAGAGCGAGGCTGACTGTTCCGCCCGTTTGTAGTCTTTATTCTAAACTTACCAGCTGCTAGCCGTAGCGTCATATTTTTAATTCAGATGTTTGGCATTGAGCTTTTGTTAAACTCTCTGCAAGAAGCCAAGAGTATCCCCAACATGTTGCATTATATCTTATACAGGCACAGTATTTTTGGGAATTTAATTTCTTTCAGTTACAGAATTCAAGCATGCCTACAGCAAACCACACTGGTTTGTAAACTATTCGCACTACGTTAAGTTAGATTTTGACAATGTCCTTATTCACAATGTGCAGATTAGATAAGACACGTCTGTGAGAAAGGACGCAGTAAAGATAATTCCTCCACAGCTGTGTCTTTGACCAGGAAACCTGACACGCGTTGTGTGCGAGCATGCGATGGAGAAACTTCGGACGTTTCTCTGATGCTGCTGTCTTTTTCGCCGTTTCCTCGCATTGAAGGACATTCGATGCCGAGACCCTTTACCACGGCTATCTGGTTGCTGTTGTGGCTCTGATCTAGCCGTTAAGTGTCTGGTTAGGTAAACGGGTTTTATGTGCAGGACTTCTTCCTTGGCTCCGCCGAGGAACATGTCCTGAGTGAGGTCACCTCCATGAGGTCATGAGCGAAACATCTGGAAATGACAAAATCAGACCAACGCTCGCGGGGTCTGCGCTTTACACAATGAGCCCCATGAGAGGAAAAAAGAGCAGAGGACAGAGAAGTGGGGAGAGCAAATGGGACCAAAAAAAGAACAACTGAGCTTTTAGCGAATATGGAATTGCTTGGCTTGTGTTTTATTTCATTTAATGAAATTAATCAATGACTTGGAGGTGTAATGGGTTAGGAAACTAAAGAAAGCAAAAGAGAACTTGGACTCTGCTTGACCCCTCAAAGGGGGGGAGGGGGGGGAGTGTCAGTTGCTGTGAATGTCTTGATAACAGGATCACACAGGATGTTGGTGAGATTGTCAATCCCCCTGCATGTCTTTGTCCCGATGAGGTTGAGCTGGCTTTGGCATGACGGCCAAGTGCAAGAAATACCACATGTAATTGCTTAAAGATGAAGGAATTCACTCTAGGAAACAGATGGACGGTGTTGTTTAATCCGTCTATGGGCTCTCTGGTCTCATCATGTCTCGCTCCTCTGATTTGCTGATCGTACATTTGCCCGAAAATCTGCTTTTTTAAGGTAGTGTCTGCCATTCTTGGTCACATTAATGTATAAAACTCAGCATTATATTAACACGCAAGTGCAATCGTATGGGATGAGGGTTTTCAAATAATTACATGTTATCAACTGTATCAGGGATGTAGTCGGATTTGTAGCCGCAGCGCTCCATATGTTACTCTGTGATTCAGCCTCGTCAGTAGTGTAAATGTGAAATTTAAAAACACACTCAGACTCAGTGAGGAGAACATAGGAAATAAACTGTTGGATAGAAATGTTCTATATCGAGCTCAAACTGTACTCTCAGACAGTGTCTTTACCCAGAGTTCACTGCTCTGCCCTTCGGCTCTCGCTGTAAACTTCAGAAGATTAGCTGTAATCTCTCCAAATACTCATATGTTCCCATTGCAATCAGTTTACTAAATGGTCACGTAGGAACCTTCATCATCTAAGCTTCTAAGATGTCAATACTTTTTTGTGTGTTGTTGTCATAGTTTCTTTTGTCTGTCAGGCTGTTAAGCTGCAACCAAACTGCCCATAAGAGATCTTAATAAAGACTGAAATGAATTGGTTATCCAGTAACATGTTGCATCTCCCAAAGTATTTTTATGACCCCAGAGTTGTCTTAAAGCTGCCTAGAAAAGATAAAAATATTTTCCAGGGGGAAAACAAATGTTTTAATCCAATATTTCCACAGACTTAATGTAAGTTCCAGCAAAGAGGAGGGAAGCTGCATTGTGAGAATGTTGGATCTGAATATGGGTTTTGCATTTGTGGGTGAAATTTTAAAATTCCAGGCAGAAAGGAGACATCTGTGATATCACAAAAATACCTGCGAAATGGAGCTGTCACAGTATTACTATATGCACTAGGCAACTATTGTTGCCAAAAGAATTCTTGAAAATGATCATTATCGTGATATCTAAATGAAATGTTGAGGGAAAAAATACTGTCAATTAAATCCATCTTCAGCTTTGTTTATTGTGTGTTTTGTCTGTTTTTCAAGCAAATAAATTACACTGAAAATACGAAAACACTCTTCCTCAAAGGTTTCTTGATGCTATGAGACTGACTCATGGAGTAATGAATGAGTGCGCAGGTAATAATTATTAAGCTCTTGCATTGATGGTAACTCTGACATCACCACACTCTGCTCTCATTACCAATCTGCCACTACTGAAGCCAAAAAATCTCCGTGAAAGCATCTAATGTATTTTCTTGGGCTCTTTCCTCCTCCGACTGTCTTTCAGAGACGTGTCCCTGACAGGGATCACCTCCCTGCCGACCACAGGCATGGATTCTCTCCGCGAACTGAAGGCCCGCGATGCCTTGGCCCTCAAGAAACTCCCGCCCATCAAGACCTTCAAGCACCTCATCGTCGCCAACCTCACCTACCCAAGCCACTGCTGCGGTTTCAAAAACCTCAAGAAGAAACGAGGGTGGGCTTTCGTCAATTCTTGATTTTGAAACTGTTGATCGAACCTGCGAGAGCCAGAAAAGTTTTGTGAAGTGGAAGCATCAAGAGAAGTGTATAAAAGACGGTATAAAAATAAAAAAAAAATTTAAAAACCGTAGCTGGTGTATTTGGATGATCCACCACAGCAAGTGGGGGCAGCTGCACTTTTATGATGTGGATGTTGGCAGGGATTGAATCAACTCTCTGACGTGTTTACCTCTAACTTCTTACAGTGCTGCCGTAATTAGTGTCACTCACTGCTGTTATTGTAGGAAGAAGGTTGAGCCAGACTAATAATGACTCTCAAAACAGGAATTCCTTTTCTTCAACTGAATATATAAATGATTTAATTGTACTCTCTCAGCTAGTGAGGATAGCAGACAGGTCTTTTAAAAGCTAATTTAGGACTATATTATTATTTAATGGACTCGTCTGCATGTGTTTTCCAGCTATTTGGAGTGCATCATCTCTAACCTGACTGCTTTCTACGACCAGCATCATAAGCGCTCTGTGGGGCCCCTTCGCATGCCTTCCCTCCAAGAGGACAGTGTCGTGGAAACACTCCCGGACCAGGAGCCAAGCGACGGAGGTCACAGAGAGTCCCAGCAAGACTGGCGGAGAGGCGACTTCCACGGCAGCCTCCACTACCACACCTATTTTGGGGGCCAGCCAGATGAGGATGTGGGTTTTGGAGAGACCCTCAAGAACCCCCAGGAGGACAACAGCCAAGATTTTGACAGTCATTCTGATTATGTGGTGTGCGAGGAGGGAGAGGAGGTGGCGTGTGCGCCGGTGCCCGATGAGTTCAATCCTTGTGAGGACATAATGGGTTTTGGCTTCCTGCGAGTGTCGGTGTGGTTTGTGAGTTTGCTGGCTGTTCTGGGAAATGTGGTGGTGCTTCTGGTGCTGCTCACCAGCCACTACAAGCTGTCAGTCTCCCGGTTCCTCATGTGCCATCTGGCCTTCGCAGACCTGTGCATGGGGATTTATCTGCTGCTCATCGCCTCTGTGGATCTCCACACACGTGCAGAGTACTTCAACCACGCAATCGACTGGCAGACGGGCCCTGGTTGTGGCCTTGCAGGGTTTTTTACTGTCTTTGCCAGCGAGCTGTCTGTCTACACCTTGACGGTGATCACTCTAGAGAGGTGGTACGCCATCACCTTTGCAATGCGACTGGATCGAAGGCTGCGTCTGCACCACGCGGCGGTGGTGATGCTCGGCGGCTGGATCTTCTGCCTCATCCTTGCCTTGCTCCCACTGGTTGGCGTCAGCAGCTACCAGAAAGTCAGCATCTGTCTGCCGATGGACACCCAGTCCACCGCGGCTCAGGTCTACATCATGTCCGTGCTGGTCCTCAACATCCTGGCGTTTTTTGTGATCTGCGCTTGCTACTTCAAGATCTACTGCGCGGTGCACAACCCTCACTACCGCTCCGGATCCAAGGACACCAACATCGCCAAACGCATGGCCGTCCTCATCTTTACGGACTTCCTGTGCATGGCGCCAATTTCCTTCTACGCCATGTCGGCTGTGCTCGACCGACCTCTCATCACTGTCTCCAACTCCAAGATTTTGTTGGTGCTTTTCTACCCGCTCAACTCCTGTGCCAACCCGTTCCTCTATGCCATCTTCACCAAAGCCTTCAGGGGAGATGTGTTCATCCTCCTCAGTAAGGTGGGTTTGTGTCAGCAGCGAGCGCAGCTGTTCAGAGGCCAGACGGTCTCGTCAAAGGGCAGCAGCGGGACATCTCAGGTCCGCAGAGACAAGGACAAAGTTAGGAAAGGAGGAAGCATAGGCCAAGAAGAGGTGCCTATCCACTTGAAGAAATGCTCCGGACACACCTACCACCAAGCAAACAGCCACCAGACAAGCCCTGAGGAGAGCCAGAGCCTGGACACTTGAACCCAACGCCAGCCTCGAGGTAGCAAAGCAAGACAGGTTCAGGTGGGAGAGGAGAGGCCTTGAAGTGTTTGTGGATGGATCTGTTTGGATATTTAACAGAAAGCTCCAGTATCCTGTATCTGTTTCAATTTTCAGGCCAAGTTCAGCTGTTTTCACAATTTCGGCTGTGATGATTTTATGGTTCCAGTTGTGGGAGAATATCAAGTGTCACCGAAACATGAGCCTGACTTCATCTCACTTATGGTACTTAGTATTCTGATGGACTTGCTAGAATAGGACGGAGATTGTTCGAAGGAAAAATAGCAAGAATAAGAATCCAAACAACCATATATGACTGAATTAAAAGGATTTTTTTAATATATATATTGGCTTTTATTCAAATGATCCATAAACAGTCTGGCATTGAGAAACAAGGAAGTAGAACAAAATGTCTGCAGCACTTGATTCTCCGGTGATATGAGGATCTTTCTGACGCACACTATTTATATGTGATTATTGTGTTCAAGGACAGCCTGCTGGCTCAGTGCCGTTCAACAGTCGAAACTTTAACCAGTTTATGAAATTGTAAACACACAGCATCTTTTTTCCGCCTTGTTAACGCCTCTGTATATAATGTACATAGATGATAGTACTTGGAGATTTATGGAGGAAAACAGGACACAGATTTTTTTTAATTTTTGTATTTTTCTTGTCTGTTTTCTGAAAAACAAGTATAAACAAGTATGCTGCAGCACTTGAGTGTGATGTTGGAAAGCTGATTTGAGTGTTTTCAGAGTGCAAACGGACGCTGAAAATTCCCTTTTATGTGGCATACGCCTGCACCAAATTGATGTAACTCCTAATTAGATGTATAAAAATGTTTGCCTCCTTTTGTTCTTTAAGTTCTTTTCTTCTCTCTCTTTTTTTTTTCTCACATTGACCTGAAGAAACACTTTGCAGAGGTGCCTCCTCGCCTCCCGAGAGCATGTGATCCAATTACAAAAGTAAACACAAGGCATATTTGTGTTATTAGCAATTTTCTACAAATTACACGCAGGTATGATAATCACAAATGCACGCTGTCGAAGCCGTCTCTCTCCGCTGGAATGTCGTGGTTGTTTTTCCAGCGTGATATTTTTCCATCCTCGCACGGAAACAAGTGACTTATACAATCAGCCGAGATAGCTTCGCCTCTGCCGGCGGAGCTTAAAGCAAATACAACCGAGACACGTGTGAGCTGCTCGAACTTGTGTGATATTGAGCTATTATGCGTTAAAGGACACCTTCTGCCAATGGCGGCTTAACATCTGGTTAGCATTTCATCTGCTGGGTGACATTTTTTTCAAGGAAATATACAGATGAATGAGGGGGGGGAGGACTTTCCAGGAAAAAGGGATCATTTCAGACCTTTTTTTAATCTTGCTTGCATATTTGTCTTGAAGATATTTGACCAGGTTTCAGCACAGTTTACTTCAGTATGGAAACTGTAGTGTAACATTCCCAACTCTGCATCACTCCAGTGCCTTCTCAAAGCATCGTTGAGTGTGAATTCATCGCAAACCTCAAAGTTGGAAGGATTTCTAGTTGGGAAGTTGAAAAAATTAAGAGTGGCATCTGCTCTGCCGTGTTCCAGACTTGACTCACACTGTAAATTCCTCGCAGACTAGCAGGACATCATTTTCAGCTGAATGTTTTCCACAGCTTCATGTCCATCTCCTCCAATCACACATTAACAACAACCCAGTCGGTGCGGACCCTTCAAATGCAAAGCACACTGAGCCGGAGCGTGATGTGCCTGGCTGCGTTTGTGAGGGCCTCCTCCCCTCCGCTGCCAGCTAATGTTAACTCACAGTTCACGAGTATGTGCGCGTCAAGGTTGATCAAACTCAAAGTCAGTGCGCATTTGCGTGGGTGTCTGGGTGAACCGAGGGGGATGGCATATACCTGCAGAATACTCCATAACCATGCATCAAGTGTTTTCTCAAACCATTCAGGATTATCATACAGATAATTGTGGGTAAGGGTCACGCGCCAACCAATGGGCAGACGGAGCCGGACAAACTGATTGAGACTTGGGAGTGGATTTATTTTGACATTCTTCTTCTAGCTGGTTCTCAGGCCTGCCTGATCATTCCTCTCCCGCTCTTACAAATAAACCCATCTCCCCTCCGTTTCTCAAATAAGCAGGCCAGAGCCCGACGATGCACCTCGCTAACACCAGATTAGGTTGCTAAACTCAAACGCAGTGGGAAAAGAATCAGGGAGAGGGACTCAAACAAAGAAACTGAGGTTTCTGTCACGAGATTTACAACAGCCTCAGTTGCTCGGAGGAGGTCAGAGCCTTCCAGCTCTGCGTCCTGGGAACATAAAATCCCTGCATTTATCGCGTCACTCTTTACGTTACTCCACGGGCCAGTCGACATGGATGGTCCTCTCCAAGAGTCAAGTTCCTCTCTCTCACAGAAAACTCTTGAACGACAACCAGAGCGAACCGCAGAGTTTTTAGACGGTGAAAACATTCATCCCTCTGCCGTTCAGTAAGCGGTTTCAGTCAAAAAAAAAAAATCCTGACAACAGTTTCATGTTTTTTGTTTTTTTTATCAGACTTGTGAGTGGTGCAAGATCTAATTATACAGGAAAACAACACTTTGGGTATGAATTTTGCAGGTTAAAATGTTTGGGCCTCGACAAGCTCAGGTCCAGATTTGCTAAGTGGAATGCATGGCATACAACAAAAATAGATTGCATTGCCTTTCACGAACAATGGCATTCTGTTCTGCTGAAATGCATGGCCAAAACACCAAAAATAAGACATTTCAACCACTTAAAGGCGAGGGTTTTTCCTGCAAAGAGCAATTTTGGGTGCATCTCAAAGAAACTTTAGCCAGTGACGAGTTAAAAAAAATTACATTTAATGCGAAATGACAGGAAAATGCATAGATTTCTGTCAGATAAAGTACCACAGAGTCATTGCCTTTACTGTACGTGGACTGACCATGCTTACTGTCATGTGTAGTCACCCCACAAAGGCCCACTGTGAGTCAGGAAAAACCTGTTTTAAGGTAAAGTCAGTGATACTATAACCGGTAAGCAAAGTTCCTCAGACTTGTAAATGCAACACAAAGTCTCTCAGATCGATCCAAGCAACACTATTCAAGCATGTCCGGTGGACCTCATGCTCATGCACGTTTGTGCTCGTGCACAGGACAGGGAGAAAGAGAGGGAGATCCTAATGAGCTAAATATTAACCATCTTTATCTGGAGCTGCAGACTCCAAGTTTACCAGCTTTGGCTGCAGTTGGTGCTGAGTGGGGCTCATTGCTAGTTCACTGATCACTGTAGAGGGCTGTTTGGTTCAGTTTAGTTTTTTCAAGATTTTCTAATAGAGAGCATCGAGAACACTGGAGCCTTAAGCAGCTGAGGTGAACTAAGAATGCAGATTTGCAACACAATATTTGAGCCTTTTGTCAAAAATGGTTTATCACATCTAAACTTCTGCCACATTCTGTGTGTGAGCCTCCTGCAGAGGTTTAAACTGGGTCTACTCAAAACAAACTGCTTCACATGATGCATCTTCAAATGGAGATAAAAGTGCTTATAACTGCTTTTTTTTTACCCTTCAAACATGAGGAAAATATGTGATGAATTAGCAAACAAGCCTGAGATCTTGCTCAGTTCCGTAAACTACTTGCTGAGCGTAACGGGCATGAATGTTGCCTCTGACACTGTTAAAGAGTCTAAAACTGTGAAACACGTCCTCCTTCCTGTCACTTCTTATGTCAGAAAGGTGTTGAGGGTGTGCGACTAATCCCACAAGCACTTAAGTTGGAGAATACTGACACTTCTAAACCTGACGCTTGCAGTCGAACACAACTTGCGACTTGTCTTGAACTTTTGGCCTCCAAAAAGTGACTTCAAAATGACCTGATATCCTCCCCAGGCTCAAAAAGTACAAAGCTCCAAAGAGTGAAAGGATTCTTACACAATCCATTTTTTTTTGATAGCAGACATCTTGACAAGTTGTGTTTAAATGTAACTGTGAAGCAAATCTGAAACAAACTTTAGCAATGTCACAATAAAGAAAATGCAAATATGACTTTTCGGTTAATTGCTTTTGAGGTAGTACACCCACTAAAATAAAAACTTTTTAAAAAGTCATAAAAGAAGAAGAAATGAACACAACTTTGGCAATCTACATGAGAAAGATGGACGGAAGAACTCAAGTTGTTTTCAGTCAGGAAAGTTGTAATTAATCTTTGGTGACAGCTGGTATCGACCGCGTTTCATGTTGTCTGGAGGTAAAGACAACGAAATAACTCATCAGTCATGTGGAGTTCAGTGTTTTCAACTTATTTGGGAAAGGTGTTTCCGTCTGACTTCATAAGCGTTAACTTTTCTTCGAAAAACTCTTAAACCATTTCAAGCGAGCGCACAGAACTTTTCTGCTTTTTTTTCGAATTCTGCGATGCTCCAAAATATGAATAAAACTATTCCGTGGAAACGCCACTGTGGTTGGAAAAGCACAGGTGAAGCAGCCACAAGGAATTCAGCCGGTATTGATTTATTATTTACGACACTGTCTCATGTCAAAAAGGTTTATTAACATTGCACACGCTGCAAGAAAAGGTGTGTTTGGCGTTTCACACTTAAAGTGAAATAATGACTTGTTCAGGACACAATTTTGGACCTGACTTGAGACTTCTTAGCCAAGACGTGAAATTTAAGGCGGCTTGTAAAACAATTTTCTCCTCCCTCTGCCTATCGGAGACATTAGATTCAGTATAGGATGCTGTAAAAGGCTTGAGATGCTGGAGCCAAAACCAGAAAAGGAGGAATCTCCATTAGAAATGGATAGAGGCTCTTTGTCCCGGAGAGCTTCCCATTTTCTGAGAGCATGGTAAACTCAACATGCCACAGCCAACGGCCCGGCGACTACATTCCTCTGAAGCCTACAAACTCTGTTTTGTATGTAGCTGACTGGCAGTCACCGCAAGTTAGTCGGTAAGCAGAGAAAGCTATAGAGTCTAAGCTAGACATCTCCAGGGCCTCATTATAAGCCTCATTCGCCAGCAGCTCAGACTCTTATGTCTGAGTGCCCAGGAGAAGCAAGAGGGCCCACTTCATCAGAAGCAGCCAGGGATACATTCCTCCTCCTCCACTACGCCTGTTCGGGGCTGAATAAATCTTTGTGAAGTGTGATATATCGTAGAAGTGACAGGCCGCCTCAAATCCATTTACAATCAGGGGCACAAATCTCCATGTAGTTTCTGATTCAGCTCTAATCCCAGACAGCACCACACCTTTATCTCATAATTACCTGAAAGGAAATACACGGGGATTGTATCAGTTTGGGTAGGAATTAAGAGGAACGGCGGGGAGAGAACGCCCATGCTGTGCAAACCCCTGACCGCCATCCAGACGCTGGATTACAGAATAGAGCAATTGAAGACAGATTCGGGATCTCACGTGCACGTGGCATCTGATGCAGTTAGAAAGAGATTCCAACCAGAGCGGTTACAGGGTCGCCAAGGAGGGGGGGGACATGGAAAGATTAAACAATTACAATCCTGGTGAGTCATGGGATTTGAGCTTATTTTAGCGAGTTAGCAAGCAGGCAAACTGATGTCTTTAATGTGCTTCTCCTCAGCTCATCTCTGTGTATCAAAATTACATATTTGTAAGTTTTTTCATGCCTTAAAATGGCTTAAATGTAACCCCACAGTAGAGGATTGCATTGGGATTCCAACGCTAATCTTGCAGGAGTGGCAGGATTTAACTTTAGAGAGAAGGCAAAAAACAAAACAAACATGCAGAACCCAGGTGTTTACTGCAGCTGGAAGGATAAAGTCAGTCAATAAAGTTGAACAGAAGACTAAAGCAGGTTCTTGAGGATAAATTTCACACTTGTTATTGAAAAAGATGAAAAAAACAAAACTGAGGTCTGTATTATGAAGCAAGCTTAACAAATCCAGGTTATCTTTTCCTTATCTGGCTAAACTAAACCTAACCACCAAAAGCTGGTCATCAACTTCGTAAGTCAACGTAGGGTTTCTGAAAGTAGCCTGAGATGAGGTTGGCAACCACTCAAACACGGACATTTGCTTGTTTAGAGCCGCACATTTCTCACAACCAGAACAAACCACAATCCTAAACTAATATGAGGAGTTTTAAGCTATACTACAGGATAAAATCAACACAGCTGCTGCGACCAGGCTTAATTATGTCAAAGTTGCTTATTCACAACACATATGCAACACAAGGCTGTATAACATAACTACAGATGTGCACCCTTAAGGCTACTCACAAAAAGGACAAATTATGTAAAGAATAAATAATAGAGCCATAAAAATAAAACTGTTTTCACGGTGACATGGAGGTTAATGTGAAATTCTTATAGCGTTCGAGACTGTTTTATTCTTTCAGCTGCTTGGTGTTTAATGGCTTTGGAAGCGATTAAAGAACAAATATTAAAACATCATTCATAAGTAGGCTTAGTGCAAGTTAATAAGCACAAAGCTTTAGTGCTTTATCAGTCTGCTTTAGGATTACATCGATATATACAGGATCATAGAACACCAAAGTGGCTTTGAAAACTCTCGTCCTCCTCAGAGACCCTCTTCACCCTCTGTTAAATAGGCGTTGATCTGTTATCTCGAACTGAAGCGTCTCCAGAGCAGGTTAGAAGTTCAGCGTAAGCTACCATGGCCCCTGTGAAAGGTAAACCGCCATCATAGTCCTAAAGAGCTAAACCTGAAGTTACTGAAGCACAACAGGAAGAAATCTGGATTTCTGGACGGAGGCGACACCTGCTCTGTTGTCCCCATTCTAAAGAAGTTCTCATTTGGAGGGAAACCCATCTTCCTGCACATGTTAAACAAGATACTACTGAGAAATGCATGAATTGGGTACTTATTGCACTACTATAGTTAATTCTGATGAACGTAAATGTCATTATTACCAACAGGTAGGCGTGTCTTTACTAATACTACACGGCAAAATATTGTGTTTTTGCTTCAAGGAGGAAGAAGACATTAAATCAGCGCAACAGAAAGCGATTCTGAAGAAAAGTAATGACATAGGAGGCCCCACGCTGTAGAGTTGACAGGATTGGTGGCTTAAGTGTAACCCCAAATGTCTAAATCAGTGTTTTTGAGACTGTTGTTGGCTGCAGTTTCTAGGTAGAAACGTTCAGCTGTGGGATTGACGACTTATTTTTGCTAATGTTGTGTTTTTCTGTATGTAAAAAAACACCATGTTAACAAGGTAACAAAAAAAAAAACATGAATTAGCCCAGAAGAGGTTTAAAAAGCCAAAAGTTATGAATAATCAACAATTGATGTAGGTTTAAGTAATAAACACTTGAAACAAAGCAACAAAACGGATCATGAAATGAGTAGAAAGTCAAAGGAAAAGCGGTTAAAATTGCAAATTGGGAAGTACATACAAGGCTATAAAAGTAATTAAAAGTTAAAAAAGCGATGGAAAACAAGTTGAAAATAACAAACAGGTGAGGACGCCCAACTTCTGCCAGTACAGGTGGTAGCAAGTATTTGAGAATTATTGGACATGAAAGTGACATGAATTTTAAATGATTGTTTAAAATCAGAGCTGAAAAATATTGCAAAAGCTGTATCTTCATTTATTTCGAGTTTTTTTTGTTTTTTTTCTCGCAAAAGACAACTTGATGTATTCAAGGCACGACCTTCTGTGTTTTTTTTCCAAACTTGATTTAATTTAAGAAAAATTAAATGAATAATATGAACAATACATTTCCTTAATTATCTCAACAGCAGTTAGAACACACGACAAAAACAATTAGAAAGCAGAGAATACATTTTAATAGACATCCGTTTCTTTCCATCATTTGTGAATTCCCCCCCCTCCAAAAAAAAACAACTGAACCAAAGTTCAAAAAGGCACACGCGACATCCAGAGATATGGAAATTAGCAAAAGAAATCAGTGGGCTATGAGCAAGTTGGATTTTTTAGTGACGAACCACCACGGAGAGCTACTGAATGCTGTGTCCTGAAAGCCAAGAGTTGCGAGAGAAATAATTCTTTTCTTCAAACGTACTGGAAACCCTTCATTTGGTGCAAATGGCTACTGTCTGCCTTATTTACGGACACTTCACTGGGTGAAAATGTGAAGAAAAAGAAAATTATTTGTCACTTCTTGTTTCTATTTCCGGTCCCGCACCAGTGCTTTCTTCGTGTTAATGTGATTTCTTTAAAAAAAACAAAAACGTCCTACTCTACAGAGCCAACCAACAACCAAATCGACACAACAGTCAAAAAACACGTATAACTTTATTTCAAACTGCTGCAACAGGGGCACTAAAAACAAACAGCAGAGAAACACACAGGCCCCCTTGTTTTTTTGAGTTAAACTCACTTGGATAGAAAATATTCTCGTTTTAAAATTCATGAATAAAATGAAAGCACAGGAGAACATACGGTGGACGAAATGATTTGGAACACAGCATTATTTATGAAGCTTGTTTTTTTTTTTTTTTTGTCCAGCCAACAGAAGAAGAAGAAAAGAAACGAAAAAGAAAAAAAAAGGAACACTTATTAGATTATAAGAGCACAGTTTGGTGCGGCTTTCCAACCTTTCAAAAAATAGAACATTTTATGAACTTTCAGGAATAAATAGAAGAAGAAGAAGAAGAAGGGAGGAAAAAAAAAAAAAAAAAGACACCACCCTCGCTGTTCTGTTTTAACTGTGACATTTTGAGATTATGGGGTGTGCAAAAGACATAAACTAATACATTTCCGGGGGGGGGAAAGCGGTGACGGCAAACACACACTCGCTTGTGCCTGTACAGTCAGTCATTGTCACGCGCACACACACAGAACAGAGAATGCTGTGGCTACTGATTAGCTGGACTGACTGACTTCACAACACATTGATAAACTGACAGTGCAAATTTTCAGACGGCTGCTGCAGAGAACTAAAATAAGAGTAAAGGAGAAACACCAACAGGACATTTTTGTACAATTCTTAAATGAATTCAGTGTCTTTTTTTTTTGTTTTTTTTTTTGAATTTTTAGGATAAAGATGGAATGAAGCTCCAGTGAAGCCAATGAGGGGGAAAAACAACAGTATTTTTGGATTCGGCGCTGCTTAGACGATTAAAAAAAAAGAAAAAAAAGAAAAAGCCTTTATGTGACTATTATTTATTTTAGGATTAATGTTTTACCTTCTTTTTCTTAAACCTTCATTAAACACATTTTAAAAAATGTTTAAAACAATCATAGGTTAACTACATAAAACACTCTGGAGCACCATTTTTATAAACACGAAATCAGACAGAATTATGATCCGAGAACAAAACTTAGAAGCGAAAAAGGTGATTCTGGTCATTCTAAAGGCAGCGATCTTGACTGGTGGCACTAAGTTTGGACTTCAACGTAGACACGAGTCAATCCAGTCGACCGACTACAGTGCATCATAAAGGTGTTTGTCATCTACGGGGTTATAATGAATGACCGCTGAGCTCCTGTGGCAGGGAAGGTCAGGTCAGGTCACCCTGGTCCACTACATCTGCATGATGTGAAATGCTTACTTTCCAAAGTATGTGAATTCTCTCAGGAAAAAAAAGGCAGAGAAGCCTGGAAGAAGAAGAAGAAGAAAAAACAAAAAACAAAGAGAGACAATGCTCTGTTCACGGGCTTTCCCTTCCCCTGTAGGTTTCTCATCCCGCAAGGCTAAGTCGAGTGTTTTTGTCGACACCCGGGGTTTTTACAGTACCTCACAGTCCTTTGGGTTTGTCAGAGTTCTCAGAGACTCAGAAGTAGTTTCCTGAATGAATCCAGTCACAGGATATGGAAGGACGCTGAAGTGTCTGTTAACTGGATAGAAGGAGTTACAGAGTTCCTGCTCCTGTTGCTTCTACTTCACCACTCGGCATCCCCGATGGCTTTGGAGAAGACATAGTCTCTCCCGTTCAGATTCATGATCCCGTCCTTCAGGTGGAATTTCCATTTGTTCTTACTTCTGTGAATCTGGGGAGCAAAGAGGAGGAAATGAATGTTGTGGGCGTCGAGGACAGATGGACACTGTTTCAGCTTACAGTGGACACTCTCGCTAATGTCTTTAGCCCATGCACACAGACGACTCGGCCAGACACACACACTGTGATATTAACCGGCGTTGACCTTTATTCGCACTGAATTAGCATCAAATCGTGTTATAATACACTTAGTGCCATTTGATACAGGCAATCAAAAGCTGCACTCGAGGCAAAAAGGTGCATGAAGCTAGAAAACAGCGCTAATATCCAACGGTGAAGACTCTCACGATAAAAGGAGTGTAAAATGCCTCTTTAAAAGTTTACTTCGTGGCATTTTTTAACTCGGGCTGCCACAATAGACCGTTTATCGATTATTCTACAGATTTGATCCAAACAATATTCCTCGGAAAAAAAAATTAACATGGTATTTCTTTTTATTTTACTTAAAACGAGAGTGTATTTAGCCAGTACAAGGAGAAAAAGATAGAAATAAGCTTTCCCTGCTAATAAAAAGACAACACTTACAGTGGTCTTTTCTGGCGGTGCATCTTCCTGAATAGCGCCTGTGTGCTTTCTCTTCATCTGCTCATGCATTGCACTGTGCTGCTGTGGTATGCCATCCAAGCTTTGCACAGTGTACGAACCACCTGTCTCGTGATCATTTGAAGCGCCTCTGTACCGAAGCCTTGAGTCTTTAGAAGCTTTTACACTGAACCGAGTCACGCTCTGGTGCAGCTGGCGTCCAATGACCAAATACTACGAACACCATGACACCGCAAGTACGTAAAATCTAAAAAAACATGCGTCACATTTTCAGCTCCGTCACTGAAAATGCCGACTCGTCCCGGAAGCCCTATTTGTGTCTCAAGAATTACACGGAAGCTGCTACGAAAACTGTTTAAGACGGACGCTTAGCATTCCTTTAGTCTACAGCAGCCTTTACAGTGAGCTGAACACAATGTCTGACAGTAGTTTTAGTATCCAGACATAACATTTATGTTTTATTTATGCGCGGGAAAACAGTGCTGTGGGTTTTACTTTGTTATTACTGCTCATACTTTATTGCTTCAAAGTGTTATTTTATGATTACTCAATAAAGCGACTTGCTTTCATTGCTTGTGTAAATGTAAGTGTTTATGTCTTTGTCTGTTGCTATGAACCACTAAGTGAGTTAGGGATGCAAAAAGCCAACAGGCTCGAGCAAAGAAATCCATATCAAGAGATGCAACAGAATTATAAAAGGGGGTACATTTATACACACAGGTTGCCTTTGATACAACGGAGCCTCTCGCAGAATAAATGATTCCCTACCTTGTCGTACTGGCACACCACTACGTTCTCTGTATCAAACAGCTCCTGGTCCTCCTCGTCGCTGACGTCGTCTTCGCTGTTCAGTGGCTCCTGACGAGGAAACCGACAAGTTTAATGCAAGTTGTTCACAGGGTTCATCCACATTATCATCCATGTAGATTTATAGTTAACATCCAACTACAACTCCAACTCTCCCCAGCAAGATGAAACCGCATTCACACCTAGCCACAAAAGACCCTAACAAACCCCTTTGTGGCAAGGGGAGCACTAACGATTCACATAACGAGGGGGAGAAGTAACAACCCCCAGGTGTTCATGGCTCCTAAGGATACAAGTATCTGGAACTCCCAAGTCAGAACTGATGAAGCCTCTTGGATAAGAGGGGAAACATCTTCAAGGAACTCAAGCAAGTCCAGTTGCTACGATTAATCTACGAGAATATCCAACTACAAACTACTAGATTACTGCTACTGGATATTTAGAATGCAAATAAATGGTATCATAATCCACCTGTTAACATGTATGTTGCCAAGTAACTGTCAGAAGACTGTAGTTCTATATGCCGTAGCTCATAAAAATGATTAACGCCAAACACGGACGGGCTCAGCGCACAGCATTTTATCCACACTGCAATGCTAAGACAGCGAGCTAAAATCTCTCTGCCTAAAGAGGACTGGTGTCTGTTTATTAGTTTGCCTTATCATATTGAATAAATATTACATTATTGTTTCCTCTATTTTTTTTTTTTAGTCTGTTTTATAAATAAGAAGTGTAAATGAGCTGAAAAGTTAATTGAATTTTCCCGTGTCTGTGCTGCCTTTATTATTCACTGTATCCATGGAAACTACAGGCGAACAAAGCCATAAAGGTTTGGTTTCCTCGCGCAGAAAAAAAAGACATTCTGTTTGGTTTTCTCAGAGATGCATCACTGTTAAACTCATAAATGTTCAGATGAGGGTAATCTTTGGCCGTCTGTGATGCTATGTGTACATGCTATTCAGACGAACTGCCGCATTTTCTTGTAAAATTAATTCGGCTGTCGATGTCCAGATTTAGTGCAGCTATAAGGTACTTGGGGCAGAGCTGGTTTGCAGATTGTGACATAAAGGCAGCTCTGCGTAGCAATGTGTGTTAAGTTGCACGGCATACTTCTTGCTTTTGACAACAATAGAGCTGCAAGAATTAATAGACTAGCTGTCAACCTTTGAATTATTCAGTGGTTGACAACATGTTTATCTGCCTGGCTGTTGATCATCTGTTTATCTCTTAGTACTTTTTTTTTCTTAACACAAAATAAAGTCAAAATTCTGATTCTAGCTACTTAAATTTGAATATTTTCTGTTTTCTTTCCCTTTCTATGACAGTAAACTGAATATCTTTGGGTTGTGGACAAAAACAACAACATTGGGGCAGCTCATCTTGGGCTTTGGGAAACATTGATTGATATTTTTCAGTTTTCTGACATTTAATACATCAAACAACTAATAATTTAACCATGACAATAATAAACAGATTACATAAAACAATTTAAATAATCACTAGTTAGAGTCCCAGACAACATCACACTCACTCTGTCCTGTGCTTTCTCACACAATGGGAGACATGTTGGCTGTGGACAGTGCTGTTAGAATGCTTTCAGTTTTAGAAATTCAGAATTTTATGTATTAGAAAACAGACCAGTACTGAAACACAGATCTGTTCATGCTCTCTTCACTTTCACATATTTATCCGGAGCTGTAAATTACTAAAATCTTATTCTATACGGCATAGAACCCTTGTGTGAAATATACAACGATCTGTGGTTGGTAAATTCATACATTCCAGCTATTTATTCATCTCTGGAGCACAACTTGGAATATTTTGGTTTTGCACCAGTTTTACATACTCTTCTTAAATTGACACACTGAAAGAAACATATGTGACAAACGCTTGGCATTAGAATTGCTGCATTATAAAGTCCTCTACTGGAAGACTACCAAAAACAGCTTCCTTAAAGCATTCAGAGATTTCTGTTTCCTACACTGCTCACCTCTTCAACTTGCCCGTCCTCTCCGCCATCCTTGTCTTTCTCCTCCTCATCGTCTTCATCATACTCCTCATCCTCATCCTCGTCCTCTTCTGAGGAGGTGTCTCCGGCTCCGTCCACCTGCAGCATCATGGGAGGCTGCTGTGCTTGAGCCTGAGGCTGAGCCTGAGGCTGAGGCTGCGGCTGCGGCTGAGCCTGGGGCTGGGCCTGCTGCTGGGCCTGCGGTGGGGCCTGTGGTGCAGCTGCACCCTGGGCCTGCTGAACCTGCTGCACCTGAGCTGCTGTTGCCGCCTGACCCGGTTGTGGCGCCATCGCCTGCATCACCTGATGGTAGAGAGGATTTAGAAGGAGAACAAGGAAGTCAGTATGACACTGGACTGGGTTTGACGTGTGACTGGCAGGTCTTTAGTACAACACCCAAAATAATGTTGGACTAGATAAGATGAATGACTGTTTAAGATCACGAGGGAAACATTGTAAAATAGTAACAGTGAAAGGTAACCGCATTGCAAACATCATGAAGAAATTGAAGTTCTGACCTGTGCATTTCCTTGGACTTTGTTTCCTGGAGCTAAGACGATCTGCTGCGGCTGTATGATGACTCCTGTTTGCTGGGGCAGGCCTCCCTGCAGAGGAGCCAGAACCTGGACACACATTACACAGAACAAAATCCACATTTTATGTAAGCTCCTAGTTTACTCAGGGGGAGGACTACATCTGCAAAACGCAATAAAAGGTGCACTGAATCTCAAATGACTTTTAATTTGAATTAATTTAAAAGTTGATATATGCATTTTCAAAATTACATTAAACTGTTTTTGTTTCGTTTGGAGACGGCAGAAACAGTAGGGTGAGAGGTACGCTGTGCTTCTTCAGGGGAAAGATGTGAGGTCTGAGCAATCGGAACAGATTTCCCAGAATCGTTTGATGTTTTTCATGGCACTTCTTTTTACATACTTCCAGGTTATTTTTACAAGAGTTGGTTCTTCCACTGTTTGAGAGCCACAGGACCCACAGCTATGTAGCCTTATTTAACCTACTTGTTATGGATAGATTATGAACTGATTAGTCAAACAAACAAGATATATGCAGCTGTGCTGCTGTGTTTTCTAGCCCATTTTGTTTCTGCTATTCAAAAGCCCCCTTCTGCTGAATCTAATAGTGTTCCTCAGTGTCATTGATCATACCTGTTGTATGACCGGTGCCTGCACACCACCAGGCTGCATCTGCTGCTGCAGGAGGATCTGCTGCTGAGGCTGCTGGATGAGGTACTGAGCCCCATTGGCAGCACGAACCACTTGCAGGATCTGACCTAAATCATCACAAAACAGAAAAGGTGGATGCTTTGAGTGAGCATATATCTGTTACAAAATACTGCAATGTCAAAATAAGAGTATTTCCTCAAAAGTTAATGCAGAGATTAACTTGTGCGTGTGACGGTTTTACCTTGGCTGGTGATGAGCTGTTGGTATGGGGTGACCCCTGTGGGCAAAGCAAGGGTTGCTGCGGTAGCTGCTGCACTCTAGAGGAGAAAAGAAGAACACACATGACGCACATAAGCGAATGAAATGAGGCAGTGAGAAGGACGCGCTTAGTGGAAAAAAACACATAAGCTGAAGATTTTGGGGTTCAAGAATGTGGAAAACAAGACTGTTCAAGCATCAAGGCTGTCCTTGCAGTAAAAAATAAACACAAAGTTATTAATGACTTTAGTGTTAAGTGCCTTACTATTAAAACCTTTTCACAATTATAGAGCTACTACACATATTCCCATGGCTGACATGATAAAAGCAGCCTGTATGTATTTGAACTCATTTTATCTGCCAGGCTTGATGGGGAAAGATTAGACATTTTCAAGTGAAGCTTATAAATAGTGTTTGAGGGTTTAAAAAAAAAAAAAAAGAAGAAGAACGGTTTACTGCTGAAGTCTTGACATTAACAGATGGCCTGCGGAACTGAAGTGTTGTTGAAAGAAGGAAGTACAAAAGGAAGTAAAGTGTTCCCTGTGCAACAATATAAGAGATGAAGGATAAGATGTGTTTATCAATGTGCATGAGACATAACAGAAGCACGTAAGAGGATGTATTATCGCCAGCTTTATCCTCACTGCAATCCAGGTTACTGAACTACTCTCTAAAGGTCCTTCTTTTCTACTCCTTTACTTTCTTCATCTGTCTGTTACTCGACCAGTCGTTTTGCTGTGAGCAAAAAGCCTGCAGACACACACATGAGGATCTAGGGATTCACGGTGATACCAGCATGTCAACAGTATCAGCTGATAAAGGCTTTAAAATGAAGTAACGTCATCAGCCCAAAATGCAAAACGCCTGTCCGGCTAAACGTTTAGAGTTCTGTTTGATCATCTTTTACATGCAAGTTTCTTAGTTTCCTTCTTGTGCTTGATGAATGCGTGCATTTGAAAAACACTGTAAGTGATGTAAATAATAGAATTAGACTAGACAGCCACTGTTTAGCTGCAGCCAACAGAGGTGATCAAGTTACTGTAACCAGGCGTGATGTGCGTAGATAGGCTCAAATGTCAGCATAGCTACTATCCAAATGTTGTAAGCCGCACTCGCTGCCCTAGAAAAGGAAATAATGGCCTGGTTCATGCAAGAGTGTGACAATGTCTCTCTGCCTCTCATCGCTAAAGAGTCGGCCCGGTGTTATGCCGAGTTCTGCCTGCCTGTCGCGGACTGCACACCCATCGCAGGACCGTGTACAGCTAAAGTGAAAACTAACAGACACTTGAATGATGTCTAAGGCAAAGAACTGCTTGAAAACAATGAGTATTAATTATAATTAATTATCCAAAGCCTGCACTTATAAGGAGCTTATAAGGAGTTGCATGAGGAGCGCCACAGTCTAGGTAATTTATGGGAAACATTGAGAATATTATGTTCAAACTACTACAGGAGAAACTTGATGTTCTCTGCAAAGTAGGTGGAAAAAGAAATATGCATTTACTGGTAAAATTACAATATCGTGTATCCCTATTAGGTTGATTTGCCCTTTCCTTTTTGCCTGGTTATTCAATTTTGTGCATGAAGATACGTGCAACAGCTTTTAATTTTCCCTCAATAACAATATAAAACTAACAGAGTGTATTTATATTTCTGAGAATAACGACAGGCAGCATGTTTTATGCAGACAAAATGGAAAGTTAAGACATGCAGCATTTAGTTCTGATCGCTGCAGTGCGTGCAGCTAGACTAGCTGAGATTCACTGCCCACCCACAACCTGCAAATTGTTATTGTCACATGACTGGTTCTAGCTTGCTGCACTATTTCTGGGGTTTGATCAACACGCAAGAACTGCTCTCAATGTTTTTCCTATGAGAGCAAAAATCCCAAACAATCATTTCATTCATTTTAAGTGACTCACCATCCCCGTTGCACTCATGTGCTGTAGAATCTTTGAATCCTGAACAATGACTTGCTGCTGGGGAGCTGTGGAGAACAAACACGCTACAGTTATCATCATAATATGCCCCTAAAACTACTCAAAATATCCTAAAAAATGAAAGAGCAGGACACAGAATGACGTACATATCTGCAGTCTAAAGCTGTGCAAAATAATCTCTCTTGTTTAATATCAACTTTTGCCACGATATCACCTGAATAGAGATATTTTTTTGGGTAAGTCAGGTAAAAAATTCAGTGTCTACTCGTGTCGAAAGAGGCATTCACAGACAGTCGATGTTTCTACTGTTGCACACTGTTTTTTAGCGCCGTGTGCCAGTGCTGACCCACCTTGCTGTTGCTGGGGAGGCAGGATGACTTGCTGGGCCTGTGCGGGTTGGGTCACCTGCTGGACCTGCTGGACCTGTTGGACCTGCTGAACGTGCTGCTGCTGCTGCTGAGCGGCCTGCAAGGCTGCCTGCTCCTCAGTATGGAAGCCCTCCACTGCCTTGGACTGCAACAGTTTGTTCTCCCATAGCTGTGGCATCAGATGAAAACAACAGACGACACAGTTTGTCAGAAGGCTGTCTCGGACTCAGTGTAAAGCAAGAAGCGACCAGCAGCTGTTGTGGATATTTTGGAATTAATTTGTTGTGGTTGTTGCAACACGGGCCTTTTATTGGACAACAAATCCATCCAGGGCACTTGTACATAGAGGTATATTTAATTACTGTATGGAGGAAATTCTCAAGTGAGTAGCTGGCAGTTGTTAGAAACCAGCTACTCCCTAAAGTACACTTAACTACAAGGTGAAACACGTCTCACCACACTTCTGTGTACTGATATTTCCCCTGCCGTCCTCAAAACATTGCAGAGGAAAGCAGGGTTGAACAATTTGGAGGAAAACATCTAATTGAGATTTTTCTGGCAGATACTGTAATTTGATTTGCAATGTTTTTAAAAGCCAATCTTCAGCTGAATAATCACAAACTGGTGCATTACCACAAGACACTGTCAATAACATGGCTTTCAAGCGAGGAGGGTAGAATGAATTTTGACAGCACTGACATAATAGTTTAGACCTTTGGACACAACATGCTGCAAAATGTTCACAGTGGGACGATGAAATAATGAGACTGGGCTGCATCCCTGAACTATGTGATATACATTACTCAAGGGGCAAACAACCACTGAAAGTTTCCATCTGCTTAAATAAAATTGAATTACAGCATTAGTCATATTATTTAATCGCCACGCCACGTTTATCTTATGATCGCAGCCTTTGCGATTTGTCCCATTTCCATCATGCAAACCTAAAGGACAGTTACCGTTTTCAGCTCCAAAAGAACTTGCTCGTCCACTCCTTCGTCCAGGAACAGCTCTCGTACCTCATTGATCACATCCTCAATCACAGACTTGTATAGTTTAGGCTATGGGGAAGCAAATACATAAAAAGGGGAAGGGTGGGGGGAAGAGAACACAAAGTCAATATTGTGTTTAATACTGTTTTGAAGAAATATGTCTGGTATGATCAACATTTATCAATTGGGACTTATATTTGTATACAAAATGGTAATCAAAAGTGCATCTAATAGTGCTTTCCCAAACATTAGATGTTCAAAAATCACAATATTTTCCTGCCAAACAAGCATTAATTAGTGTAATATGGTCATGCATTGTGCATAGCTGTTGCATATGGGAAGCTCAACACTAAAAACTGCTCCACTGCAATGTAATCCCCGGGCTTTAGCGACAGCGTTTGCACGACACTGCGCGCCTTGTTGTGCTAATCCATATGGACTCAGCGGCTATGTGTCCTCCTGTCACGTCTCTCGGGGACGTGCACGGTTGCATCCCCCCCTTCCGACAAAACAAAAAATGCACAGCGCTCGGATGTACGCGGCATTTCAAGCAGCACAAAGCACAAACAAAAGCGACAAGGAAGGAAAGGAAGGAAGGAAAGGCAAGCAGGCAGGCAGGCCGCCGCACTGCGCTCGCTGCCCCGATGTCCGCAGCGCAGACCTCGGTCTCTCCTTCCCTCCCCCTCGGCCTGTGTCTGCTCCTCCACTATTTAAAGCACAGTCTGGTGTTTATATGTAGAGCCGGTGACGTAGCGTCGAGTAGCACCTTCCCATCCCGGGCAGTCTATATTAGAGAGCCAATATGGCTGTATAAAACCAGGCAGCGGAAAGGAGGAGGGCCAGAACCGAGAGAGAGGGGAGCCGTGGAAGCCATTTTACGGAGCGGCGAAGTGCGCGCTCGACAGCCAAGCCCGCCGTTCCTTCTCAACCATCGTGTGGCGAAATGGGAAGGATATTTTCGGTGTAATATCGTGAAAAAAGAAAAAAATAAGAACGAAAAAAAATCAGCTTTGACTAATTTTTTGGCTTTTCCTTTTGTCGGCAGGGGACAAATTTGATATGATATGGGTAAAAGAGGTGGTTTGGGACGGCTAGCCTGCCTTCTGCTCGTGGAATGGTGGACAATGATGAGGCAGTTGACTGAGCGTTGACGACTTTCGGCTAAAGAAGACTTTAATATATATATTTGTTTTTTGTGTCTAAAAAAAATAAGCTCAATTCATTCGCAGTGGATGATGACAATGTGCTTTGCGTACGTCAGTATTTCAAAAAAAGAAAAGGAAAAAGAAGCACGAATTAGCTTAAATTTGTCCCTATTTGTAACAGGCAAACAAAGCTTTGACCCTTAACAGCACAAACAATCCATTTACACATAATTTCAGCAGCTTCTCAAAAGACTGACTTAACAGACAACTATTTAAAAAAACCTAACCAGCAACCAACTTCCAAAAAATAATCTAAAAAAAAAAAAAAAAGCATTTTCACCACTCAACCTGGATTTATTTTCAGATTTTTTTAACTGCCCCTCTTAAAGTAAGCCATTTCTCGCAGAACATGGTCCCCCCCCTCCCGCTGAAAGATCTAGTTTCGAAAACTGCTTATAAATGGCCGGTTGACTGAACTTCCTTTCTTTAATGGACATAACAGTGAAGTGTTTGGTTAAAGCAGATTCATTTTTTACTGCAACAAATAAAACCAGCTCGTCGACAGCTTTCCGTTAACTTTACCCCCATTTTTCCCCCGCTGACAGTCCTTTAGAGATTGATCCTTACCACTGGGTTCGAGTTAGCCGAGCTCGCCATTATACGCGTAGTGTAAAAACCACACGGAAATAGGCGAGAGAGACAGAGCCAAAAATTACGAAAAACGACTTAAAACAACTGGGAACGATAATTTAAAACAGCCGGCATCACTTTTGTAAATAAAACACAGTTTCAGCGGTCTTATTTACAATCCCGGGCTGCGACTCCCCAGCCGTCCTCCTTCCGTCGTTGTCCTGCTTTATATACTGAGCGATGGAGCTGCGAGTGCGCGAGACATAGGGCAGGGTCAAGTCGCACTTCCCGCGAGATTTCGTGCGGGATGTGATGACTAATCACCACAGTGGACTGCTCATGGGAAATGTAGTTCAAGAGCGGCAAAGCGGTAAATAAATGTGGACAGATCGCATTAGCTTCCTAATGCTCCGTGATCCTGTTGACTGAATTAGGCTAACTGTAAATATTACGACTCATAAACAATTAATTACATTGTTCCAGAAGCTGTACTTTCCACACATTAGTAGATCATGTAATACAATTATGGAGTTTTCGGGGTAGTGTTTAGGGATAAAATGCAATGGTCTGGTATAATGCATAATATTCTATCATATTAACCCGAGTGTGTAAATTAATCATGTGAATTTGTATTTTACATAATATTAAATTATTAATTAATAATCTTAACCTTAATATTTAAATTAGTCAAGTAATATAGAATAAGTATTATTGTTGGGTTTAACTGTATATTTATTTTAGTCAGGTAAATTTGTATTTTATTGTTATTGTAGGATCTTTATTGCAATATTTAAGTCAGCCAGGTAAATTTCTAAAATAAATAATGTTCTAAGGTATTGATCTTAATATTCTGTTTTATCTAATTTTGTAAGGTCTCAACGTTTAAATTTAGCATAGTTAGGTCAAATTGAGTATAATGTCGTCAGGCTTTAACTGTAAAGTATAAATAAGTCAACTGAATTTATATAAGAAATAATATTCTAGCATCTTAACCTAAATATTTAAACTTGTTCTGTAAATTTGTACAGTAACTGGTACCCCAGGACCTTAACCATGATATTTAAATTAGTTTAATTAGGGGAAATCTGTGTAATAAACTATAGTGTAATGTCTTAAATTATATAACCTTTGTAATGTAAACTTATATTTTTTAAAATATTATAGGGTCTTAACTGTGATATTTAAATCATACTATACGTAAATCTTTATTTTATTGCCCAGTACCAAAAGGAGAAATTGTACTTTCACTGCACTCTGTTTGTCGGACAGCATAAAACAAATCAGGAAGCATGTGTGCAGCTTTTAGGGTGTCACCTTCTCTTGACATGCAAACAGAAAGTAAAATCTGCTTGCTGTGGTCAACTCTGTGAGGAAATGGTACAAACACACAAAGGCCTGCAGCTACATATTGGAGTAAACTTACAGACACTGTGACATCCTACATCAACTTCAGTGAGGACGTGTGTGCAAACTAAAACCGTCCCTGCAAACAACCACAACAAACCCTGGTTTACAGCAGAACTACGGCAGCTTCGTCAGGCCAAGGAAAAGCATACATCCTGTACGAGCAGGCCAGAAACACATTGACAAAGGTGATGAGAGCAGCAAAGAGGTGCTACGACTCCTGCAGGACTTCACCAGCTGCAGGTGTCGACCTCCCTGCACCGTACAGACACATGAACTGGCCCTGAACGTGTTTTATTGCAGGTTTGAAAAGCCTGCATTCACACCATCTCCTTCACTTGCGCTCTGGATCTGTGAAGAGGATGTGAGGCGGCTGTTCAGAACACAGAGGACTAAGAAAGCACCAGGTCCACCTTCTCACTGATCTTCAATACATCATTGTGCCAAGTCACCTCCTGTTTCAAGAGTTCAACAATCATCATCAAGGAAATCTCTATCTATGAAGTGGCAGGTCGGTTGTTGTGAAGACCGGCGTTAACCCGCCTGAAGGACATCACAGCTGCCTGGTTGGACCCAGCATGGGACTGCATTACATCCTGCACCATCTGCATCTGTCTGATAAACTCCTGACAACACAACGGCCATCAGCCTCATCCAGGATGGTGATAAGTGTCTATACAGATGAGAGGTTGAGCTACTGGTCCTCTGGAACAGTCACAAGAACCTGAGATAACAGTGGACTTCAGTAAGAACCGCCCTGCTCTGTGACCCCCTCATCAAACATCACCGTGTCGACTGTAAAATACCTCCAACAATCAACGACAAGGCCCGGCTCAGGAAGTCCAGCTTTCCTCAGGAGCTGCTGATCCGATTCTACGCTGCAATAAATCAGTCTGTTCTCTGCACTTGCAGCTACCGTCTGGTTTGGATCGGACAGAACCAGACTACAACACACAGTCAGAGAAAATCATTGCAACTGGCCTCCTTTCCATTAAGGATTTATATCTGAACACAACCTGTTCCAACTCCTCCCCTCTGGTCGGCGCTGCTGGACACCGAAACAAACACAGAAACAGTTTCTTCCCACATATAAGTAAATCAGGAACAACTCATCTTGAATCCAAACCCTGTATGTACTGCACATCACATACCAGATTATAATCATCCCAGAAAAGCTGCTCTCTGTTTTATCATCCAACCACCTCATGCAAATAAGATGTCAAAAAACTCTCCATTTATTGTTAACAACTGTATTCGCATAAAACTTTGGTTTGCTCAAATGTTGCTCTACAGCTCTGGTTCATTATAAACATGGTATTTCACACATAAATAGTTGTACATAGCAGTTAAACACTCACTTTCCTTCTGTGCCCTGTTGCCTCAATTTAAATGTGTTTTATTTTGAGTAAACACTGGAGTCAGACTCCTCGTGTGTGTTCACCTGGCCAGTAATTCTGATTCTGAATACTGCAGAGTCTTAACTGTAATGTTTATTTTTGTCAAGTAAATGTGTATTTCATACAATATACAAAGTCTTAATGTTAATATTTGAATTA